GTGGGCTATGCATTCATCAACATGATCGATCCTCGTCAAATCATTCCATTTTATCAGGTTAGATACATGAACACTGATAACTACTTAGAAGGAATTTACCCCGTATTTTTGTTAATTGATTTTCATATTAGAGATATAGTATCAACCAGAAATCCTGCATGCTGATTAGAGAGAGAACATCTTCTGCAGGCACAATGGCAAAAAATGGGAAAAGTTCAACAGTGAAAGGTCGCCTCTCTTGCTTATGCTCGGATTCAGGGAAAATCTGCTCTTATTGCTCATTTTCAATTCAAGCTTGATGAATGAGGATAAACGTTGCCGACCTATCCTTTTTCCATACTGATGGTCCTAATGCTGGAGATCCGGTACGATATATACACGTCCATTCTACTCACCTCAGTTTGTAACTATTCCCCCAGTAATGGGTAATTATCATGTAGTTCATTATTTACTCAAATGTTTTTCCGTATTCATGTTACCAAAAGAGAAGGAAATTATTTTGGACCCAAACTTGCTTGAGTCATTTCCTGAGTTAAGATGCCGACAATCTGCTAGCAATTGAAATGGGATATTAATATAAAGGTTTGAATTAAATATTTTCTGGGACGCAATGCTAAATCACCTTCAAAATTTACTTGCTAATACTTACTGGGTCCTTATACCATTTCTGCTAATCACTGGTTCCTAGATTAAGGTCTGACTGGAAGCATCTTTTGATGACTAAACATGGTGTTTATTTGGTGGAAAGTGGTGTCAAGAGTATTGTTAAAATTGTCATGGCTTAAAGTTATTCCAAAAAGTTGATTTCATACTGTTTGTATTGTAAGTTCTTTTTTTCTTATTATATATATATTGGAGAACGCTTTTTTTTTTTTTTTTTTTTTTTTTTTTTTTTTCCAATATTATGCACATATGTTATTTTTTATGAACCAAAATTTACCATCTTTCTGTCTGTGAAGGAGCCATTTTCCTATGGGTACCAATATTAGGTCAAGATTGGGCAACCTCGAACGTTGGTAGAGGAGAGCCATCGCCAAGGGATCCCTTCAGCTTCTACAAATGGAGAGGAATCTCCCAATGGATCGGATTCTCAGGTTCTTTGAAGGACTTGGATGAGTAATCTGCTTACCCAAGCACTAACTTGAAAAACCCCATATCAAGTATAAAAGCTATATCCATCCCAATTCTGTTTATCAGGGGTGCCTGCGACTTTTTCCAGCTAATAGAGGAGCCCTTTCAGGGTTTTGGAACAAAAACAAAGTGGGCTACTTGCCAATTTTTGCTGTTTGTTTGACAATTTTTGTGTCACTGCGAATTATGAGTATAGAGCATCACTTGATAGAGCTTAAATTTTGGATTAATAGTCGTGACTAAGAAAGTTATGAACTTATGATGTACAGAAGTCCCTGGCATTTCATGAGTGTGGGGATCTTCTCTGTTTTTGTTTTCAATTTTGTATCCCAATACCCTTATGTATTTCATTTTTTTCCCTTGAGGTTTTGGAGGCTTGGGTGGATTGCTCAAGGAGAGAGAGAGAGTAATCTGTTTGTTGGATATTTTTTAGTGCTCTTGTTGACTAAATTATAGTACTTCTTCAATATCTCCAATTAATTTTTGATGAACTCATGTCGCCTCTGATGAGATGAGTCCCATCCTTTAAAGTTTTACATTCATTGCTCACCCAATCAAGTAGATCGCTTTGACTATTGATGCTACATAACCACATTTCTTTCTTAATTTCGTATAAAACTTCTGAGCAGACATGGTGAAAATTTGTGTTTATAAAATCAATACTGTTATAATTTGCAACATGGTGTCCCCAGAAGACGGATGCAGAAATATGAACATTTGTTATATATTATTATTATTTTTGGTTTTAAAATGGATTTATTTGTAATTACCTTAATTTTCTTTTAAAATGTCAAATGATTATTTTATTTATTGTAACAGAATTACATAAGAATATTGTTATAGTTTACTGTTGATAGTATCAAACTCTTCCATTTTCCTAGCAGCCAAACGGAGTTCGAAAAGAAATGCAAAGAGGATATTAGTTCAACTCTCTACTCAACAAACTGAACAACTTCCGATTCACTAAACGCTTTTGCTTCATACAAAACCCATAACCTAAACCTTAGCGGAGATGCAGATGATTCTCTGTATTCAGACGTACCGAAACCTCGCAGGGACAATCGGAGAGAAAGCCTATCCCACACCCATGAAGGTGTTGATACAGAGAGCTAAAGCGGAGAGAGAAGCTAGAAAATCACAGCCTGTTCAGCTACTTGAACATCCACCTGCCAACGGCTTTGGTCCCTGAACTCGTCCCCGTCGCTCACCAAGTCTATTCAGCTTATCAATCTCTTCTCTCTGGTTTGTCAAAGCTCGTTAAAGTTATTCCCTTTCAACGCTGTAGGTAATGCATTATTCAAATATACGCCGTCTGGCTCTATTTACTTTCAGATTAATAGATGATAACTAATTAGGAGAAATTTAATTTGATTTTATGTCAACATTTAGAAAGATTTTATTACCCTTTATGTGATTATTTTTATTTGAAGGTTTTTTGTTATTCAGTTTCTGTTCTGAGGTTCACGTTTGGTCATGTGGGTCATGAAATACGAACCTGCGCTGGTCCAAAAAGCGTTTTCGAAGTGCTACACATGTTTGGAGAAAAGGGGGAGTTTTGTGATGGTGTTCTTCCCCGAGTGCTTCCATCTCCATGATCGTGTTGGGAAGTCAAGAGTTGTTCATTGCGAGAAGGATAGTGTCCCAAGGCTACCTGCCTTGTGAGCTCTGTATACGGCCGGTGTAGACCTTGAAAGGTACCCTACAAAGAGAAGAACAAAACCTGTCTATTCTTGAAGGAAGAATTGTAGATTTTGAGTCTGTGATAGAGAATGATGAAACAGAAAGAAACTTAATTTTAAAAGATAATCATCATATAACCTAATTTTGTGCTAAGAATGATGGATCTGAAAGCAGTTCAAATTAGAGAAGAAAGGTGATTGGGTGGATCAATCGAATGATCAAGAGGGAAGGATTTAAGAAAGTTGGCATTAGGACAATGGACTCATGTTTGAAATGATATCAGGAGTGAAGAAGATCATGGAGAAGTAACGCGTATGGACCTGGGGATATTGTCCTGAGGTCCAGGTTGGTCCCAAGGGACACAGTTAAGAATGTGTAGAGCATCAAAACACCATCTCGTAATGGATTGCATGCATGGCAGGAAGCAACGTTGATGATCTTGTCGGTCCGAATTATGTCTGGCATGTTCGAGATCTTAATGGTCCTGCTTTGGAGAACAACTTGAAGAGGTTTTATGGCAAGCCCCAGCTATTGTAGAGCTGTGTGCATGGTGGTGCTCCAGTTCCTATCAATATAGAAGTATGATGAGATTAGATGTGGTTCCTCCTCAACGTGATGAAGTTGATCTTTTTGCTTGAAATGATTTCCTTTAAGCCTGATGTATTATATATCTTGACTATAGGCTCCTGATGTTAACCTTTTTGAGGTTATTGAAATATCTTTATAAAGTTAAGTTGATTGTTAGTGCTGTTGTAGAGACATTTGACAAGTTGGTCTCAGCCTTCATATGTTCGGTGATCTGATCCAGCTTGGTCTAGGTGTGGCCTCTTTTAGTCTGACCCCGATGCCCACATTTTGATTTCTTATGCTTCGATATGGTGTCTTTTTCAGCTCTCTTTGTTCAAATAGGCAATATTATGATGAGGATATGGATCCGATACAGATGATCATTTCTCTGGTTTAGAAGTCTAAGCTTCAGACTATGTTGCCAATGCAGTAATTGTGCCTAATGAATTGGATTTAACTTGCACGGACAAGCATGAAGACCATGGTTGCTCTATTTATGCATGTTGAAGAAGTAGAGCCTCACTGTTTGATTATAGGTGGTTTGTTAATACTCCCCGCTTATGGAGTTTTGAGAAATCCATGCTTCTTAGAGATTGATTGGTAAGAATTTATCAAGCAAACTTTCTCTGTTGAATACTTACAGCAATGGGGCCCTTTTGAGTCCTTAAATTGATGTATACTTGCATCAGAAATTGTTCTTCCTGAAAGAAAAAAGAGAAATTCCTTCAAAAATATATTAGGTTTGCATTTATCATGTGATGGGGTAGATGAATTGGTAGAAGCACTTTTTAGTTTTACATTGTGACCAATCTCAAGTAAGAAAGTGCACTTTGAGCCTTAATGGTCTACTGATATTAGACAAGTATATTAGCTCCGATGATGTACCTAATTCACAGAGTTTGATAGTGGCCTCTGAAGTCTGAACTTCAATGAAGTTCATCTTGGAAAATGCATTGTTTACCTGTTAGGCAGCCAGTAACGTACACAATTGTGGCAGATAGTTACTGAATTTTGATAATTTAAGCAGATAGAGAGAGATAATAAGTCAAAAGCTTTTTGGATTATTGTGATCAATGTTATCATACCTACATTTTTTGGAGGCTGCTCTCACCGGAGAAGTTGTTGTCCATGTGTTGAGCAAACCTTTGGCCTTGCATGTGGGGTGGGGCGGTTATTGTAAGTTGTTGGTCATGGATCTGAGATGGCACTTGTTCAACTGGAGTTGCAATGATCGAGTGTTTCCAATACTAATATTGTATTCAACATAACATAAGTATGAATTAGTTAATTATTTTGTTAAAAATAATACCCAATTCAATACTTACTTTATCGTTAACGAACAGTTGCAAAAGAAAAAGAAAAGCAATTCTAATGGAACAAAATTTGATGATTTGTTGAAGATTAAGGACTTGGAAATTGAAATTCATAAGGTTAATTGTGTTTTCGTGATTCAGAGATTTAAATGAAGATGGAAGATAATTAGCCTCATTTAATATACATATATTTAATTATATAAACAAAAATTAGCTAGATAATTTTCTTTTTTAATTTGGGAGAGAATAACATGAAAAGGCTTTGCAAGGGTTCAGATAGATAAATAAATACAATTAGTAAATAAGCGATTCATTTCCTCCGCTAACATGTCGACATAAAACCTTGTCTCGACTCTGAGTACGCCGTGAAAGAAACAACTGTACCAACACCAAGGAGGGAAGGAAGCCAGTACAATATACAATACAATACAAATGAGCGAGGATGAAGAAGAAGAAAACGGTGGAGAGAACAGCAGAGAAGAGCAAGAAGAGCAAGAAGAGGCATTTGTTGCTTTGATCGAACACCGTACCAAAGAAGTTGAGCATCTCAAACAGCGTATCTCCTATTACAAATCTCAGGTTGTTGCCGTTCTATTTTTCTCGATAATTTTCTTTTCTTTTCTGTTATTTTCTTCGTATTAATTTAATGACATTTCTATGGTTTTCTACTGTTGTGAAGTGATTATCGTGATTTGTCACTGTGAAATTCATGCTAAAGTTTGGATTTTAGATCCTGAAATTGTTATTTGATACTAAAGTTTGACGAAAAGTTTACACTTGGAAGTTCTTTACTTTTAGAAATTTAAAGCATAGCATTTAGGTTAACTAGAAAGAATGTTCAAGAAGGAGTTCTTTAACTTTTAGACATTTAAAGCATAAGCATTAGTTACGTGTGTATTGGTTAACTAGAAAGAATGTACAAGAAGGAGTTTACTTTTTTTTTTTTTTTTTCCTTAAGAATGAAGTAGAAACTTGTGAAGATTTAGGTTCATCTTCTCTTTTATGAGGTTAAAAAACGGTAGCAGTTATTCTGCTTTTAGTACGAGTTTTCAACAAGGAACTTAGTTTTAATTGATTGTTGTTATGGTTTATTTTATTGTGTGTATTTAGGGCAAGAATGAGTTTTTAATATGAAGCTTTTGTTCGTGTTTTGCTTTATATTTTTTTTATTTTTCGAGGAAATACTACTATATATATTTGAAAAAGGCGTGCAGCTGATGAAGCAAGAAGAGGTTGCAAGATTCACAATCTAAATTGGCTCATCTTCGAGGCCGAGATAAGGCAGTGTCGTCTAAAGTTCTCCGGCTAGCGGAACTAAAATGTTAAGGGGAGCGGAGATCATCAGTCCTGTTCGTGTTGATAAAGATCCTTCTAGAAACCAACCTCAATCTAGAACGGAACTGGTAATTCCTGCTGTGAATCCCAAGATTTCTCAGCCTATAAAATCAACATGGTCTGCATGAGAGATCCTGTTGGGTCCAGTGCTCAAGAAGTCCTGCCTCCACCCCACATGTTGTAAAAGGGAAAATCCTATGAAATTCTCGTGATAACAGAAGTTGTTGATGTTCAGATAGAGGAACAAAAGAAATTCGGTAATATTCTCACCTTGTGAATTGTAATGCATTATAAGTGTGTGTGTTTCCCAGGATTAAATGTTGGCCTCCGCTTTTGGTCAATGTTTTTTTTTTCCGTCATGGTTTAAATTATATGTTATTGATGTTTCATGCATCCTCTTTTTTCTTGGCTGTATTTCAGAGCAGAAAGAACATAAAGAATTGATCCCCTGGTGCAAAGCAGCTCTTCACCTTGCACATTCGCTGTCATACGAGCACCACACTCTAGTCAGCACAAAAGAGTTGGAGAAGTCTTTCGTTGTGCCCAGTGAATGATCAGCTTTTTGTGACCAGGTAATTAGGTTTTTTCATTAGAGAGGGTATGGCAATATCAACTGAATATTATGCTGTGATGAGACCCCAGCAGCCACAATCGAAACACACCAGCACCCAACAATCAAAGAACAACCAGCAACAAATGTGTATTGATTCAAAGTTAAACCAAGTGCTGGAGTCACAGTCAGAACCCAACCCAGTAGCAAAAACAAAGAGAGGATAGTTCCTATCAATTCGAGCAGCTAGGGGCCTCCATTGACAACTTTAGAGAATAATTTGCTTAGCCTATTCCCAATTCTAACTGTTTGTATATACTAGTGACCTTTTCCCATATTCCCTCCATACACAATAGTGCCATGTGTATTTCCTGCCATGTGTATTCCTATAACTATATCCCACTGGCCCAACAAACCTTAGTGTTTATTCACACTCTCACCACCCTCCTGCCCTTTGTGCCCCTTGTTTTGATAAACCTTAGTAATAGGGGGCCTATCAATACCCCCCCTTGAAGAGCCCCCTTGTCCTCAAGGTGGAATGAGGAAACTGGAGGTTGATGATGTCGTAGCTTCCCAAATGCTTCAAAGAGGCAGGTTCTGCCATCGTATAAGAACCTCTTTAGTACCATCCAACAAAGAATGGACTGCCAGAACTGATTCAGGCTGGACAATCAGTTCCAAGTCCTCGGTGAGACAAGGAGGAAGTGGCTGGATGGGGAATGGAGCTGTGCAAGCTACGTTTGAGTTGAGAAACATGGAAAACCTGATGAATACGAGCATGGAAGGCGATCCAGCCGATAGGCAACCTGTCCAATTCGTTCTAAGACGGGAAAAGGACCATAAAAGCGGGGATCAATTTCTCATTATGTTTCCTGGCCAAGGACTAAACCGGTAAGGCCGGAGCTTCAAAACACTTGTCCCTAGGCTAAATGTAACATCCCGTGGTGTACATCTGCACTCTCTTTCATATGCCCTTCACGATGGATAAATTAGTTTAAGCTCCTCCAAGATGGAATTACGTTCGAACATCTGTTGATTCACTTCCTCCACCGATGACGGGCAATCGTGAACTTGAGTAGAGTAAGAGGATCCCGCCGTCTAAAACCTTGAAGGGGTCATCCGAGTCGAACGTTGGTAATTCGTATTGTACCAAAATTCCGCCCAAGAAAGCCAACAGGACCAAGCTTGGCTTTAGAGCTACAAAAACACCGCAAATAGCCTCACACACCGATTTACCACCTCAGTTTGGCCATTTGTCTGTGGGTTAGGCCAAATTGAATTTCAAGTAGTTGCCAGATGCTTTGAAGAGTTTCTTGCCAAAATTGGTTATAAAATCCTACCCTTGTCGGACACAATAAGACTTCGGAAACCCACTGAGCCTCACATTTTTGATACAAACAACAACTACTACATCTTTAGCACTATAGGGATGTCAAAAGAGGGATGAAGTGGCTATACTTAGTGAGTCTGTCGACCACCACTAGGATAGTATCGTGTCCCAAGACTTAGGTAGTCCTCAAATGAAATCCATGCTAATATCCTTAAATACTTGGTAGGGATGGGTAAGGGTTGGAGAAGGCCTGCTGGTTTAAGGTTGAGTGTTTATTGAGTTGGCATAAGTGCATCTCTTCACAAATTCTTGAACGTCCCCCTTGATCCCTTCCCAAAAGACAAGGCTGGCCACCCTTTTATAGTGCGAAAGAACCCAATGCCCCCCACTTGGGTACAATGAAACTCCTCTAGCAACTTGGGGATAACTGGAGAACTTGGGAAGAACAATCCTCTTTTGTAAAGTAGACAGCCTTTTCGAAGTTGTTAGTGGGTTCTACTGGTGGGCGAATAAGGGATCTTGCATAATGATTTGAAGCTTAGGGCCTTGTTGAGCTTCGGCAGCTAACTCATCAAAGTCTGAAAATTGGACCATTAATATGCACCATCTCACCTACGTCCTCTCTACGACACAATGCATCTGCCACTTGGTTGGGATCCCGATTGGTAGTGAATTTCGAAGAGAATCCCATGAGTTTCGAAATCCACTTTTGCTGTTCCGGTGTCTTCACTCGCTGTTAGTCAAGAACTTAGACTACGCTGGTCCGTCTTTATAATAACTTGCGCCTAATAAGGTAGTGACTCTATTTGTGGATAGTGAACACTATGGCCATGAGTTCCCGTTCATACATAGATTTCTTGCTTTGATTGGCAAGAAAAAGTTTTACTAAGAAAGGCAATTGGCGTGATTTTTGAACCAGGACAGCCCCCATCCCTTGCCTAGAAGCGTTGGTGTGTACTTCGAAGGGTAAGTCAAAATCAAGTATGGCTAGCACCAGAACCTTGTCATTGTTGTTTTGAGGCCTCAAGGCTTGTTGAGTTGTCTCTCCCATGTAAAGAATCCTTCTGAAGTAGCTGTGTTAAAGGTTGAGCAATCAGTCCATATCTCTTTACAAGCAACGGTGGTAACCCGTTAGCCCCAAGAATCCCCTTAAACCTTTTATAGTGCGGGGGCTGCCAAGATAACATTGAGTCAATCTCTTGCAGATCAGCTTCCACCCCCTTGGCTGAAATCAGGTGGCCTAATTCGAGTTTCTGTTGTGCGAATAGACACTTCTTGCGGTTGACGACCAACTCATTTGCCTTAAGAATCTGAAAAACTTGCTAAGGTGCTCCAAATGGTGTGCAAGTTGGGGCTGTAGATAAGTATATTGTAAAACAAAACCAGGACGAACTTCCTTAAATTGACTTGAAGATAGTATTTATTAAAGCCTGAAAAGTGGAGGGGGCATTGTTAAATTGAAGGGCATAACTAGGAACTCATAATGCCCCTCATGAGTCCGAAAAGCTGTCTTAGCTATGTCCTCCTCCCTTACTCTGATCTGGTGGTACCCCGGATTTCAAATCCAACTTAGTGAAAATCGTTGGTCTTACATGTTCCAACACCTTCGATTGAGGGAAAGGGGAACTTATCTAGGATAGTGAGACTGTTCAGGGCGCGGTAGTCAACACAGAAGCGCCAGCTCCTGTCTTTCTTTTTCCCAGTAAAATAGGGTTGGAAAAAGGGCTTGTACTTGTTGAATTATTCCCGCTATCAGCATCTCCCCAACCACTCTCTCAATTTTGTTTTTCTGGATGTAAGGGTACTTGTAGGACATATGCTAGGAGGTTTGGCCCCATCCTGGAGGATTATGGATGGTCTGTGGATCTTTTGGAGGTAGTTTTGGTAGGTTGGTCAAAGACTTGGTTAACTCTTCCACCACTTCCTAGACTCTAGGTTCAATTGGCTCAACTTCCTTAGCTGTTTTGTTCTCTATGGAACAAATTCGACCACATACCTAACCCCTTTATTCGTGATCGATTTCAGCATGGCTTTGAGTGAGACAACATTGTGACCAAAGAAGGATCTCCCCTTAACATGACCTTTTTTCCTTCTCTGGCAAAATCCATGGTCAGGTTTTTCTAGTTACCACACACTCTCCCAGAGTGCTCAATACGCAACTCCCAACACAACGTCGGCTCCGCCTAATTCAAAGGGAAAAAATCTTGTTGTATCTCAATCCTCTGTTCCCATTATCTAAGCTTAAGAGTCTTGTCTGAAGTCATCCCCACGATAGAGTTCATTGGCAAAGCAAAAATATTACCTTCTAAGATTGGTTCATTGTTGGCTTCTGGTGGTGTCTCCTCTTTCTTCATCTCCTCTTCATCTTCCAAAATCAACAAAACCTGTAGATATTTATTTCTACACACACATTGGTTTGGCCCAAACTTCTCATCACAACGGAAACACAATCCTTCTCTTGTTTGTACTAGGGCTCAAAATAGTCCGGAAACCGAACCGAACCGGCGAACCGAACCGAAACCGGTTCGGAAAACCAGTTTCGGTTTGAAAATAGCGCCAACTGCTTTTTTGGTTTGGTCATTTTCCAAACCGGTTAACCGAAACCAGTTATCCTTAAAACCTAAAAGGTTAATATTGTAAATTGTAATAGTCTAAGCCCTAAAGAGTAAAGGTAAAGTAAAGTCAAACTTAATATGGACAATGCTAGGATTTGTTACATTATTAGCCCGTATCATTTCTAATACATTATATTAATTAATTTAATTTTAATATATAATAACTTCGTAATTTAATTTTACCCATAATCTAATCTGGCTGGGCCACCCAAGCCAAGCCACGCCTCTCTACGTCACAACAACGTCCAAAGCCGTAACGCCGTTATCTAAGAGAGAGAGAAACAGAATCAGAAGCAAACTCGTGTTTCAACGAACGGGTCTGATTAATTCCGTTTTTATCCATTTTAACACACGCGAGAAAAACACACGCACACAACCCCCGCCTATTTCTTTTCTGTTTTGTCTTCGTTTCAAACACCCAACTAAAAAGTAGTTTATTCATTTTTTAAGAAAAATAACCTTGCCCTTCATTCTCTCTCTAGCTTATTTCGTTTTCTGATCTTTTTCTCTCTGTAATTGAGACCGGCGAGCGAAATCTCGCCGGTAACTTGCCGGAAATTCGTTTCCGATCTGAAACTCTGAATCTCCGGTTCAAATGATTCCATTCAAGAGAGAGATAGTAATTTTTTTTCAAATGATTTGTGAATTCTGATTATTAGATGTATAGAAAAAAACAAGAAGGAAAGAAATATTCTCTCTCTTGTGTGGTGAGTAATAGCTTGTAATGCAGGGAAAAGAAGAAAAGAAGATGCTGAGATCTCTTCCATTCTGTCCTTTATAAATCTGTTTCTCTCTCTCTCTCTCTCCTCCCCCCCTCCCCTCTCTCTGTCCATTGTTGTCAATCCTTCTGCCTTTCGCTTTCTCTCTCTCTTACGGCATCGTTTTAGTTTCTGAATTTTTGAGAGAGAAAGCGGAATTTGAAGACCTGGTAAAGGTGCGGTTCCTGTTGTATTTAGGTTAAGCTTTGGTGGATTTTTTCTTTTTCTTTTTTCTTTTGTTCTTTTGGTTCCTTAGTGTGTGGATCAAGCTAGAGCGGGATGGAACAGATTGGATTTTTCTTTTTGGAATTTATTTTTTAAACGTGATCGTTTTGAGAATTTGTGGAGGAAATGCTTAATTTTAACGAAAATTTTAATCTAAGTTTGATTTTGTTATGATTTAGCTCAACTAAGCTGTGAGGTTGTAGTTTTAGGCACAATTAAGTAAGGATTTTTGTTTTAGAAAATTATTCAGTTTTCTTTCTTTTTCTCCCTAACCAAACAGGGCATTTATGTTTGGTTATTGGTAGGTAAGCTAGTGGCTTTCATTTTCATTATATTATCGTTTTTTGAAGCCATAAGAGAAAACAGAAGAAAAAAAACTACTTCTATTATTTTTTATTAGGTTGTAAATAATAAACAAAGGGGAATTGTCTGATCTCTAGCTTATATGAAGGTGTTAACAAAGAAAATTCCTATTTGTGTGTTTCAATTTTTTTTTTTTTTGTTTTTTTTTGTTTTTTTAATACGGTTTTCTTTGTTATTTGGTGTTTTGAGAATAAAGTTCGCTCAAATTTCGCTCAAATTATCATAAGTGAAGTAAAAGAAAATTGAATTCTTTTCAGGAGAAAGGTCATGAAGCATGGGCAGAGCTAGTAAGTGAGAAAGTTTGAGTTTTCGTCCGTGTTGGGTTTTTCTTTTTATAAGGCATCTAAGCTGCAGGATGCCATTTGAAATTATGGATACAAGGGGTGGATCTGCATCGTCCCACTTCTTCGAAGAAATTTGCGTTCCTGCAGAGGTATTTTAATTCTTTCTTAATCACTCCAACTTTATGTATTTGTCGAGTTGTTTACTAAAACGGTTTGAAATTTTATTGTTATGTGTGTTGCAATGTCGGTTACTTATGATCTTTCGAACACCATATATGCCAGCAAAATACATATTTTCTCTGTAATTTAATTTAATTGTCATCAACTTTTATTGGACAGAGACAGATTGGATTTTGGAAGTCGAATACCATGTCTGATCACCAAGGTGAGCAGCATTCAATTGCTGACTCTGTTATTTAATTTAATTATATTTTTGGATTAATTCTATTTGTTTTTCAATCTCCAACAAAGTGTTCTGCATTGGAGGTAGTTATTGTATTTTGTTCTGACTTATTTGGTGAGAATGGACCTATGTGTAGTAGTTAACAGTGCACAAATACTAATTAAAACAATCTCCTGCCATCAGGGAGAATCCTGCCAGTAAAATAACATGATTCCCAGAGTATTGTTAACAGAGGATGGGCTTAATTTAAGTACCATGCTTAGATATTGTGAAGTGAGTGAAAAATGTTTATCACAAGCTGGATAATTCTAAATGTCTTTGTTTGTCTGTATCTAGAAGATTCTTTCATTCATTCGGTCAGTGTGGAGTATATGACAACTGGATTTTGACGTTCGATTTCTTTTCTATTTGTGGAAAGATTTGGATCTTCTATTATCCAAATAGTAATATTGAATATGAAATGATTGTTGATGGGAATTCAAGAACTGATATTTTTACATGTGGAAGAATGAAATAAGCTCTGGTCCTCCTAACTTGTTGCTTATCTAAGAAATTTTAAGGATGAATGCTCCCCAAGATAGAATAAATATTATCATTCATTGTAGTTAGATGGTGTTATAGTAGAAGGCGTATCCATCCCTTAATTAGGGGATATCCAATTGCAGCTTAGAAATCCGTATGTTAAGTGAACAGTGGTGATTTCAAAATTCTTTACATACAACAGTCCAGCAGCTAATAACTGGTGTCATTCTGGGAAATATTGGATGCTGTATTGTTGTATTATGTTCTCTGCAAAAAAAATTGTCCAGGCATAACTGTGTGTGTTCTTTTAAGATATTATACTTGTAATACTACTGTAAGAAGTGTAAAGTATCTTTAATTGCAAATTTGCAATGGGTTGGTGCTAAATACTAGTTTTAGTTAAATATGAACCTTCTCCGAGTCCTGAATTGTGTGGAAACCATGCTGGTTGCATTTTTTGAAATTTTATTCCAATAGTTTGGGCCATTTGGCAATAGAAGGGACAGAATAAATATTGTTGAATGGATCAGTCAAGTTAATCATATTTCTGTGAGTTGATGATAGAATAACCCCCCCAACCCACCCCCCACTCTTTAAAGAGAGAAGGACAGTTTCTCCAGAGTGTTCTCCTTTTCTGTGTCTGGTTATACTATGCCAACCCAGTACTGCATGTTATAGTTTTATGGATGATATAACTGACAAAAAAAAATTGGCCTGCTAAGTTTTGCAGTTTCTAGGTGGTTTTGTTGATTGATATTGCTAATATGGATAGAAAAATATCAATTACTCTTGCTTGGTTTTCTTGCTAACTCTGGTTGATTAGTGTTTGGTGTAGTATTGTCTTTTACATGAATCTTAATCAATAATTGTGGCCTTTAAAGTGAAAATCAAAATGCTTTTCTGTTTAAAACTTGAGCATAATGGTATTCTTGACTCAATGACTTGGCTTCTTGTAATAAATGCATACAATTCAAATCACAAAATGTGACTAGAGAGTTTCTAATTAATTATCATGTGAATCTTGTTGTTCAGTAGGAACAGATGGAATGGTAGCTATGTCTGGAAACAAGTTGGTTGCTTCATCACCGCCGGAAATTTTTTCACCAATTGGGGTCCCGTCTGTGGATTGGATAGAAATGCGACAGTCAGCTTTAGCTGGTGACCATATGAAAAAGCTGGGCATTGTTGGAGAGGAAGGAATTGCAAATTTGTCTGAGACTTCATGGAATTCTGTGAATCACCATCCAAAATCATGGTCAAATTTGTCTGTGCAACCAGCATGTTATAGTTTAAGTGGAAACAGAAATGGTATTAAAGGGATCCAGTCTGAAAGCAGTCTGTTCTCAAGCTCATTGTCTGATATTTTTAGTCGAAAAAGTAAGTTTTCACATTAATGTTTATACTTATTTACATTTTCTGTCTGCATGCTGATGGCTGAAATTTGTTACATTAATTTACTTAAACATTTTATGGCTAGATTGATGGCTGCATTTATTTTCTATTCTATCATAGCATCATGTCTATTATTTTTGTAAGGTACGATGCTACTTTTTTCTGGATTTTTTTTTGGTTTGCAAGCTTTACAAGGTGTTTCATCCTGATCAATATCACCTGACGGAACTATGGCAGTAAATGGGTCTATATATTTTTTGTATCTTATTTTGAGACTACCTTTTGCATGTTCATTATTTTCTGCTTCTATTTTCCCAAGTCACTTACCAATTCTTTTCCATCTTCTTCGTTAACATGCAGTGAAATTGTCGGCGAATGATGTTCTATCTTGTCAGCCCTTCAATACAGTTGTTTCTCACCATGGGGAAGGAGAGCCTTTTGAATCCTTGGAAGAAATTGAGGCACAGACTATTGGAAATCTTCTTCCTGATGAAGCTGATCTATTTTCTGGAGTGATTGATGATCTGGGACATGATTTTCATGCCAATATTGGAGATGATTTTGAAGATTTTGACCTTTTTAGCAGTGGTGGTGGCATGGAATTAGAAGGGGATGATCGAATATATGCAGGACAAAAAAATTCTGATATTGCTGGTCAAGGGGGTTCAAGTGGTTCTGTTGTTGGTGAGCATCCATATGGTGAACACCCTTCTAGAACACTTTTTGTCAGAAACATCAATAGCAATGTAGAAGATTCTGAACTAAAGGCTCTTTTTGAGGTGTGTAGCATTGCCTTGTATTTTGCTGCAGTATTTTATAACTGTAAGTTACTCCTATTTGTATTGGTAGTTAATTGGCGTTTGTGTTTTTTCCTATCAGCAATATGGAGAGATCCGAACTATCTATACAGCCTGCAAGCATCGTGGATTTGTTATGATTTCTTATTATGATATAAGGGCAGCACGTAATGCAATGAGAGCACTTCAAAACAAGCCCTTGAGGCGTAGGAAACTTGACATACACTATTCAATTCCTAAGGTGTGGTGGTGTTTTCAGTTTTGATACTCTTCATATTTGTTGTTTTGTTAAACATGTTGACCTTACCATTGTTTTTGATTGTTGTCATCATTATTTCTGTTGCCACTGTCTGACTATCTAATTGGTTATTGCATTCTCATGTTGGCTCCCTGACATTAGGATAATCCATCAGAAAAAGATACTAATCAGGGCACCTTGGTGGTTTTCAATCTTGATTCTTCTGTTTCAATCGATGAGCTTCACCAAATTTTCGGTGTTTATGGAGAAATTAGAGAAGTAAGCGGCTCTTTGACTTATTGCTTGTTTCTGTTATATGAGGGATGGTAGAATCAGTTTACATAGTTGTTATTTTGGTTTGCAGATCCGTGAGACTCCAAACAAGCATAATCACAAATTTATTGAGTTTTATGATGTTAGAGCTGCTGAGGCTACACTTCGTGCACTGAATAGGAGTGACATTGCTGGGAAGCAAATCAAGCTTGAAGCAAGCCGTCCTGGGGGTGCAAGACGGTATGGTGCCTATTTACTAAGATTTCTTCTATCTTATTTCACCTGTTAGATGGATATCAATGACTGGACCTTTATGTTTCCCTTATGTGGGCCCTGATCTTATCAGTGGCAAAGATTTTATCTTTGTTGTAATTCTTTGTGACTTTTTCTTGCCTTTTTGCAGTTTCATGCTGCAGTCAGAGCAGGAGCAAGATGAACCAAATCTTTGCCAAAGTCCTTTTGATGACTTGTCATCAGGACACATGGGTATGATTATGACTGTTAATAGTTCCTTTCCCTACTTGTGTGTGTGTTTTTGCTCACATGACATTTTGATGACAGCAGTTTCACCTGGTGTAATTGCATCTAGCTCCATGGATACTGGATCAATCCAGGCTTTACATTCTGCTTTGCGGTCGCCTGCAAGTGCATTTACTGAATCTCACCAGAGTTCTAGTGTGCCAAACACTTTGCCCTCTCCAGCAAGAGTGGCCTCTATTGGCAAAACTTTTGGCCTTCATGAGGCCAACCACTCTTTGGATGAAATGAAGTTTAATAATCAGCATCCAAATTTCCATCCTCATTCGCTCCCTGAGTATGATAGTTTGGCCAATGGTATTCCATACAACTCCCCTGGCACTATTGGTAATGTTGGTCAGAAAATTACAGAAGGACTTGACAATAGGCATAATATCCGTGGAGTGAGCTCAAATGGGCACCTGATGGAACCTAGTGGAGTGGGTAAGTTCCATTGATTCCGTTGTTCCATGGTTTCAAATATTAGTTTACACATTGGCAATGGCAGTTAACATTTCCAGGAATAGAGCAATGGGCTTTTTACAAAGTAAAACAATATGCACACCAAAAAATTCTAGGATTTGCTTCATGCATATAGATATCAGAAATTAATTTTTGTTTTATGCTTTAGAGATGTCCCAATAAGACTATTTTAAGTAGCTGGACTAGTAAATTATCAGTGTCCAATTTGAAATTGTCTGGTATAACACACTGTTTAAGGGTCTGTTTTCGTAAACACTAAAAAACTTATTTTACTTTAATCACTTTAACATGATTTTATTTATTTTTTAAATGGATCATGTTAAAAAATAATTTTTCATAAATTTATTTGACTAATTTATCCTTATATTTATTAAAATAATTGTTGGTTATACTTGGTTATTAGGACGTCATTAATATTATTAATTATATAAACTACTATAGATTAGAAATGTAATAACCAGCAGCTGGAATCTGATGACCGGAAATATCGCCGGCGAGTTTCAGTGATAATACTGTTATCAAAATGATAGTCTTTGAACGATCTATTTATCTATGTAACTTTCAAGGGCAATAAATGTTAAAATGATACCAATGTTATTATCAAGGCAAACTTTCTAGTCACTGTAATCTGGCAGCAGGTGGCAGAAATACGGCGGTCGGCAACTATGGACCTGTGGTGGTGAACAAACTTTTAATTTTTTGAAATAAATAAATTGCAGGTTTCATATATTATTCTCATGTAAAATATAACTTTATTATTGAGTTTAGTGACTACTATTAATTGCTGTACAAAATTCACTACTCTCATGTATCTCATTCCACTAATTGGTATTGTCAAACTTCCTCAGTAATCCAATATCCTCATAGCTGTTAAAATGATTGTTATGCAACAGCTTTACCTGAGAGCTGTATAGGTTCTTAAATTTGTCCTGATGGACATTGATTAGAATAACATAGTATCATTCTCTTTATGGTTGATATTGGATGGTAACCTCAAAATGCCTGTACCTGGAAATGTAGAATGTATAATCTTGATTTTTATTTATCAGTTTAGTGACATTGTTGCTGATATATTCCTTTCTATCTAGTTTTTGGATCTTCTGGAAATGGAAATTACTCCCTTCATGGAAATCCTTTTGTGTGGAACAACTCCAACTCACATCAACAACATCCTTCAAGTCCCATGATTTGGCCAAATTCGCCATCATTTCTCAATGGCTTGCATGCTAGTCGTGTTCCTCATATGCCTGGATTTCCAAGAGGACCTACTTTGATGCTGAACACAGCATCGCCTGTACACCACCATATTGGGTCAGCACCAGCAGTTAATCCCTCCCTCTGGGACAGGCAACATGCTTATGCAGGGGAGTCTCCTGAAACTTCTAATTTCCACTTGGGTTCTCTTGGAAGTGTGGGCTTTCCGGTTCGTTCTCCATCACATCCTATGGACATTGCTTCACACAACATCTTCTCTCATGTTGGTGGCAATTGCGTAGATATGACTAAAAATGTTGGATTGCGTTCTCCTCAGCAGATGTGCCACCTTTTTCCTGGAAGGAATCCAATGGTTTCAATGCAAGCCTCTTTTGATTCTCCTAATGAGCGAGTGAGAAACTTCTCATACCGTAGAAACGAAACTAATTCTAATCACGCTGATAAGAAACAGTATGAACTTGATATTGACCGGATATTGCGTGGTGAAGATAGCCGAACTACACTGATGATAAAGAACATTCCCAACAAGTATGTAAACTATCATTCCAGCTGTTTTGATAATTTCTTCTTCTTTCTTTTATCATTGAAGTTGTCTTTTAGAAATAGTTTAGGCTTTAGCATTTTCCTTGTCCTTGAAACTGTCCCATGCCTGAACATCATTTTCAAATAGTTATTTATTTATTTGCTTTGACCTAGATCACCCATAGACATTCTGATATCGTTAGCTGCACTGTCCTTTGGCACTTATAGATTTATTCCAAATTGTTTAGTAATCTTTGGTAGGTCACTTTTTTTTATTGTTAATCAACGTAACTTAGGCCCTCTATACAGGATGTTTTTGATCATTGAATATTGGAAATTTCAGAGTAACAGATTAGTCATGTCTTGGCCTTTCCATGTAACCACATTTATTAGCCAATCAAAGTGAAATTAGATAGGTGGTAAATAATTATTTCATGCCATATAATGCTAGTATTGATTATTTCTTATTTTTTGTTGCCTGTTGTAATAAAACCAGATTCCTTTCTTGTGTTTTTCTTCTTTTCTTGTTCTTTTTTCCTTTGGTTTGATATGGTGATATGCTGATTTGAAAAGGTATACTTCGAAGATGCTTTTGGCTGCAATTGATGAGCATTGCCGAGGAACATATGATTTTATTTATCTGCCGATTGACTTCAAGGCAAGTTAATTTTACTGTTCTTTTAGGAGGAAAAAGAATTTTTCTCATGATATATGTTTGAAATGCTCATATTTATAGATGATGTTTATGCATTACTAATTCTACAATTGCCAACAGAACAAATGTAATGTGGGCTATGCATTCATCAACATGATCGATCCTCGTCAAATCATTCCATTTTATCAGGTTAGATACATGAACACTGATAACTACTTAGAAGGAATTTACCACGTATTTTTGTTAATTGATTTTCATATTAGAGATATAGTATCAACCCAGAATACTGCATGCTGATTAGATGAGAGAACATCTTCTGCAGGCATTCAATGGCAAAAAATGGGAAAAGTTCAACAGTGAAAAGGTCGCCTCTCTTGCTTATGCTCGGATTCAGGGAAAATCTGCTCTTATTGCTCATTTTCAGAATTCAAGCTTGATGAATGAGGATAAACGTTGCCGACCTATCCTTTTTCATACTGATGGTCCTAATGCTGGAGATCCGGTACGATATATACACGTCCATTCTACTCACCTCAGTTTTGTAACTATTCCCCCAGTAATGGGTAATTATCATGTAGTTCATTATTTACTCAAATGTTTTTCCGTATTCATGTTACCAAAAGAGAAGGAAATTATTTTGGACCCAAACTTGCTTGAGTCATTTCCTGAGTTAAGATGCCGACAAATCTGCTAGGCAATTGAAATGGGATATTAATATAAAGGTTTGAATTAAATATTTTCTGGGACGCAATGCTAAATCACCTTCAAAATTTACTTGCTAATAACTTACTGGGTCCTTATATCCATTTCTGCTAATTCATGGTTCCTAGATTAAGGTCTTGACTGGAAGCATCTTTTGATGACTAAACATGGTGTTTATTTGGTGGAAAGTGGTGTCAAGAGTATTGTTAAAATTGTCATGGCTTAGAAGTTATTCCAAAAAGTTGATTTTCATACTGTTTGTACTGGGTGCCGAAAATGATTTGATTTTTAAGTTCTTTTTTTCTTATATATATATATTGGAGAACGTTTTTTTTTTTTTTCCCCAAAATTATGCACATATGATTAAATTTCATAGAACCAAAATTTACCATCTTTCTGTTTGTGAAGGAGCCATTTCCTATGGGTACCAATATTAGGTCAAGATTGGGCAAACCTCGAAGTGTTGGTAATGAGGAGAGCCATCGCCAAGGGATCCCGTCAGCTTCTACAAATGGAGAGGAATCTCCCAATGGATCGGATTCTTCAGGTTCTTTGAAGGACTTGGATTGAGTAATCTGCTTAACCAAGGCACTAACTGTAAAACCCCATATCAGAGTATAAAAGCTATATCCATCCCAATTCTGTATATCAGGGGTGGCCTGACGACTTTTTCCAGCTAATAGAGGAGCACTTTCAGGGTTTTGGAACAAAAACAAAGTGGGCTACTTGCCAAATTTTGCTGTTTGTTTTGACAATTTTTGTGTCACTGCCGAATTATGAGTATAGAGCATCACTTGATAGAGCTTAAAATTTTGGATTAATAGTCTTGACTAAAGAAAGTTATGAACTTATGATGTACAGAAGTCCCTGGGCATTTGCATGAGTGTGGGGATCTTCTCTGTTTTTGTTTTCAATTTTGTATCCCAATGCCTCTTATGTAATTTCATTTTTTCCCTTGAGGTTTTGGAGGCTTGGGTGTGATTGCTCAAGGAGAGAGAGAGAGTAATCTGTTTGTTGGATATTTTTTAGTGCTCTTGTCCACTAAATTATATGTACTTTCTTCATCAATATCTCCAATTAATTTTTGATGAACTCATGTCGCCTCTGATGAGATGAGTCCCATCCATTTAAAGTTTTACATTCATTGCTCACCCAATCAAGTAGATCACTTTGACGATTGATGCTACATAACCGACATTTCTTTCTTAATTTCGTATAAAACTTCTGAGCAGACATGGTGAAAATTGTGTTTTATAAAATCAATACTGTTATAATTTGCAACATGGTGTCCCCAGAAGACGAGATGCAGAAATATGAACATTTGTTATATTATTATTATTTTTTGGTTTTAAAATGGATTTATTTGTAATTACCTTTAATTTTCTTTTAAAATGTCAAAATGATTATTTTATTTATTGTAACAGAATTACATAAGAATATTGTTATAGTTTACTGTTGATAGTATCAAACTCTTCCATTTCCCTAGCAGCCAAACGGAGGTTCGAAAAGAAATGCAAAGAAGGATATTAGTTCAAATCTCTTACTCAAACAAACTGAACAACTTCCGATTCACTAAAAACGCGTTTGCTTCATACAAAACCCAAAACCTAAACCTTAGCGGAGATGCAGATGATTCTCTGTACTCAGACGTACCGAAACCTCGCAGGGACAAATCGGAGAGAAAGCCATATCCCACACCCATGAAGGTGTTGATACAGAGAGCTAAAGCGGAGAGAGAAGCTAGAAAATCACAGCCTGTTCAGCTACTTGAACATCCACCTGCCAACGGCTTATTGGTCCCTGAACTTGTCCCCGTCGCTCACCAAGTCTATTCAGCTTATCAATCTCTTCTCTCTGGTTTGTCAAAGCTCGTTAAAGTTATTCCCTTTCAACGCTGTAGGTAATGCAATTATTCAAATATACGCCGTCTGGCTCTATTTACTTTCAGATTAATAGATGTGATAACTAATTAGGAGAAATTTAATTTGATTTTATGTCAACATTTAGAAAGATTTTATTACCCTTTATGTGATTATTTTTATTTGAAGGTTATTTTGTTATTCAGGTTCTGTTCTGAGGTTCACGTTGGTCATGTGGGTCATGAAATACGAACCTGCGCTGGTCCAAAAAGCGGTTTTCGAAGTGCTACACATGTTTGGAGAAAAGGGGGAGTTTGTGATGTGGTGTTCTTCCCCGAGTGCTTCCATCTCCATGATCGTGTTGGGAAGTCAAGAGTTGTTCATTGCGAGAAGGATAGTGTCCCAAGGCTACCTGCCATTGTAGAGCTCTGTATACAGGCCGGTGTAGACCTTGAAAGGTACCCTACAAAGAGAAGAACAAAACCTGTCTATTCTATTGAAGGAAGAATTGTAGATTTTGATTCTGTGATAGAGAATGATGAAACAGAAAGAAACTTAATTTTAAAAGATAATCATCATATAAAGCCTAATTTTGGTGCTAAGAATGATGGATCTGAAAGCAGTTCAAATTTAGAGAAGAAAGGTGATTGGGTGGATCAATCGAATGATCAAGAGGGGAAGGATTTAAGAAAGTTGAGCATTAGGACAATGGACTCATGGTTTGAAATGATATCAGGAGTGAAGAAGATCATGGAGAAGTACAGTGTATGGACCTGTGGATATTGTCCTGAGGTCCAGGTTGGTCCCAAGGGACACAAGTTAAGAATGTGTAGAGCATCAAAACACCAGTCTCGTAATGGATTGCATGCATGGCAGGAAGCAACGATTGATGATCTTGTCGGTCCGAATTATGTCTGGCATGTTCGAGATCTTAATGGTCCTGCTTTGGAGAACAACTTGAAGAGGTTTTATGGCAAGGCCCCAGCTATTGTAGAGCTGTGTGTGCATGGTGGTGCTCCAGTTCCTGATCAATATAGAAGTATGATGAGATTAGATGTGGTTCCTCCTCAACGTGATGAAGTTGATCTTGTTGCTTGAAATGATTTTCCTTTAAACCTGATGTTTTATATATCTTGACTATTAGGCTCCTGATGTTAACCTTTTTGAGGTTATTGGAAATATTGCTTTATAGGGTTAAGTTGATTGTTAGTGCTGTGTATGTAGACAAGCTTTGACAAGTTGGTCTCAGCCTTCATATGTTCGGTGGTCTGATCTCAGCTTGGTCTAGGTGTGCCTCTTTTAGTCTGACCCCGATGCCCACATTTTGATTTCTTATGCTTCGATATGGTGTCTTATTTCAGCTCTCTTTGTTCAAATAGGCAATATATATGATGAGGATATGGATCCGGATACAGATGATCATTTCTCTGGTTTAGAAGTCTAAGCTTCAGACTAATGTTGCCAATGCAGTAATTGTGCCTAATGAATTGGATTTAACTTGCACGGACAAGCATGAAGAACCATTGGTTGCTCTATTTATGCATGTTGAAGAAGTAGAGACTCACTGTTGATTATAGGTGGTTTGTTAATACTCCCCTGCTTATGGAGTTTTGAGAAATCCATGCTTCTTAGAGATTGATTGGTAAGAATTTATCAAGCAAACTTTTCTCTGTTGAATACTTACAGCAATGGGGCCCTTTTGAGTCCTTAAATTGATGTATACTTGCATCAGAAATTGTTCTTCCTGAAAGAAAAAAGAGAAATTCCTTCAAAAAATATATTAGGTTTGCATTTATCATGTGATTGGGGTAGATGAATTGGTAGAAGCACTTTTTAGTTTTTACATTGTGACTCAATCTCAAAGTAAGAAAGTGCACTTTGAGCCTTAATGGGCTACTGATATTGACAAGTATATTGGCTCCGATAATGCACCTTAATTCAACAGAGTTTGACAGTGGCCTCTGAAGTCTGAACTTCAATGAAGTTCATCTTGGAAGAATGCATTGTTTACCTGTTAAGCAGCCATGAACGTACACAATTGTGGCAGAAGTTACTGAAGTTTGATAAATTAAGCAGATAGAGAGAGATAATAAGTCAAAAGCTTTTTGGATTATTGTGATCAATGTTATCATACCTACATTTTTTTGGAGGCTGCTCTCACCAGGAGAAGTTGTTGTCCATGTGTTGAGCAAACCTTTGGCCTTTGCATGTGGGGTGGGGCGGTTATTGTAAGTTGTTGGTCATGGATCTGAGATGGCACTTGTTCAACTGGGAGTTGGCAATGATACGAAGTGGTTCCAATACTAGATATTGTATTCAACATAACATAAGTATGAATTTAGTTAATTATTTTGTTAAAAATAATACCCAATTCAATACTTACTTTATCGGTAACGAACAGTTGCAAAAGAAAAAGAAAAAGCAATTCTAATGGAAACAAATATTGAATGATTTGTTGAAGATTAAGGACTTGGAAATTGAAATTCATAAGGTTAATTTGTTTTCGTGATTCAGAGATTTAAATGAAGATGGGAAGATAATTAGCCTCATTATTAATATACATATATTTAATTATATAAAAAAAAATGATAATTTTTCTTTTTTAATTTGGGAGAGAATAACATGAAAAGGCTTTGCAAGGGTTCAGATCGATAATATAAATACAATTAGTCAATAACCGATTCTTGATTTCATTTCCTCCGCTAACATATCAACATCAATACCTTGTCTCGACTCTCGACTCTTGAGTACGCTGTGAAAGAAACTGCTGTACCAAACACAAACGGAGAGAAGGAAGCCAGTACAAATACAAATGAGCGAGGTGTTCTTGAAAAAGTCGAAGCATGAAGAAGAAGAAAACGGTGGAGAGAACAGCAGAGAAGAGCAAGAAGAGCAAGAAGAGGCATTTGTTGCTTTGATCGAACACCGTACCAAAGAAGTTGAGCATCTCAAACAGCGTATCTCCTATTACAAATCTCAGGTTGTTGCAGTTCTATTTTTCTCGATAATTTTCTTTTTCTTTTCTGTTATTTTCTTCGTATTAATTTAATGACATTTCTATGGTTTCTTACGTATTTGTAAATGATTATCGTGAATTTGTCACTGTGAAATTCGTGCTAAAGTTTGGATTTTAGATCCTGAAATTGTTATTTGATACTAAAGTTTGACGAAAAGTTTACACTTGGAAGTTCTTTAACTTTTAGAAATTTAAAGCATAAACATTTAGATATCTGTGTTTTGGTTAACTAGAAAGAATGTTCAATAAAGGAGTTCTTTAACTTTTAAACATTTAAGGCATAAGCATTTAGTTACGTGTGTTTTGGTTGACTAGAAAGAATGTACAAGAAAGGAGTTTACTTTTTTTTTTTTTTTTTCCTTAAGAATGAAGTAGAAACTTGTGAAGATTTAGGTTCATCTTCTCTTTTATGAGGTTAAAAAACGGTAGCAGTTATTCTGCTTTTAGTACGAGTTTTCAACAAGGGAACTGAGTTTTAATTGATTGTTGTCATGGTTTACTTTATTTGTGTTGTATTTAGGGCAAGGATTGAGTTTTTAATATGAAGCTTTTGTTCGTGTTTTGCTTTAGTATTTTTTTATTTTTTCGAGGATAATAGCTACTAATTATATATTTGAAAAAGGCGTGCAGCTTGATGAAGCAGAGAAGAGGTTGCAAGATTCACAATCTAAATTGGCTCATCTTCGAGGCCGAGATAAGGCAGTGTCGTCTAGAAGTTCTCCGGCTAATGGAACTAAAAATGTTAAGGTGGAGCGGAGATCAATCAGTCCTGTTCGTGTTGATGAAGATCCTTCTAGAAGCCAACCTCAATCTAGAACGGAACTGGTAATTCCTGCTGTGAATCCCAAGATTTCTCAGCCCATAAAATCAACATGGTCTGGCATGAGAGATCCTGTTGGGTCCAGTGCTCAAGGAAGTCCTGCCTCTCACCCCAACAGTGTTGTAAAAGGGGAAAAATCCTATAGAAATTCTCGTGATACAGAAGTTGTTGATGTTCAAGATAGAGGAACAAAAAGGAAATTTGGTAATATTCTCACCTGTTGAATTGTAATGCATTATAAGTGTGTGTGTTTCCCAGGATTAAATGTTGGCCTCCGCTTTTGGTCAAGTGTTTTTCCGTCATGGTTTAAATTATATGTTATTGATGTTCATGCACTCTCTTTTTTCTTGGCTGTATTTCAGAGCAGAAAGAACATAAAGAATTGATCCCACTGGTGCAAAGCAGCTCTTCACCTTGCACAATTCGCTGTCATACGAGCAACCACATCTCTAGTCAGCACAAAAGAAAGTTGAGAAGTCTTTCGTTGTGCCCAGTGAATGATCAGCTTTTTGTGACCAGGTAATTAGATGTTTCATTAGATAGGGTATGGCAATATCAACTGATTATTATGCTGTGATGAGACTCCAGCAGCCACAATCGAAAACACACACAGCACAACCAACAATCAAAGAACAACCAAGATCAACAAATGTGTATTGATTCAAAGTTAAACCAAGTGCTGGAGTCACAGTCAGACCCAACCAGTAGCAAAAACAAAGAGAGGATAGTTCCTAGCAATTCGAGGAGCTAGGGGCCTCCATTGACAACTTTAGAGAATAATTTGCTTAGCCTATTCCCAATTCTAACTGTTTGTATATACCAGTGACCTTTTCCCATATTCCCTCCATACACAATAGTGCCATGTGTATTTCCTGCCATGTGTATTTCCTATAACTATATCCCACTGGCCCAACAAACCTTAGTGTTTATTCACACTCCTCACACCCTCCTGCCCTTTGTGCCCCTTGTATTGATAAACCTTAGTAATAGGGGGCCTATCAATACCCCCCCTTGAAGAGCCACCTTGTCCTCAAGGTGGAAATGAGGAAACTGGAGGTTGATGATGTTGTAGGCTTCCCAAGTAGCTTCAAAGGAAGGCAGGTTCTGCCATCGTATAAGAACCTCTTTAGTACCAACCAACAAAGAATGGACTGCCAGAACTGATTCAGGCTGGACAATGAGTTCCAAGTCCTCGGTGAGACAAGGAGGAAGTGGCTGGATGGGAATGGAGCTGTGCAAGCTACGTTTGAGTTGAGAAACATGGATAACCGGATGAATACGAGCAGTGGAAGGCAGATCCAGCAGATAGGCAACCTGTCCAATTCGTTGTAAGACGGGAAAAGGACCATAAAAGCGGGGACTCAATTTCTCATTATGTTTCCTGGCCAAGGACTTAAACCGGTAGGGCTGGAGCTTCAAAAACATGTGATCCCCAAGCTGAAAAGTAACATCCCGGCGGTGTACATCCGCACTCTCTTTCATATGCCCTTCAACGATGGATAAATTATGTTTAAGCTCCTCCAAGATGGAATTACGTTCGAACATCTGTTGATTCACTTCCTCCACCAATGACAGGCAATATGTGAACTTGAGTAGAGTAGGAGGATACCTGTCGTATAAAGCCTTGAAAGGGGTCATCCGAGTTGAATTGTGGTAATTCGTATTGTACCAAAATTCCGCCTAAGAGAGCCAAGAGGACCAATGCTTGGGTTCAGAGCTGCAAAAACACCGCAAGTAGGCCTCCACACACTGATTCACCACCTCAGTTTGGCCATCTGTCTGTGGGCGTTAGGCCGAACAGAATTTCAATGTAGTGCCAGATGCCTTGAAGAGTTCTTGCCAAAATTGGCTGATAAAAATCTTGTCCCTGTCGGACACAATAGACTTTGGAAACCCACTGAGCCTCACAATTTTTGATACAAAAACAACTACTACATCTTTAGCACTATAGGGATGGCAAAAGAGGATGAAGTGGCTATACTTAGTGAGTCTGTCGACCACCACTAGGATAGTATCGTGTCCCCAAGACTTAGATAGTCCTCAAATGAAATCCATGCTAATATCCTCAAATACTTGGGTAGGGATGGGTAAGGGTTGGAAAAGGCCCGCTGGTTTAAGGGTTGAGTGTTTATTGAGTTGGCAAACAGTGCATCTCTTCACAAATTCTTGAACGTCCCTCTTAATCCCTTCCCAAAAGACAAGGCTGGCCACCCTTTTATAAGTGCAAAAGAAACCCGAATGCCCCCCACTTGGGCTACAATGAAACTCCTCTAGCAACTTAGGGATGAATTTGGAGAACTTGGGAAGAACAATCCTGTTTTTGTAAAGCAGACAGCCTTTTCGAAGTTGGTAGTGGGGTCTACTGGTGGGGTCGAATAAGAGATCTTGCATAATGATTTGAAGCTTAGGGCCCTGTTGAGCTTCGGCAACTATCTCATCAAAGTCTGAAAATTGGACCATTAATATGGCAACCATCTCACCTACCTCCTCTCTATGAGACAATGCATCTGCCACTTGGTTGGAGGATCCCGGTTGGTAGTGAATTTCGAAAGAGAATCCCATGAGTTTCGAAATCCACTTCTGCTGTTTTGGTGTCTTCATTCGCTGGTTAGTCAAGAACTTTAGACTACGCTGGTCTGTCTTAATAATGAACTTGCGCCTAATAAGGTAATGACTCTATTTGTGGACAGCAAACACTATGGCCATGAGTTCCTGTTCATACATACATTTCTGCTTTGATTGGCAAGAAAAAGCTTTACTAAGAAAAGCAATTGGGCGTTATTTTTGGACCAGGACAACCCCCATCCCTTGCCTAGAAGCATCGGTGTGTACTTTGAAGGGTAAGTCAAAATCAGGTATGGCTAGCACCGGAACCGTTGTCATTGCTGTTTTGAGGGCCTCAAAGGCTTGTTGAGCTATCTCATCCCGTGTAAAAGAATCCTTCCGAAGTAGTTGTGTTAAGGGTTGAGCAATCAGTCCATATCCCCTTACAAAGCAACGATAATAACTTGTTAGCCCCAAGAATCCCCTCAAACCTTTTATAGTGCGGAGGGCTGGCCAAGACAACATCGAGTCAATCTCTTGCGGATCAGCTTCCACCCTTTTGGTTGAAATTAGGTGGCCTAAGTATTCGAGTTTCTGTTGTGCGAATAGACACTTCTTGCGGTTTACGACCAACTCATTTGTCTTAAGAATCTGGAAAACTTGTCTAAGGTGCTCCAAATGGGTGTGCAAGTCGAGGCTGTAGATAAGTATATCGTAAAAAAAAAAAACCAGGACGAACTTCCTTAAAATTGACTTGAAGATAGTATTCATTAAAGCCTGAAAAGTGGAAGGGGCGTTCGTTAAATTGAAGGGCATAACTAGGAACTCATAGGGCCCCTCATGAGTTTGAAAAGCTGTCTTAGCTATGTCTTCCTCCCTTAATCTGATCTGGTAGTACCCGGATTTCAAATCCAACTTAGTGAAAATCGTTGCTCCTGCCTGTTCATCCAACAACTCTTCGATTGAGGGAAAGGGGAACTTATCTAGGATGGTGAGACTGTTCAGGGCGCGGTAGTCAACACAGAAGCGCCAACTCCCGTCTTTCTTTTTCACTAGTAAAATAGGGCTAGAAAAAGGGCTTGTACTTGGCTGAATTATTCCCGTTATCAGCATCTCCCCAACCAATCTCTCAATTTCATTTTTCTGGACGTAAGCGTATTTGTAAGGACGTATGTTAGGAGGTTTGGCCCCATCCTGGAGGATTATGGGATGGTCTGTGGATCTTTTGGGAGGTAGTTTGGTAGGTTGGTCAGAGACTTGGTTGAACTCTTCCACCACTTCCTAGACTCTAGGTTCAATTGGCTCAACTTCCTTAGCTGTTTTGCTCTCTATGGAACAAAATTCGAACACATACCTAGCCCCTTTTATCTGTATCGATTTCAGCATGGCTTTGAGTGAGACAACTGTCTTGACCAAAGAAGGATCTCCCCTTAACATGACCTTTTTTCCTTCTCTGGCAACAGCCATGGTCAGGTTTTTCCAGTTAGCACACACATCTCCCAGAGTGCTCAACCAAGCGACTCCCAACATAACTTCGACCCTGCCTAATTCAAAGGGAAAAAAATCTTGTTGTATCTCAATCCTCTGTTCCCATCAGACCTCTAAGCTTAAGAGTCTTGCCTGAAATCATCCCTACGATAGAATTCATTGGCAAAGCAAAAGTATTACCTTCTAAGATTGGTTCATCGTCGGCTTCTGGTGGTGTCTCCTTTTTCTTCATCTCCTCTTCATCTTCCAGAATCAACCAAACCTGCAGAGATTTATTTCTACATCGGTGGTTTGGCCCAAACTTCTCATCACAACAGAAACACAATCCCTTCACTTGTTTGTACTGGATATCGGCCTCTGTTAATCGCCGGAACCTATCGCCTTTGGCAGGCGTTGTAACACCCTCCATTGGTTTTCCTTCCTTTTCCCAACTACTGTTTTGTGAACTCACCCCTTGCCTCGCTTCTCCGTTTTCATCAGGTTATTCCACTAGTTTGGTCGGCTTTATTCTGGGTTGGATGAGACCCGGTGGTAAGAATTTGGTTTGTAGGCTTGGGTTCCATTAAATCTGGACCGGGTTTTATCTAAAACCCAATTTTTCTCCTCAATACAATGGGCTTGCTCAATTAACTCCATAGTTCCTCTTTAAGCTCATTTGAGAAAATTCCCACATGGAGGTCTTCTCCTACCTCACGCAAGGGGGCTGAAAGTGCCTCAAATTGTTCTTTGAACTTAGTCATGGTTCCTGTCTGCTTTAGCGCAACCAATGACTCGTAAGTTGTTCCCTAGTGCGATGACCTGAAGCGTTTCACTAATGCCGATTTGAAAGAGCTCCAAGAGAGAATCAGCGCTCGAGTGTCAACCCACTGGTACCAGTTCAGCGCATGCCCCTCCATGCACACGGCGGTAGCGTCAACCTTCTCTTCTTCCTCAAATTGGTTCACCTGGAAGTATCGGTCAGCTTTGAAAGTCCATCCTAATGGGTCTTCGCCGTTGAATACAAGTAATTCTAGCTTCTTTCCCTTTTGATCTTCTTTGCCATTTTCGATTCCCTTTAGTCGATCTTGGTTACCTAAACCTTCCGGTGTCTCGTTTCTTGTCTTATCAGTATTCCTACTCTCGTCCTTCTCATCTCTAATCCTCATCCACTCTCGAAGCTCAACGAGGTAACCCTTGATGCTTCCCATTTCTTCCTTCATGTTCCCCATTTCCTTCTCAATTCCATTTCCGATTTTACCTTCACCTAAACAAGGCTCTGATACCAATTTGATGAGACTCTAGCAACCACAATCGAAAATACACACACAGCACAACCAACAATCAAAGAACAACCAAGATCAACAAATGTATATTGATTCAAAGTTAAAACAAGTCCTGGAGAGTCCTAGTCAGACCGAACCAGTGGCAAAAACAAAGAGAGGATAGTTCCTAGCAATTCGAGGAGCTAGGGGCCTCCATTGACAACTTTAGAGAATAATTTGCTTAGCCTATTCCCAATTCTAACTGTATGTATATACTAGTGACCTTTTCCCATATTCCCTCCACACACAATCCTGCCACCTGTATTTCCTGTAACTATATCCCACTGGCCCAACAAACCTTAGTGTCTATTCACACGCCTCACACCCTCCTGCCCTTTGTGCCCCTTGTATTGATTCCTTAGTAATAGGGGGCCTATGAATCTGATTTGGCATGTTTGAGACTTCCAATTTTTTCTTTCTATGGTCAAACGTGTGAATAATAAAACCATGGTTTTTTTTTTTTTTTTTCTTTTTGGTGTTTCCTGTCTCCTTTGTAATATTAAGATTAGCTACGCTTTGAAAAGGGTCTGTCCACTACATGACTTTTAAATGCATTTAGGTTTTTGGCTTGTACATGAACATGAACTTTTGTTTTAGTAACGAGTTTGAGAAAGTAGGTGCATGAAGTGCTTGTGGCTGTGCACTTGCTCATCTTGTACATCTTTTAGGTGGTTTTCGATTTTTTTTGAAGACATTTTTTACTTTGTGCTTATGCAATAAGTAACTGTCATTTTTTTTATGATTATACAGGACTAACTTTTGCTGGTAACTTTGGAAATTTTGCAGTGCTTTGGATGGAATGGTCAGCTTGTGGCAGCTTCAATCTAGGGGGTAAATCTGAAATATTTGTCTTTCTCAAGTGACTTTTTCTCCCCGTTGGCTTACCAGGATTTTGACTGGTTGCAGTGTGAACCTTTGCTTATCATACAAGTGTGCTTATATTCATTGTATTGCATTGTTATGATAGTGTTACTTGCCAACTAATGCTGTGAAGGTAATGCTTATGAGGAGAACTCTAGAGCATGATGCATGGCTGAAATGTCTTAACTAGATTATTTATTGAAAATTATCAGCGAAGCCTATAGATTTGGTGAAGAAAAATCATATTGAAACGACTCAAGCCTCTATTACTTATCTATAAATGATAAAAGGTAAGTTTGAAAATATGATCAAATTAATCCTAATAGAACTAAATCCTGAAAGGAAAACAATCGTAGTTAAAATTAAATGAGTGAAACAAATTAGAGATAAATCCTAAAATAATGAACTTCATCCCCTAATTGGTCTGCATTACGACTTCATTTTTTATTTTGTTCCAAATTGGTGTATTTGTTCCTTGCTCTGTGCTCATATGGTTTTCCCTTCAACTGCAGGTCAGGTGCCTCTTTACTCAGTACAAGTGATTGTGTATCTCCAAAGCAGAGGAGATGGCCTGAAGATATAGCCTGGCACCCACAAGGAAACAGCCTTTTTTGTGCTTACACTGCTGATAGAGGGGATTCTCAGATATCGGTCCTAAATCTGAATAAAACACAGGGGGTAAGTGTTACCTTAATGCAGATCAAATACATATAATGCTGGTACTTAAATCTTGTGTGTAAATTTGCATGACATATATTTCTATTGGACTGGGACTTGTATGGGCTGCATCTACTATCACAAGTTATTTAGCATACAACTGCTATGTTCATAAAGAAAATTCTCCTTTGGATAACGAATACTGAAGTTTTTATTTTTGTGCATCAATAGAGAGCTCGTGTAACTTTCCTTGACGGTAAACCTCATGTCAAAGGTATTATCAACAGCATAATTTTCTTGCCATGGGAAAATGCCTCTTTTGTAACTGGTGGTAGTGATCATGCTGTTATACTTTGGAGTGAGAGAGATGCTGAGAACTCATGGATGCCAAAGGCGCTGCACAGGAATATGCATTCCTCTGCTGTCATGGGAGTTGCTGGGATGCAGCAAAAGCAGATTGTATTGTCTGCTGGTGCAGACAAGAGGATTATTGGGTTTGATGCAGGAGCAGGAAGAGCTGATTTCAAGCATCAGATAGATAGTAAATGCATGAGTGTTCTGCCAAACCCATGTGACTTCAATCTATTCATGGTTCAAACAGGGTAAGAAACTTCTATTATGCAATGAGAATCTTCTTCATCTTTTCTACTGCCACTCTCTTTGCAATCCTAGCATTTGGATTTCTAAATTCACTTGCTGTGTCCAAGTATTTTGAGAAGTGGATTTCATTTGTCAAATAAAGAACTTTAAAACTTTCAAGTTATGCTTCATTGAAGAAAGCAATGCAATGATTTGAAAGACCCTACAGAAGATCAAATTTTAATCTGCTGCCGTTGTGGTGGAAGGAATTGATAATGTAGTAGTATATGACATGGTGATTTTTTGTACGTAATATATCTTATTATACAAATTTAGCTTTTTAAAATTGCGATTGGAGAAATGCGCTCGTAATTAATTGTCTTGAGATTTGAATCATCAGCTGTAAAGTTTTAAGATTTAAATTACTGGATTATTGAGTCTGCTTACTGTCATGCATGGTTCATTTTGGATAATTGGATGGTTTAACATGAATTTCTATTCAACCAGGAGATCATAGTCTGGGATGAGAAAGGCCATTTGATTACATAAATTTTACATATCTTGAAAAGCAAGACTTATGCTGCTACTGTAGTCACAAATTTTGATTTTCAGCGTGAAGTTTTGACAATGAGATGACATGTTTTCAGGACACCGGGAAGGCAGCTGCGGTTGTTTGATATTAGATTGAGGCAGACTGAAATTCATGGTTTTGGATGGAAGCAAGAGAGTAGCGAATCCCAGTCAGCTCTGATAAATCAGGCTTGGTCTCCTGATGGTTTATACATAACATCTGGTTCAGCTGATCCCGTAATCCACCTCTTTGATATCAGATACAATGCTCACAAGCCATCCCAATCACTAAAAGCTCATCAGAAACGGGTTTTTAAAGCTGTGTGGCATTATTCTTATCCACTTCTTATTTCCATTTCTTCTGATCTGAACATTGGATTGCACAAAATTTAGAATGCCATTAACATAGGACATATTTTCACTTATTTTGAGTCGCTTTTCAATTTGCTTGCCCCACTCTCGTCAGATGGTAATTTTGCTTCATCCTAGCAGTACTAAGCCATTGGGATGTATAGGATGAAAGAACCGAGAACCCTGACAGGGAGGTTGGGTTGTATCACTTATCAAATTTTGTAATTCTTTTTGTCCCCTCGGGGAAAATATATGCTTGTGTATTCCTTCCCAATATGCTTTATTGTTAATGTTGCATACTAACATGGGATTTAGTGACGATGTATATGTTTAAGGCTTCAAGCTTGATCCCATTATTTTTCACGGTATATGCTTTATAGATTGGAAAAAGAAAATCATTTCTCTGTACCTATTGATGGATACAAGAGAAGAATCCACTGTACGATGCAACGGGTAATTGTTACGGCTTGATCTGCACAAGGTGTATGACATGTTCTAAAGACTGAGGTGGGTACCAGGAGGGATTGTCCGTGTTTCGACCTGGCTAGGGCCACGCCAATCCAACATACCGTTGACCCACCCCAACTCCTCAAAAATCATCATTTTTTGTCTCTGCTTTGTTCCCTCAAACTAATAATAATAACTTGCAGTTGTAAAGTCTTCATAACTTAGCTCTCCATGCTGCCTGGCTTGTTTGTTATTTCATTAATCATAATGCTTGAAACAGATTCACTATTGTCCATTCTTGTCTAAATCAAAGTTAAAGTAAGACACGACAGAAATGCGCTCCATGTTGATGTCGTTGTAAGAGATATTAAAGAGTGCCATTCCATCGTTTTAGAAAATGGACCTTGACCAAGACTAGACCTCCACCAAACTTACCACAAATTTCCGTGTAAGTTGTAAGTCATTCTGCGTCACTTTCTTTACTACTTGCGTCAAGATTCAAGATATTTTTTTCTTGTGTTCTGACTTAACCGAAGTGGATATATCTAATTTTTCATTATCAAACCACCTCCAACCTTAAGATTCCCGAACATGAACCCATTGAATGTAATGAAAATGAAGTCCGAGTTTGCCCCAGTAAACCCCACCATTGCTCTAGTGGTTGACCCCTTGGTGCTCGTTGACTCCCAATTACATTTTTTACTTGCACAACACCCGAAATTCCAATTCAGTTTCACCTCAACTTAATTCATTTCCTTTCAGCCTGATTAAGAAGCTTACCTGAAAAAAAAAAAAAAAAGACTTATTAAATAAATGATAATATACAATAATTTTACATAGTGAATTATACCTGAAAGGAAGAGAATCTAAACAGAAAAAAGTGACAGAGTAAACAAATGAAAGATACGGTAGAAACAAAATTAATTATGTAATGGTGAAGTGGGCCAAAAGAAACCATGACCAATGCTTGTGATTGAAGACTAATTAATGGGTAACCATTCACAAACACGATATTAGGATTACAAAATAAAACTGGGGTATGGTTATTATGCCATGCTTTTGGGTGCTAGTAGCAACCAAGCAAGCAGCCGATTGGATCCCAAAATGTGCTTCTTAGCAGCAGACATGCATGGCCTTTTGCTTTAATTTTTTATATTGGTTTTAGAAGAAGAAAGATATATTATGGGTCTTTTACTCATGCTTTGCCATGTTCAATTTCAAACATCACCTTCCACTTGACAATATTCTTCAATTGCTTTGCTTGTGCTTGTTCTATCATATAATATAACTATACACAATCATATTTACGCAACTAATTAATTCATACCTTCTACTCTAAGTCTTATGCTCATAATTACACCACATATATATATATATTTCCCACTTTAAATCCCACAAGAGAAAACAAAATAATATCAAAAAATCTCCAAGTGAAAATATATTTTAATGTTAATGAAATTTTTTTCATCCTATACATAAGAACAGCTTTCCATCGGATGCAAAATCCTAAATCAAAATGCAGATATGTTTTAATTTATTATTTGTTTTATAATATAATATGGATAAATAAAGTGGGGTAATTAAATGCCATAAGTAATGTTTCCAAAAAACATTACATCTTAAATGACATATTTGCATACCTTTTTATCATATTATAAAACAGTGGGACCATTAAACTTTATTTAAAAATAATTATAAATTACTTTGATTTTGTCTGTTAAAAGTTTATGTTAATAATTGGTAAATTTTGTATTCTCAGGTGCTGAATTGGACCCACAGCTTAATTATACAGATGAATCAAGACATAAATATCGGAAGAAACATATAATAAATTCATTCTAACATCAGATTGGAAGGACATAACATGATGAATTTGGACTTCATTTAAATCATAACATGTTTATAATAAAATATTGTATTATTGTAATGACGAATTAAGTTAAAGAAGGGGCTATATATCTTAGATTTGGGATTCTACATTTTGTTATGTTTATTTTGGACCACATAATGTATAATTTACGTCATCTAATCAAATATCTCAAAGTATATCCTATATACCATTATTTGACGTCAAATGAAATTATATTAAACCATAATGTGAAATAGTTACAATTCAGTATTTTAGCAATTACATTTTTTAATTAAATATTAATTTATTTTGAATTTGGATAGAGGGATTTTTTAGTGGTCATAATCTGACAAAGTTGGGCTTTGAAAGAAGGGGCACATTTTTGACTATTAATTTGAATTGTGGAATGTCCAAATTTGAATGCAGCCTTAGATCAACTCACTCTCAAATCATCCACAACCGCGTTAATTCAATTAAATTATTTTATCATAATATTATATCATGTCATTTATATTTGAAAAAATACACATAAGATTTATGATTTAGTATTTTATTAATATAGAAATCAAAATACATTTTGAAATTGAATCAACAATCGCTCTTACAACATGTGATCTGACTTAACCGTCACTGCTCATAAACGTATTTCCCCCGTTAACGACTTTGTAGAGAATCTCTCCTCAAATTTTCATTTTTCTCCTAATAAACGCGTTTTCGATGAATGCAATTATGTTTCAAAATATTTTAGTATTATTTTAATTGTTTTCTTTGATAACTCAAATCACAAGAAAACATGAGAAAAGTGATGGTTATGTTTTATCACTCTATAAATTATTAAAATCTTTATAATTATATGATCAAATCCACAAATGAAGTTATTCTAATACACATACCAATTATGCTAAGACTAATTCCTATGAGGATTTTTAAGCAGATTGGGATTACCCAAGTGACCTTTCACGTAAATTAATTAATTATATTTTGGTAAATTTAAACGATTTTTCTGAGAACAATTTTATAAAACGTCTTGAGATTTCAAAATTTTTAGTGTTTGTTGGGTTGGGTTATAGTTGCAAATATAAAGCTACAAAGTGGGGTCAATTTAAGAAGTCGATAGATAAATCAATACTGAGTCTGAGTGCCTTCACTTTTTCAATTTTCATTTCAATGTTTTTGAAACGCAGCACCTTGCCAACAATAAGGTTTTACTAGTTCATTTTTCATTTCAAATACTTCTCAGCCAAGCCGCGCCAACCTCTGCTGACACATAAACCATGGGCAATTGCTGTTCCGAAACCGGCGGCGGTATGACAGCTGTCGGCGGTACTGCCGCTCCGACCACCGCTGGCTCTCCAAATCAAGCCGTTGACTTATTCCTTAAGTCTCGGGGCTTCCTCGGTCTCTTCTCTCAGATCGAGGTTACTCATATCTCTTCTAGTTTTTTACTTTTATTTTTGTTATCACTCACATTTTAGAACTAATTAGTGGATTTTCCAATCTAAAATTTATTTGTGATTTTTTCAGCCGTTTTGGATTTTAAGCTAATAATACTATGAAAACCAGTGGCACTCTGATTATCAGTTACTCAATTTGGCATATGGAATAGTTGATTGCATTTCTTGTAAAGATTTGTAAATTATCCCTTGAAAAGAATGTGAACAATTTATGCTGATTTTTTTTTTTCCGTTTATTTATGCAATAATAATGCTTTTGCAGTTATCATTTTCGGCCAGTGACTTGCGTGACCGAGATGTCCTCTCCAAGGTTTGTTGATCTAAATTTTTATCTAATTTGTAGGTTAAATTTTGATGGTTTTCATGTATACGGGTGCTATTTGAAACCAAACCAGAGTTTATTCGAAATATCATATGTTTACAATCTGATCCAGTCTTAGTTAATTAAGGAATATGCAATTGGAAATGAAGCATCTATGAAATTTATGAATGTTTTGTTTAGTAATATACAAGTGGAAATGGAGCATAGTGCTTCAATGGTCGAGGTAACCCTGAATTAATTGTTTTGAAGACAGTACTTGTTTAGTTGTGAATTCTTGCGGTTGGCAGTACCATCAACAATTGTATTAGCTATGGGATGCTTTTTTAAGAATTGTCTATGTCTGCAGTAGTGTGGAGATTGTATTTTGATGATCTCTGAAGATAGTTGACATCATAATAAATTGCTATTGGTTTGAGCAATTCTAAGGCAATGTTAACCAGTGTCTTTAATTCCTCAGAGCTGAAACCTTTGTTAATTTGTGTTGATATAAATATGAAAATTGACCAAACAGTAGATGGTTGACTAAATTTAACTGACCATCATTTTTGGCATATGATCTCCATTGCCTGAATTTGAAGGAGAAACATGTGAAATAAGGTCAGTGATGATGGTGACAAGTTTTAGTAGTGGCCATGTCTTTATGAACTTGCTGGTTCCTTATGTAAGGCTCCACATGGAGTCTTTGCAGCATTCGCTTCTTTCTCTTTGTGAGATGGTGGTTGATATGTTTGTCTATCTTAACAATTGGTAATAGAACCTGGTTCTCCACCAGAAAGGCCGGAAGAATTCAGTGTCTTTATTTTTATTATTAAATCAGAAGTGATAATTATTTGTAGCCGATAATCTATCCACCAAAGAAGTAGATAATTTCAAACCTTATATCATCTAATACCTGCGGCGCTTTGATTCGATCACATCTGGTGTCAAATTGATGCCTCATCAATAGGTTGGTTGATTAGAAAAACGAATTACCCACAGTGGAAGCCAGAAAATTAAGTCGTGGCTCATACCATAACATACTTATTTGTCATTGGTCCTTTAATTTAGTAGTTCCTTTTAAGTCTTATTCATTAGGATTAGTAACTGTATATGCGAAGCGTATTTATATAATTTTTAGAGTTGATTTATGAGATTTGAGCTTCTATTTAGTTCCTTTTGATAAACTCTATTGCTTTCTTCAATTTCCTTAACTGTTTTCCATCTTTCTTTTCTTTATCATCCGCTCCAAACTATTATTTAAGCACACATGGCCTGACCTGGTTTCTCATTGTTTTGAATCCTGAAATCCTATTTTCTAGATTCAACCTTTACATCTATTGACCCTTATCTAAGATCTTAAGCTTTTGGATTAAGTGGTGTATGCTTTTGGGTTCAAATCCCTCAAACATTGCAACTTAAATCAATTGTCTCAATCAATTCAAACCTCAGTCTTGGGCTCTTGCTGGATCCACTAGACCTAAAAGCGAAATCTTTTTCTAGTGTTGTTCTTTTGGATTGATTAGATGTTCTATTTCTACTCAGAAGGTTTAATTATCATCTCCTTATATTTGCTTGCTTCAGAGTGATCCCATGCTGGTGGTTTATACAAAAGCTAGAGATGGAGCAGTTACTGAAGTATGCCGTACTGAAGTAGTCCTTAATTCTTTGAGTCCTGCATGGATTACAAAATATACCATTACATATCAATTTGAGGTTGTGCAAACCTTACAGTAAGTTCTAATTCTTTCAGCTCTATTTTTTATTGACCAAATGTCCATTTTTATAGGTTATATTGTCTTGTAATTTGTGAAACTGCTATCTATCACAGATTTCGTATATATGATGTTGACACTCAGTTTCACAATGCTGATGTAAAGGTAACTTTTTCCCCTCCCCCCTATAATGTTGTTTCTATTTCTAGTTTTAATTTTTTAATTTTTATAGAGCAAGAAATCATTTTAATTGAACATATACTAATACATATGATCTAGCAACACGTGCCAACTCCATCAATAAGATTCACTAAGTAACAAATCTACAGTTGCTCTAAAATACCATAAGTTTTAATCTTTACTTGTCATGATATGGCTCAAAATCTGCATATATATAGTCTTTCTCTCTTGTGGATGCCTTTCTTAAAATTTGGACTTAAATTCTTGTGTGCAAGAAATTGCCAGATTTTTTTCCTTTTAACAGTTTCATTTGGTTGGAAAGAGATTAAAAAATTGTGAACTCCTATCAACTCTTGCATGCGAGAGTTGAATTAAAATTTTAGTCCCACACTTGATAATTTATATATATATATATGCATATATATTCAACTTGAAAGCTAGAAAATATCTGTGTTAAAACTGTTGAATTGTTTAATTTTTTATTCATCTTGTTAAAGTGATGATTAACAAAGTTTGTATTCGTAATTTTTGAAATCATAAATTCACTTTAGACAATTCAATATCTCCGACTTCGAATGTGTCACTCATTTATTGTTTTTACTCTCATTTATATGCTTATGTTATATGAAATACTTTAAAAGAAATAGAAAAAGAATTTTCTACGTTTTACTTGCATTGAAGTGCATTCTAGGATATCATTAGATAACAGATGATTCCACTTATGCAGATGCTTAAGTTGGAGGAGCAGCAATTTCTTGGTGAGGCTACTTGTACATTGTCAGAGGTATGACATAGGGGCAGCTTCTTTTAATTTTTTTGTTCAATGTATGGTTGAACATTGAGAACTTTAATGTTGTTCTGCTGATTCAAACCATACTTAATACTCATTGACATTCTCATTTCTCTCTGGTAGATTGTCACCAAACCAAACAGGTCACTGACCTTAGAACTTGTACGCAGAGAAGATTCTATCACATCAACCCGTCCACAACACCGTGGAAAGCTTACTGTGCATGCTGAAGAATGCATAAACTCTAAGACTACAACAGAGTTGATATTAAGGTGTTCAGATTTGGAATATAAGGATCTCTTCTCTAGGAATGTATGGCTGCTGATTTCTTATTTCTCTCTCTTATATTAGACATTTTGGGACATTCTAATAATGTTTGGGTGCATGTCTGACATATTTTGCAGGACCCCTTTCTGGTAATATCAAAAATCATGGAGGGTGGGATGCCTATCCCTGTGTGTAAAACAGAGGTCTTGAAGAATGAAATGAAACCAGAATGGAAACCGGTGTTTTTGAATATTCAGCAAGTTGGAAGCAAGGTATTGGGAAGATTTCATGTGGGGTGCTAAAATCTGCAAACTAGTAGAAATAGGACATCCTGCAGTCTAGGCATAATTAAATTTTTGCTATATATAATGGCATGCTCTTCTTTTTATTGTTTATGTAGTAATAAGTTAACTTTTTTTTTTTTTTTTTCTTAAATTCAGCTTACATTGGCAGTGCTGGTTTAGGGTAGATATGTAGTTTTTTAAGTAGGATAACAGTTACCTGTCAAGAATATGCTACTTTTACCTGTCAAATTAAGTGTTGAATTTTATTTGTAATACTTAATTTTCTTGGAATCAGAGTCCTAAAAATTTATTTGTTTTATCATTAGTTTTCCTGTTATCATGGAAATGTATTGTGACATTTAGCACTTTTGCTGACCATAAATTTAGAACATGTACAAATTTAGTTAGAGCATGCATTTTGAGGTACTTCTCCGTAAGATTATGCATTGCCTTATTTGTTTATTACTAGCTATCTAATTTCTCTGCTTGGATTAAATTGCAGGATAGTCCTTTAATAATAGAGTGCTTTAACTTCAATAATAATGGAAAGCATGATTTGATTGGGTAAATGGAGATCTTTTTACTTTTTCCTTCTCTCTCTCACTCTAGAGTTGTATAAACCAAAGTAATGATTATGCTTATTTGTTGTTATTTTACCAGAAAGGTTCAGAAATCACTATCAGACTTGGAAAAACTTCATTCTAGTGGCCAAGGAGAGTATTTGTCTCTACCAACCGCAGTTGGGCATAATTACCACAGCAAGGTTAGCTTTTTAGATCAGGTTGATTCCCATGCTGCTGTCGTATGTCTGTTTCTTTCCTCAAATTTTTTTTAACTTCTATTGCAGATTCTAAAGAGCCAGCTTTTTGTGGACAAGTTTTCGGAGTGTGTTCAATATACTTTCCTTGATTACTTGGCTGGGGGATTTGAACTGAATTTCATGGTGGCTGTTGATTTCACCGGTATGTGTCTGCACATTTAATTTTAGGAAGCATGAAAATGGTTAATGTCCTAATTTATAAATTCTGGAAAACCAATTCTTGACAAGTTAGGTCGTCATTTATTTTGTTATGTAAATACCCATTCTTGTCTTGCCGTTATTTATGGCTATGCTCAATTTTATTAACATTTTGTTTATGTATTCCTACACGTGATACTTCTTAAGGTATAACGGTGCTTATNGACTTAAATTCTTGTGTGCAAGAAATTGCCAGATTTTTTTCCTTTTAACAGTTTCATTTGGTTGGAAAGAGATTAAAAAATTGTGAACTCCTATCAACTCTTGCATGCGAGAGTTGAATTAAAATTTTAGTCCCACACTGGATAATTTTTTTATATATATATATATTCAACTTGAAAGCTAGAAAATATCTGTGTTAAAACTGTTGAATTGTTTAATTTTTTATTCATCTTGTTAAAGTGATGATTAACAAAGCTTGTATTTGTAATTTTTGAAATCATATATTCACTTTAGACAATTCAATATCTCCGACTTTGAATGTGTCACTCATTTATTGTTTTTACTCTCATTTATATGCTTATGTTATATGAAATACTTTAAAAGAAATAGAAAAAGAATTTTCTACGTTTTACTTGCATTGAAGTGCATTCTAGGATATCATTAGATAACAGATGATTCCACTTATGCAGATGCTTAAGTTGGAGGAGCAGCAATTTCTTGGTGAGGCAACTTGTACATTGTCAGAGGTATGACATAGGGGCAGCTTCTTTTAATTTTTTTGTTCAATGTATGGTTGAACATTGAGAACTTTAATGTTATTCTGCTGATTCAAACCATACTTAATACTCATTGACATTCTCATTTCTCTCTGGTAGATTGTCACCAAACCAAACAGGTCACTGACCTTAGAACTTGTACGCAGAGAAGATTCTATCACATCAACCCGTCCACAACACCGTGGAAAGCTTACTGTGCATGCTGAAGAATGCATAAATTCTAAGACTACAACAGAGTTGATATTAAGGTGTTCAGATTTGGAATATAAGGATCTCTTCTCTAGGAATGTATGGCTGCTGATTTCTTATTTCTCTCTCTTATATTAGACATTTTGGGACATTCTAATAATGTTTGGGTGCATGTCTGACATATTTTGCAGGACCCCTTTCTGGTAATATCAAAAATCATGGAGGGTGGGATGCCCATCCCTGTGTGTAAAACAGAGGTCTTGAAGAATGAAATGAAACCAGAATGGAAACCAGTGTTTTTGAATATTCAGCAAGTTGGAAGCAAGGTATTGGGAAGATTTCATGTGGGGTGCTAAAATCTGCAAACTAGTAGAAATAGGACACCCTGCAGTCTGGGCATAATTAAATTTTTTCTATATATAATGGCATGCTCTCCTTTTTATTGTTTATGTAGTAATAAGTTAACTTTTTTTTTCCTCAAATTCAGCTTACATTGGCAGTGCTGGTTTAGGGTAGATATGTAGTTTTTTAAGTAGGATAACAGTTACCTGTCAAGAGTATGCTACTTTTACCTGTCAAATTAAGTGTTGAATTTTATTTGTAATACTTAATTTTCCTGGAATCAGAGTCCTAAAAATTTAATTGTTTTATCATTAGTTTTCCTGTCATCATGGAAATGTATTGTGACATTTAGCACTTTTGCTGACCATAAATTTAGAACATGTACAAATTTAGTTAGAGCATGCATTTTGAGGTACTTCTCTGTAAGATTATGCATGGCCTTATTTGTTTATTACTAGCTATCTAATTTCTCTGCTTGGATTAAATTGCAGGATAGTCCTTTAATAATAGAGTGCTTTAACTTCAATAATAATGGAAAGCATGATTTGATTGGGTAAATGGAGATCTTTTTACTTTTTCCTTCTCTCTCTCACTCTAGAGTTGTATAAACCAAAGTAATGATTATGCTTATTTGTTGTTATTTTACCAGAAAGGTTCAGAAATCACTATCAGACTTGGAAAAACTTCATTCTAGTGGCCAAGGAGAGTATTTGTCTCTACCAACCGCAGTTGGGCATAATTACCACAGCAAGGTTAGCTTTTTAGATCAGGTTGATTCCCATGCTGCGTGTCCGGATTGCTGTTTCCTTTCCTCAAATTTTTTTTAACTTCTATTGCAGATTCTAAGAGCCAGCTTTTTGTGGACAAGTTTTCGGAGTGTGTTCAATATACTTTCCTTATTACTTGGCTGGGGGATTTGAACTGAATTTCATGGTGGCTTGTCGATTTCCACCGGTATGTGTCTACACTTTAACTAATTTAGGAAGCATGAAAATGGTCAATGTCCTAATTTATAAATTCTGGAAAACCAATTCTTGACAAGTTAGGTCGTCATTTATTTTGTTATGTAAATACCCTTCTTGTCTTGCCGTTGTTTAGGCTATCTCAATTTTATTAACATTTTGTTTATGTATTCCTACACGTGATACTTCTAAGGTATAACGGTGCTCATACTATCTGTAAATTTTCCCTATTAGAATAAACTATTCTTTAGCCCCGCCCCACCCCCCCCCCCCCCCCCCCCAAAAAAAAAAGTTCCTTGATTTTAACCTCTGTTTTGTGATACCATGAGATTCTAGCAATAATATGGTGGGTCTCACATCGACCCACCCAATATGTGTTTCCTAAGGTGTTTCCTAAGTGCTATCTTCTTTAATGCAGGAAATTTTAAATATAGCATCTCATAACTCTGAGTTTTATTTACTGTTACTGAATTATTTACAGTTATTTTTAATCCTTCTCTGAGTTATTTTCAACTATTTTCTTTTGAAGCATTTTTCCTAATTTTACAATCAATTTCTGTTAATTCTTCTTTTTACCGTTTCATTTCTAAACTTAGTTTGAACAGATATTTTTCAAATCTATTATTTAGAACATATTAAATGTGTTGGTTTTAGGTTCTGCAAAATTTCATTTGGACTAATTGTCATCTTTGTCTATCAGCTTCAAATGGAAATCCCCGCCTCCCTGATTCCTTGCATTATATTGATCCCTCTGGAAGACCAAATGCATATCAAAGAGTGAGAACAAGTCTCTTTGTTTGTAATTTCGTGTAAATTTCTATTGTTAGTGGATCCACGCAAACATCATGCATTTCCTTTTTCAGGCGATCTTAGAGGTTGGAGAGGTTTTGCAATTTTATGATACTGATAAACGCTTTCCTGCTTGGGGTTTTGGAGCACGGCCAATCGATGGTCCAGTTTCTCATTGCTTCAACTTAAACGGAAGCAGTACTTACTGTGAGGTGAAACAGTTGCAAAACATAAACTTCCTCTCATTATTTGGATGACCTTATCTTTTACTCTTAGCTGTTTGCCTCCATATTAAGGTGAAATAAATCATTTTCTCTCAGGTGGAAGGAATCCATGGAATTATGACAGCATATACAAGTGCCCTCTTTAATGTATCTCTTGCTGGGCCAACACTTTTTGGACCTGTCATTAGCCATGCTGCACAAATTGCTGGCCAATCTCTTGCCAATCGTGGGCAAAAATACTTTATTTTGTTGATAATCACGGTAAGATTGGGAACTAGAAATCCAGATTGACTTTATGTAATTTAAATGCTGTTATGGGTAACATGCATCTATTAATTGGTAACCTTAGTTGCTATTTATAGATTGTGTAATTGTCTATGCTTCTTTTCTAGAGTATCAGCACAAATTCTGCTATCGTTTTGACTAAAGCAAATCATTTTGTTTTTTGTGGTTATAGGTCGTGTTCTTCTGTGAACAATATTTCCATTCTGTTGGGTTCTCACTGTTTCATTGCTCTGAAATTTGTTAATGTTATAGGATGGAGTAGTAACAGATCTCCAAGAAACCAAGGATGCCCTAGTGAAAGCATCTGACCTTCCATTGTCAATCCTCATTGTGGGAGTAGGAGGGGCTGACTTCAAAGAAATGGAGGTATCTTATTATCTTATCATCCATCTGGCAAGGATATTTCTTGATGTATGAGTACTATTGCTGTTTCTGATGTTTGTGCTCAAGTAGGGTTTTCTCCACATTGGAAATATATTTTTCTGTGCAGATTTTAGATGCAGATAAGGGAGAGAGACTTGAGAGTTCATCTGGGCGAGTTGCTTCTCGTGATATAGTTCAATTCGTTCCTCTCAAGGATTTACAGAGTAAGACAACATTTTATATAAAATAACCAACTGTAAAGACAGCTTGGCATTTGATTTAGGTTTTGTGGTAATTATCTGGTTCATTTGCAGATGGAGAGGTTTCTGTTGTTCAAGCACTTTTAGCAGAGTTGCCAACTCAGTTTTTAACCTACATGCGGACCCGTGATATCCAACCAAGTTTTTGAATTGTATAAAGAATGTACATAATGAAAATTAAGTTTCGATCATTGATTTTCATGCAATGAGTTTTCCCCTTCTGTCACCATGCCAATGCGACCATGGTCATCAGGCCTATTTCTTCTTAGTCAAAATAGGCAACTTTTATATTGAGCCGTGTCCATCTGGAAAACGTCTGCGTTTTGGTTAATCAAGCAGCAGACAAAAAAAGGTTGTCAGCAATCAGCTCCAGTTGGGTGCATAATTCTTTTACCATGTTCAGAAGTGCTGGACTAATGGTTGACCCTGGCTGCCGCCTTGACTACAGTTATCTTTTCTGAGATTGGGACCAACTGCAGCAGTATCAATTGGAGGCCTGTACAGACTTACAGTTGAGCAACAAATGTATTGTCTTCTCTAGTTTACAACGAATGATGGACCCTTCATTAAAGCATGTTGTCGCGGTTTTCTCGTGTAAGGATTTCAGCTTAAACTTAAATTCATGTATTTGGATTTTGGACTTTAAAGTGGCACAAGTGGTTGAGCCATTCTACTAGGCTCAAGCAATTAAACAGTATAATTGTATATGGATTCATGTTACCCATTTTGTTTATTCAAAAACTTCTTTCAACGTATTCATCTTATCATTGAATTGATATATATGAAATTTCAACGACGGTTTCTGAATAACTTTGAGGTTTCCAACAGTTCTAAAACTTGTAGAGGTCATTATTATTATTTTTAAATGAAGGGAATTAATTGAATTTCATGATAATTGAATTTATTTTTTATTTATTTATTTATTTATTATTATTATTATTATTTTTTTTTTTTTGAAGATATCTAAGTCTACGTTAGAGTCTATCTAATCGTAGAAATGATAAGTTAAGTTGAAAGCTGAAACAAATTTCAATAAAAATGATTTAACTTGAAGAACGATAAAAATAATTAATTTTAAATTACAAGTGGACTGACATTGGAGTATGGTGTGGGTCTTCTGGGTGGAAGGACTTTGAACAAAGTGGTTGGGTCTTCCTTTTTCCAAGTCTACAATAATAATGCGTTATTATAGAGTGTCTTGATTCCCCTAATGTCTAAACCCTAAAGTGATGATTTGACCAAGAATTGAAACATTCAACAAAAACCAATCTGATTTGACTGCCAAATTCTAAACGCATAAATTATATCCAAAGACTACGATGCTTATTTAAATATATGATCCTTGCAATAATAATTTATGAACTATTTATTTGATGAGACCAACTGAAAATCCAGTTAAGTTTCATGGCAGACTCATATCCTGTTTAGGGATTATTAGACCTGGTAAAACGGGTAATTACCCACGGGCCACGGATAGACGCGCATCCGTTTAAATAATTTAGGTACGGATCTCTCATTTTAGACCCTTTTTATTACCCGTATCAACCCGGCTTTTTTGTGCGGGTGGACCGGATATACCCGCGGGTACCCTAAACAAAAATAACCTAAAAACGTTAACCGAAACCCGGTTCTCTCTTCCCCCTCTTCCTCCATGTCTCCTTTCTTCACCTTCCCTCTCTTCCCGCTAGACTTCCCCTACGATTCTCTATCAATTTCTTCTATTCTTTCAGTCTTCTCATAAACAATATAACTAACTTGTAATTAAAAATATACTAGTTTGGAAAAAGTCAGTATTCCAAATTTCGTTACAATTCGATTTCAAAATTCATTTATCAAGCAACCACCGCGCGACTCCACTGACAGCTTCCACTAACTGGAACGCGGTTTTTTGTTGGGTAAATATTCTTGTGGATACTGCTTGTTGTGTTGGTTGGGGGATTCTGCCCATCTGGTGTGAAATTTGATTGGAGAAGCGTTTGGAGTTTGATTTGGAAGCGCTGAACTGGATTTTGTGATGACTCTGTGGTGGTGGAATTCGTTATGTTCACCTTGTCTGATAATTGCCCAGGCACTCTCACCATCATAACCTTATCCCACTACCAGCAACATCCTGTCCAGGCGCAACCTACAGCCAAGCTACAAACATCCCACGCTTATTCACCTTAGTGCTTGCCCAGCTCCACATGCTTAGCCATTACAAACAACAATACCTTTTGCCCATTACCATCCCTCCCTTCCCAGCATCTTCCCTTAGCCTAAATCACTCACCTTTTGTCTCACAAGCTACCACTCAACCACCCTCTTCCAAGCGCCACAGACCGCACATTACGCCAAAACACAGCCCAATGGACCAGCTACCACACGGCCTACACACAGCCCACATACAGCCTTCACACCAAAGCAAGCCACACACACATCACATACAGCAGCTGTGCAGCACATATGCTTTGAGAAATTGAGTTGGTTGTCGGCGAATCGAAATGAATTTGCAGGAGATTAAATTGTGTGGTGGATTTTAAAAATAAATTGAACTGAACAGTAAACTGGAACCGCGGGTCTACCGTCGTTTACAATCAGTGATTTTAAACCCGTATCCGTTGATTTTACCCGTAAACCCGGACCGTATCCACCCGATCCGACCGTTTTGCCAGGAAGTGCCGTATTTGAGATAAAAGCAACGAAATCTAAACAATTGTATTAATAAATTAATAATAGAAGACGACTTTCAGTTTAATTAAATAAAATAACATGTCTAATATAAATTATTTTATTTCCAGGGTGGGTAAACCCTTTGATAATCTACTGCGAAGTTAAAGCAGATAAGATTTTTTGGTTATATCCATAAAACATCCAAATAATATAAGCTTATGGCTTCATGTAAGACAAGTCAATATTTCTTATTTTTAATAAGTTGATAGCTGCGCTTCCATTTAAATGTTATTTTAAGAATTTTATTTACTTCTTTCGATTTGAAGTCAACTTTTTCGTCTTTTGTATAAGAAAAATTCTTATATATCTCCAAAAATCGTCATTCTAATAGGTTTATATCAAAGGCCAAGAATTTAGGGGATGTATACGCTTATAAGTGGTCAAACTAGTTTATAAACTCTAAAATTAAGCTGACCTGTTTGTTTATAACTTTTTTAGTTCATAAGTTAACTTATAAGTAAAAAAAAAAAAATAAGTTAAGGGGGAGATACATATTTTTTTTTTTGCTTATAAGCATAGTTTGATCAAGTATATTACTACATATCATTGTTTAAAATTTTAAAATCTATAGTATACCCTTATTTAAGTGGGACATTTTTTAGTTATTTTATAATAAATGTTCTTATAAGCCCCATTTTACACAACACTCAATTACTTATCAGTCACTTATAAGTACTTTAACCCAACACGTAATTGCTTAAATTTCAAAAGCTATAAGCTAAAATGTAATTATGTTTATAAGCTAATTTTCATAAGCCAAACAAATACCCCTAAGAAAGAACGTATCATTCAACAAATTTATATACTCTTTTATTTATTTTTTTAAAATGAACAACTCTTCATATAAGTTGCCCATTTTATTTGGTGTTAGACAATTAATATCAATGTGTAGGCATGCGCTTAATTATGCCGAAGGGGAAAGGCATTGTGCATCCATAAATATGTACCAATGTGCAACATGCGAAGACACCTTAGTGTTCTCATCATTCATCGAAGTCTTCATTCGTGGAGGGTCCATGTCATCCTTCTCAATTTCATCATTCATCAATGAATGCATCAGATTTCACATTTCAGTTCTCATCAGAATTACAAAAGTTTGCTGAATTTTGTCTTCTCTTTATTAATGTAGTACTTGTACAATAATTAAGAATTAATTAAACCCCATATGATTAAAACAATACTGCTCTATTCTCTTTCTAGAGGCCGGACCAGTAATCTATATATATATATTGTTGGTATTTGATTTTGACAACAATGATGACACTTGCAAATGCTAAGCGACCCTAAAAATTACATGTGATATGAAATATGCGATGAGAGAATAAATAAGAAGTGACTTTAAAGGGGTCGGATGCTAAAAAAAACGAATCTACATCCATTATGGTTGTATTTAACGGGGTTACAATCAAGTCGTTCAGCGAGCTGAATTACAATCAAAAGAAAGAGTTCAAAATATTAATATATTATATATATATATATATTTAGAGAGAGAGAGAGAGAGAGAGAGAGTATGTTTTTGGAAGACTGAAGATGAGTCAATCCCGTAAATGAGGAAGGAGCCCTCTATTATAATTGGGGGATTCAAGGTGCAATTATGACTTGCAATTGGGCAGGTGTGGTACAATTCCTAACCGCTTTCCATTGGTTGTCTGCAGGGAGATCCTAAATCGCGTGGGCTTAGGCAGGTAGACAATTCTTAGTCACTCATAAGCTTGGAATTCACCTGCCACACGACGATAGTCATACTCTTCCACCCTTGTGCGGCGTGGTAATGTCTAAACAGCAAATCATTCCTGAACTTTGATTGGTCCTTTCTGAGCTAGCTCAGTAAGTCCTGATTTTTTAGGCATACATATATAATGAAAGGGTTTCGTGTTAATGCCCGCAACATATCTGATAATGTTGGCCAACTCTACATCCCATATTCGTATCGCATACTTGTAATAATTTCCATGTCTCTTCTTAGAGGGTTTTTTTATATTGATTAACTTAACTTTATATACAAGATTTACTATACAAACTAATTTATGCAATCTTATAATGACATGTACAATTATCATAATATTTATGTTAATTGTTCTTTATATTCCTCTATATATTATGTTATATTATTTGAATGGATAGCTGTTATAAGTGGTTAGATTTCTTAAGGTGTATAAAGGTCTTGAAAATAAATTTTTGATACGTGGCATTGGCAATGAATTTAGGTTATTTATTATGAGTTTGAAAATATAAATAATTTTAATGGGGAGTTTGGAATTACATGTCATTATTCTGATATATATAATGCATATTGATGTACCAATTTGGACCCGGAAGCATAATTTGACCATGTAATCATTTCACAAAATTTTAACTTGTAATGCTAAATTTAAAAAATGAATATTGAAGATGATAATATTTCTAAACTTAAAAAAAAAAAAAATTATTGTCCTAAAACTTTACAAAATTAATTCTTTTGTAGATAGTTTCTGATAATAGTATATTAGACTGAACTCTCAAAAAAAGAGGAACTGTTATCTACGATATATAAAAAAGTTGTAGAGTATAATTGTTGAGTCTTTTTCTTGTTGTTGTTGTTGTCGTGCCGTTCAACCCAACAGCAGGCATATATAAATTCCTATGTGTAGTAATAGCTACAGAAAACCCTATCTCCTTCTCGAATTATCCTCGTTCGTCTACACTTACTCTTCTTTCCTGGATCTTCTTGATCCTATATTGATTTGCTCCCACCATATATCAACTAACAAGCTTACCACTCGTCAAATCATATATGAGTTTAGAGTAAATTGCATATAAAGAAGTTGTAGCTATAGCAATTTGTAGGTGTATAAAGTGGATCCAAGACGTGGGAAAACGGATTCATCAGATGAATCGCAGGAAAAGGAGGAAGATCCCATTTTCCCAGTCTACTCAGCTAGATCCCAGCAAGATAATTCGGTTATGGTTTCAGCCCTTGCTCAAGTCATCGGAAGTACCGAAAACAACCCACTTCATCAATTTAATCAAAACCCTTTAACCACCTCTCACTACAACGCCACTCAACAAGATCAATCTCAATCTGCGCCTCAAGATCAAGGTATGTTACATATATATCTACTAATAATTAACTCCTTCATTAATTCTTACCATTTTGTTTCCCCTCTATACCTTTTGGGACCAGAGTTTGATAATGTTTATCGTATGATTTTAAGGGTTTCCATCTCACAATATCTTCTACTTTCACCATTTTTTTATTTGCTGATTACTTTTTTGTCTTTTCTGTATCTTTTAGACTCCTCAGTTTTAAATAATTAGATGACTTTCACTATCGATATAGTTCAAATTGTTTGTGTTTCTTTCCATTTGTTTGGTTTCTTATAAGATTAAGTAATGTTTATGCTTTTTTTTTTTGTTTCTAACTCATATACTTTCATCCATTTTACTACAATGAAGCGTAAATGTGTTATTGTAGTTTGATTTTCATTTCATTTGTATACAAAAATTAAGCTATACTATACTAGCGATGCTAAAGGAATTTAATTTGAACGTGCTTGTAAAAGGTAATGTAAGGAGAAGACACTATAGAGGAGTTCGTCAAAGACCGTGGGGTAAATGGGCGGCCGAGATTCGGGATCCAAAGAAAGCAGCTAGGGTATGGCTAGGGACTTTCGAAACGGCTGAAGCCGCTGCACTAGCGTACGATGAAGCGGCACTCGGGTTCAAAGGAAGCAAAGCTAAGCTTAACTTCCCTGAAAGAGTTCAAAGCAGGTCAGAATTAGGTTACCTCACCACTCATCAACCACATCGGCATGCGGTAACTACACAAGTTTCGAATCCGGCCATTGTTCCAGCTCCTTCTCGTCCGCCTCTTCTATCTCAACAAACATACCCAAATCTTTTTCATTATCCGCAAGCTCTTCCGGGAGGCGATAGTGAAGTGAATTATGCTATCCCACCTGGTTTCTATGGTGGAGATCAAAGGTTTTTATCGCGGACTTTATCAACTACTTCTTCATCTTCATCTTCATCTTCGAGTACACCTCAACAACAACAACAGGATGATCTTATAAGATTTTCAATGCAGCTGGGAGGTACTTCATCTAGTTCTGATCCTAGAAACCTTGATTTCAGTCATCACCCAAGATAAGAGAGAAGGTTTGTTTCAATTAGGTTAGAATAACAGTTTCCACCAGAAAATGAGTTGGTTTTCTTATGCATGCTTTTTTTTTTTTTTTTCCTCCTTACGATTAAGTTATCTTTTAAGTTTTTAAGATCAAGAAGCATTGTCTCAGTTCAATGAAGTTTCTTACATCTTTCTACACAAAAATAAAATAAAAAATCTGCAAGATTTGTGTGTATAATATTTGAAAATTGTCTACTCTCAACATTTTGTAATTTTAAAAGGAAAATAATCTTCAGAAATCAATAGTGTTGCTCGATCTTTGGGTAGAGCAAATTGAATATAGATTGATATTAAGTAGAAATATGGACAACATAAAACTACCTCTGTCAATGGTTTGATAACGATAAAGACTCTTAGATGTATTATTTAAGAAATCTTAAGTTCGAGTCTCTTCTCATGTGTTAATAGGGGTAGCTAACCTTGAGTTCGAATCTCTTCTGGGGTGTTAATAGGGGTAGCTACTAGAGCTTTTATTCGATTGATAATTTTAAGGTTTTAAAAGATTAATTAAGATACGCATAAGTTGGCTCGAACACCTAAATATGGACAACATAAAATAGTTTGAAAGAGCTTAATAAAGGGAAATAGAAGGGGTGGAGTCGTGGAAAGAAAGGAAGAGAAATTAAAATAATTTGTTTATTAATTTGAGCATACGTACTTTATATATGCGACATGTATGCCGGATTTATAACTTGTTGAATCTCTCTTGATCGGTAGGCACTAAACAGACAGTGAACTATACAACAGCTGTACATGCATGTCATATTCTTTATTTAAAAACAAAAAAAAAGGAAGAAGAAGAAGAAGTAAAATACTTAGTATATAGTGTACGAGTAGTTATTAGACAACACCACAACAGTGATCGACCTCATAATTCAAAGAAAAAGAAGTTAGTTTCAAAGAAGAAAGATCGATAAAGAATAATTAACAACAAAAAAGGACGTTGTAGGTGAAGAATAAGAAAGGAACCGTTGACTCCATTGGTATGCAAAGTAGTCGAAGGCTCCAAGCAATCTTTAAACTTAAGAGGGTAGGTATTTGCAAATAATAAATAATCAGTCGGAGCTGAATATATATCTCGAGGATCGACACAACCACAGCATTTCTTCCTTAAAATAATAGAAAAGAAAGGAACCTCAACGAATACGAAGGTAAAACATTTATAAAAAAAGCCATAGTTCAACAAATTGTACCTTTGAACGTCGCTTTACATTGAGTTGAAACTTGGTATTCCAATAGAAAATGAAAAAGAAATTACGAAACTGGTATGAGTATGCATGGTAACTGAGAAAGAATGTAAAAGAGAAAATTAAGAAAAGGCAGTATGAAAACTCTGAGATGTTTAAAGTTAAAGTGATGGCGTATTTTAATACAGAAAACTAAGACATAAATACAGAAAATGGAGGTTTGACCTGATACTTTGTATACTGAAAGACTTAAAAATGAATGGAATCTGAAACGTGTTGTCGGTTGTGATGAGTGATGGTCATGGAATTCGGCGGTTGTTGAAATCATTTTGAGTTCTTATACAACTAGATGATTCTGATAATGGTCAACTTGTTCTTTTTAATATTATCACTATATAGCGACACTCATCCGGACAAAAGTTGGCCAGAACCACTTCATGGAAGCTGGAATTCGACTTCTCTTAATTTACTTGACACGATGAGATACTTACCTTGATTCTGAACAAACAAAATTGGCCACAGTTTTATGGGATTAAAGTTCTATATTTATTAGATATATATATTCACATTTATTTTGACATAAAAAAAAACTGTTTTTTACGCTTTCAGAACATAAGCTAAAGCATAAATCATTACCTGATGGTCATAATTTTTAATGTTGCTGTGCATGGAATGAGAAATTATTTAATAGATTGGGGTTAGATCTTGGATCACTAAAAGGGTCCATTAATTGAAAGGAAAGGGACCAATTCCTACCTTTTGCTTTTGTTCACCTAAATTGCTTTTGGCGATGTGTACGGACGACGGAGTGCGGTGTTGAAGATAAGAAACAGGGGCGTTAGTTCACTAGATATATAAATTAGCCTATTTTATTAATTAATGATGATTTTCTTTCAACCTTTCTATGGTTCAATGTTGTTCTTTTATATTAAATAAAAGGATAAAATATCACTTGGAAATTGAAAGCAGAGTGTTCTAAAGTTTAAATAATATGAAATTGGTGAATAAAAATAGTAAGATCTAATTCAACTTTGATTTATCATCACTGTCTTTCTTGCCGCCCTCGCCTAAAATATGTGTTTGCTTTTCGGCACCGTCAATTGAAAATGAAACAGCGGATTTGTCAGCAAAGTTTTTCAAAAATTATTTTATTAAACAGAATTAATCTAAGATGCATGAAAGTTCAAAATTGAAACCAACCTAACTTCACTTTAATAATAATTAATTACCCACGAGACATAATTATTAGTATAATCTAAACAACCTTGCAAATCACGTGAAAAAATTAACATAAGTAAGTTGTGGTGATTGAATAACTATTTTTTTTTTTAATTGAAGTTAAGAAAACAGTGGGTGTGACCCGTATTCTCCAAAGGGTGACGCAAAGGCAAAGCAATGTGTACGTGTAAAAGAGTGGAACGGTGGGCTCTCGTTGTTGCTGCCGATATGCCGTAATGGAAGTCGGCTGCGGCTTTCAAACTTTTCGGCTAATTATGTTGCTTTCAAACTGCTGACTTAAATGCCCGCTCCCACCGCCTCAACATCATTTCTTTCGATAACTCCAAATTTTATTTACAAATTTAACGTTAAAGCCAAGTATTCATTGGTACCATCTTGGAATTGAACATATCGCACTCCTCGTATTTCATATTTTCATTTGAACATAACGTTACCAATCATTCCATTTTGGGTGTATGCTCCACCATCAATATAAGTGGGTACTAAAATGCATATTATTGCTTTAGATGAAATGTTTGTAATTGTAACAATATTTCACTTAAGTGTCCGACAACATTGTGAACCTAAAACAACAGATGGTTATCTATTTTCAGAGCCTTAGAAAGTATTATCAAAATCAAAGAGCTGGACTACGATTATGGAAGATGCAGTTTCAGTTCAGTCTCTTTTTCATACTTGACAGGAATCCTACTTTTTTGTCAGTGCTCCATTAAAGGCAGGCAAAACAGGCGTACCCCAAGAGTTAGCGCACCTAAACAAGGCAAAAGCACAAAACTGACAGATTAAAGTCCACATTTGAAGGAAAAAAAAAATCCTTCCTTCTTTAAAGGAAGGTCTATCTTTCCTGTTTTGAACTTTGAAGCGGGGAACATGGCATACAAACTCAATGTCCGTCGTAGTGTTCATCAGTCTCTTGAAAACACCCATCATGTTCACGTGTGCCCCAACCTAAAGCAAATGTGTAAACAAAATTGTTCCTATCTCACTTTTGGTGGCAGGGTCCCCATACATGCCCCACCAACTGGGGGGTATCGTGTATTATGATGAGATTTGACATAACAAATAGGGTATAGTCAAAATATTCACAATATCTCTTAGATGTGCACTTCCAGAGGTCAATGGTTTATAGCAATCATTTTCGTTCTCAAATTATAGTGGTGAGGTGCCATGCAAAACTTTAAGATTATATTGTACATTAAAGTGAATATTAGGCCAATCCATATCAGACTATGCTACTTAAAATTGACAAAACACACGGTAATTTGGCTGACCAGACCAGCTCAACATTAAAAAATGGCTTAAAGAATATGAATTTGCGGAGTAACACACAATCTCCAGCAGTTACGCATCTGTAGTCCCCTGAGTTTTCGGTTGGTAAACTGTTTCTAAGCATTCTTTAGCTCTGTGAACCTTCGACTGGAGGTAAAAGCTCCCATTTTTGGCATTCTGCTCAAACAAGTTGTCATATTTCTGCATAAAGGGCATCATTGTCATAATTTTAAGAAGAAAACAATACAAGTAAATAACAATTTAACATAGAGTAGAATAATTTAACCTGCATGATCTCTTCCCATGATGACTGCTCAGTGACTCCAAGAATCTGCCTTGCTTCTGGTTCAGCCATAATTTTGCCTGTTCTCCTGATATTTTGCACTGCTTCTTGGGCAACACCATTTTTTGAAGCATCTGCAATTAACGAAGAATATTATATAATTTAGAGAATTTAACATCAATGTAATTGCATCAGTCACAAAAGTGGCATAAAGAACATTCAAATAGAAGCAACTAAGACGAGCTCAAATTCTAGGAACAGAATCTGTGACAGAACACGTACTTGCAAGTGCTTGACGGTATGCTTGAACTACAGCTCTTGCCATTATTCCAGAGCCCATCACTATCAAGTTGGCAAGTATCCTTGCAGCCTGCACAAAAAAATGCAACAAATTTATTTTGTAATATGCCTCTTTATTCCATCAATACACAGGGGTGCCTGACAGCAGTGAAGCAGAGCAACAGAAAGGAATTAGAAATTTAATAGCAAGCTATCGTTGTAAAGCCTTCATGAATGGTGATAACCATTGCCCAGAGCAATAGACTTGAAACTTCATTCTCACAATACAAGTAAACAAACAACTAATTAAAATCACCATTCAATTCACTCTGTGCTTAACATATACCAACAATAAAACCACTCTCAATGCCCAGCAAAAATGCAGGTTTTACCAAGAAAGATAATTACATTCTAGAAACTTAAAAATGAGAAAACCAATATACAAAGGCCAAGTTTAACTCAAGCCAAATAAAACTTGACAATACGTACCATACTTGAAGTTGTGTTCTTAAGGTTTACCAAAAACAAATAACAATCGGAAGATAGATGGCTCTCTGTTGAATGTCTTTGTTTTGATAAGAAAAAAGTCTGCTTGGTGTTTTGATAAGACAAAAGTCGCTTGGTGTGTCCAATAGGTTTAAAACCAGGAACTACAGCCAGAACTTACAATCTTAGTAGACAAGAAACTTTTACGACATAATATCTACAATTAGCAGCCCAAGGGCATTTGAACCATTGACTATGACAAACCTTACAATCTGACTTCTGGATTGGAAACCAACAGTCATACCAATCAACCAACCCTTAAAGTTGCACTATTAAAATTTAGAATAATACTACACATACATCATTCTCATACAACATTTTTCATACAACATTACGTAGCAAGATGTGATTGGGTGAAAGTTTAATTTTAAATTTAAATTAGTTAATCATATCTTACCACATAATGTTATATGAGAAATATTCTATGAAAATGATGTATGTGTAGTATTACTCTAAAATTTATTGATGTGCCAAAAACAAGGAGACGACAGAAAGACAAACCACACCAAACGTAATCATATAGGCAGGAATTGCCATCATAACCAGGTGTCTGGACCTTATGCATTCATCTTCATTTTACTTGATAGTTAAAATGTTGCTGCTATTTAAGCCATCAAGGCAACTGCTGATTGTTACTGAGTAGTGTAGTGTACTTCTTGCTAGCACTCATATATTAACAGAACCTTCGAAAGCTACATATCATGTATAATAAGTAGGTATAAATAGCATTGACATTTACAACATAGTCATTACCGAGGCACAACCTCAATCTAGAAGGTAAAGCTTGGGTCCCCTAAAATCATACGGACACCATTGCCAAACATTCATCATACTTAAAATGCTTCCAAATCAATGAGCTTTTGGGTGAAAACACTAGGGAGTCAAACTTGGTTCCAATTGTGGTCCAACACAAGTCATGAGATGTTAAAAACTTAGGTACCCCTTTATTCCACAAAGTAACCACTTCAGCCACTTAAAGAGCAAGGTTTGTAAAGCTTCATAAACGCAACAACAGACAACTGCCATATAAATTTACTGACAAACAGTCCACTCCCCTGGAAACTTAATAAGAAATCTATAGAGAATAGAGAAAAATCCTATTACGAGGTTAACATGATTAATGCCAATTTACACAGAAATGAAATGAATATTTGAGAAGAAATATATACATATATATAAAGTATACATACCATTATTGAAGATGAAGCAAAAAGATGTTGAGGAACCGAGGCACTAAAAAGACTACTTCAGAAGCCAAGGAATCTACAAAAACATAGAAAATATTAAAAGTACAATTCTAGCTTTCTACCATATGCGCACAAAAATAACCCACCAGCATAACAACAATCAAGAGACCTAAAACATGTGAATTTGAAAGTAAAAATAATCAACAAATATATTCTGAAAGTCATCAAAGGGCAAGCAGGCCAACAACCTACGTATAATCTGAATGCAAACCCAAAATCCAAGGGTTCGGCAAAGAATTAATTGTAAACCATGCACACTTTTTCTCTTCATATCATCTATTACCCAATATTTTCGCATAAAAGAGGGTTGATTGATTTTAGTATACAAATTAAAAACCAATCCAATATTTATTCTAATGCAAAGAAGCAAGGCGAGAGCCTAATGCCTTAACAATACATGATCTTGTTCCAGCTTTTCCCCATCTCAATAAGCATAAATCATATTATAATCGTCAAGATATTTATACAAAACATGCAATAGAAAGCAACACAGATTTCAATTCACGCAATAAAACTTAAAGGTAAACGTTATAAGCAAATTACAGTTTATAAGAAATCAAGATCCGAAACAACTTAAACCCAGAAAACAAACGAATAAAATATAATTATAAACAAATAATACTTACAGAAGAAAATATCAAATTATCGAAGAAGATGATTATTCGAAGAGAGTATCGATGGCTTAGGCTTTCAGGAGAAATAATTCAGGGAAAGAATGGGTATAGAAAACCGACCGTATCAGTGTTGTTTTGGGCTAGGCTTAGGCCCTAGATATTTTAGTTGGGCTAAATTGGGTCATTGTTTGGGCTAGGCCTAGGTCCAATATTTTTAATTGGGCTAAATTAGGCTTTAGGTATGAAAGTAACTTAATCCAATCTAGATAATAAATGATGAGTAATATTACAACCACAACCCAATCTTACAACTTTCTCTTATAAGTCCAACATAGTAGTTGCGTTAGCAACTGTCACGTCAGCTTCCACCACACCAAATCCATTAAATGACTTTGACTGGACACAAATGGTTGTTTCTTAAGGACAAACTATCGTTCCTTTATAAAGAATTATTGTTCCTTACGAAGAAACAATAGTTCATTCATAAAAAATGAATGTTCCATATGAATGAAACAACCATTTCTTATGAATGAACGGTTGTTTGTTCCTAAAAAATGAGTATTTGTCTCTAAAGAACAGTCGTTCATGTTTAGTCAAAGTCGTCAATTGACGTAGTACTGTCAACTCTGCTACCACGTTAGGGTTGTAAGAAATGTTGTGAGATTGAATTGTACATGTAATATTTTTGATAAATGATACTTCACCCTACTTTTTATTTCACAAATTTAACTTTTGATAAAAATATCAACAAGGATGATACTAGTTCTAAGTATACTATGATCATATACAGAAGGTGTTTGGATTAGGGGTATATAAGGTAATGAGAGTAATCTTTGTTTATTTTACAAGATTCTGGTGTTTGGTTTGCAAGTAATAAAATATTACAGGAATTTTTTATTGCTAATAGTGTTTATTGTAGGTAATCCGATTACCTTGTTAGGGGGTGTTATTAAAACATTACCGAGGTAATCTAAATATTCTACCCATTTTGCCCTTAATTAAAAACCATTTCAGGCATAATTACCCTCAAATGTCTACCAAATAACAATTACCCAACCTCTCTACATTTGAGAAATTAGCTAAAACACCCCTACCACAAAAAAGTTTAAAAGTTAACAAAATACCCACAGCCACCCAAGACCACCGTCGACCATGATCCAACGTTTCCATGGCCATGAACAAAGATGTGGCCGTGAAATGGCATGGCCAGATCTGGCCTTTTCACGGCCACATCTTTGGTCGTGAAATGACCATTGATCTGGCTGTTTTCCAACCATGGATTTGTGATCCATGGCGATTTCCTGCTTTGTCAGCGCACGACTGGCCATATATGGCCAGTCGTGTGCCATTCCGTCAACTGTCGGCAGTAGTCGACGGTGGTGGCCAGCTGTCGACAGTGGCTTGGAATGGGTGGGGGAGATTTTGCTATAAATTAAAGTTTTAAATGGCTCAGGTGTTTTAGCAAAATTTCAAATATAGGGGGTTAAAAGAAATGATTCAAAAAATAATAATAAAAAATATTATTATATTAATATTTAAAAATGAGGATAATTTAGTAATCTATATAACATACCCACTCATTTATCCTTCCAACCAAACATATTACTCACCAATTTATTCGAATCAACCAAACACATTTTCTAAACATTCCGAGTAATCTTTAAGGTGATATTTATTTCCGTTAATATAATATCCTCCTATAATAAAACATTATATGATTCAAACACTCCCATAATGTTATATTTTTAATTTTTTATACCCTAATTCACTACATAAACCTTAATTCTATTTTTTTTTTTTAATTCATTGTAGACTTTTGTGTTATCTTAAACCTTTATTTATTAGATATATATACACCTAATTTGCTGAAGTAACCACGACATTATTTTTGTGATGTTTAAAAGCACTTTGACTGGATGAGACAAGAAGACAAAGGGACATTTCTGGGGTCAAAAAAAAAACTTACTATTTTGAAAGAAAACTACTGTGTACAGATACACTTGAACAGAAACTGTTACAATCGGCCTAAAAATGAAATGAAAAGTAAAAGAAAACCTGTGTATAAACAGAAGCCTGCTCTTCTAGTTATCGGTATGTCCAATTCTCGCCCCCATCCTTTATCTGATTTAACAAATGGTGCCTTCCAATTCTTTTCAAAGACACAAATGAAATGAGTCAGGCAGTGCCCTGACTATCTGATGGCATTAGGAGGGGACTGGATGGTGAATCACTCCCTTCCTCTAATGCTTTTCCCGCTTGCATATCCTTGTTGCTAAAATTAGTGAGTTCTGCTTTCAGTTTGCCACCTTCAGCCGCTGTATCTAAACTGTCACCATTTGCTTTCTCTAAAGTCATAACATTCTCCTCCCCATCACTGTTCTTTGATAAGCAACAACCCTTAACATCAATTTTGTTTCTTTTTGTTGGCCTTTCAAGTTCACTATTAAGCGGAGGATTCTGCAAACTATCACTGACACTCATTGCTTCACAATTTTCTCCACTGCTTTTGCTGGTCTCAGCCACTTCATCAGAAGCTTCCTCTATTCCTTCTGTTTCTTCGTCACTCAGTTCCTCAACAAGGTCCCCATTTTCTTCATTCTTTTGTTTAAGAGATTCAATCACCTCATTCAACTCCCTGTTGACCTGTGACAGTGAATTTCCATACATTAACATAAGCTAAATTTGAGCAAATTACATATTAACGCTTCTCCAGGTTTCCAAGAAGTTGAAGGAATCAAAAACTAAGGCTAAGAGTTTCAAGGTGCTTTGAAACCCATATTGTTTCAGAGTTGAATAGGTTAAATAATATTTTCATGTTATCACAGTCCACTGAAAACTAAAGCAGTATATCCTTTACTTGGGAACTAAAAGAGTAAATGTAAATATCTCTTACTTGTGGATCCTTGACAAATTCCGAAATGTCATTTGCGCAAAAGGGGCACTTCATGACATTTTTCTGTGACCGAAGTGTCCTTCCACCTCTGCTTCTCTCTCTGACAAAACTTTGACCAGAAAATGCTCCATCCAAACATGACTTGCAAAAGTTATGAGCACATGGTGTAGTTACTGGATGGGTCATCACTTGCTTACAGATGAGGCAACTAAACTCTGCATAGGGAAAATTTCCAATGTGGTTATGCATTTACTACATATAGTAGAGTAATTGATGCATGAAATTCATAAATACCACCAATTAATCTGATCTTATTATGGAAGCAACTGCAAGTCTACCAAGACAATTATTGATAGACTCCACTTCTACTTTGAGAATCCTAACAAACAATCATAATTTCATATCTGATATGGTTTAGAGATAACAAGAGCAAGGCCAACTTCAGAAAGATAAGACTGACAAAACTGGTAACAGAATGAGATCCAAAGAAATGGTATTGACATGGGAGGGATGATGAAAAAAAAACCTTTTAGGAGCTTCTCTCTTATAGTCATACTCTGCCCTCGCTTTGGGGCTCCATTGGGTCTCTTCTTGCCATCAGTATTCCCTGTAGATATTGCTACTCTGCTGAGGGGTGGAGGTTTAATCCACTTCCAGCAACCATCTGCCTCCTGAAAAAATACCAAAATAATTAGGCACAAGGGAAAATGTCAAAAGTAAGCTTAGTGGCAAGAGATTTTTCAACAAACAAAACCTACAGGAAACTTGTTCAGTAAGATTTTCCTCAATTATTTGTGCAACTTTTTTCATTATTTATGTGGCACTTGCCTTTGAATAGAAGATAAAATTTCAAGGCAGGAACCAAATCGGTGAAATTATAACTTGAAGGAACAAAGTTAACACACTTACATAAAAATCCCACGAAGGACTTTCTTTTCTCTTTGTAATGTCAACTGCATTCTTTAGCTCAGGAATCACTGGTAATGGTCGAGGCCGGTCCCCATGCACTTCACTGCAGTTAAGGTAGATAAGATCAAAGAAAAATTCATCTAATTATTAAAAAAAAAAAAACAGTTAACCAAACAACTGAACAAGAACCTTGTCCATGGGGCAGGATCATTATCACATCTGACAAATAAATATCGACAGACTTTGAAACCCTAATGCAGAAAAATGTCATCATCAAAATTTATTCTGCAAAGCACAACCAAATGGAAAATTTCAATGTCATTGACAACATCTATTTACTTGAATTCCAACTTTTCGCCAGCATTCTTCAATCCTATAGATTCCATCATACCGCAACCCTTTCTCTGGGGCATAGGAAGATCTCTTCTCCTTGTGAGATCTGCTCATCACAGAAATGGAAAACGTTGATACAATGTCTACACATATATACCAAACTAATTGTGTAAAACTGTTGCAGTTAACAAAGCCCATTCACAACTGAAACCATTACAAAATAATTATGATTTCCAACACTAAATATCAGCACGAAGTCAATAAGAGGCCAGCTTCATAACACCAGTACCAGTCTTTTGGATACTACAAATCAACATAATTTATTCAGGAAATTTTATCATCATAATAATTTCCAAATCCAAATCTGGGAACCAATTAGATTTTCTATGACCTGGACCTATGTTCTCAAGTACAAATCTTCAACTAAGCTAACCTCAATTAATCAAATATTCAATAACACAAGAAACGAGCTCGATTCAATACTCGGAAAATTGCGTACACTGAAAGTAAAACTGAGGAACTTTAAATTTGATACCTACCTAACAACTCGAACAGGATAACCTTTCTTGCAACTGACACGTAGAGCCTCGTTCAATTTCTCAAATTTCTGGTCAAATGACTGATTCTTGTTCGTACGTTTATTGCCTGTGAGGTCACGTCCCCCACTGTGTTTATGTTAATGCAAACAAGTCAATATTGATAAAACACAAGAATCACTCTGTATACTAAATTTTAAAGAACATCACCAAAGCTAAAGAAAGAAACAAGATTAATTAGTAAGTACAAGAATGAAACAGTCATAGATATAAATAGAAATTTCTGATATGTTAGGAGATGCAAATATTTAAAGTCAGAGAAAACCTGAAGTTTCACACAACCAAAGATAGGAAATAGAGAAAGTGGATAAATACAATAGTGGAGCTGCTCAAGCTACTGATTTTCATCAAATCTGATCCTTCAAACAGAACAGAAATTATAAATTGCAAAAAAGAGCGGCAAACCCCATTTTAGAAAATTGTAAGAGGTACAAAGATGAAATTTAATATGAAAAATACGCTTCACTACGTTAGTTTCTATTTTAAATGTTGATCAATCTTTAAAATTGTTTACTAAACTAAAATGGGAGCATAGTTAGAAGCCCCAGTAGAAAATATGATCAAATCAATAATATCAAGGTAGTTATCAGCTGCACGGCTGAGGTTAGTAATTGTCATGTTCGAAATTTGACATTTAAAAAAAAAAAATGCAATAAAAGTAAAAAACTAAAAGACTTCTCATGGTATCATCTACCCAATTTAGAGTTCAGCCATTTCAAAAAATACCTTCCTGTGTAGAGAAACCACTCTCCATGATCCTCATCATCTTCATATCCTCCAGAGAGCACAACCGACTGAGCACCGTGTTTGGATTGCCCCGCGATCCCCGCAACAGGTGGAAAGTGCATACCCCATTGCCGGCATTCCAGCCGACTTTCCCATGATTCACCAACGAGAACACCCTGGTTCCTCTCCGGATCATTTTCAGCCAGGACTGGCCCAAAATGATCAGAAGGCACTGTGACAAATATCTTGCCACTTGCAGCATTGGCCATCCCATTCTTCTTTGCACGTTCAGTAGTATACGCCTTCTCCGGCCTGTCTTGATTATGAACAAAATGGTGCACCTTTGAAGGCCCTTCATTGACCGTTGATTTTGACATCTTTGCCATACGAATGGCAACAACAAGTGTAGAATTGATGCGAGGCTGACTTGCCATTTTGGATGGAATTGCGCATCGACATTTTGCACAAGTGTGCTTCCCCAGCCCAATCCATTTCTGGAAGCATTTTAGGCAAAAATTGTGTCCACAAGGTGCCTGAAACAACATGAACAAGGCAGTTATTAATATCTACAGTTCATAGTTGTAAAGTTAATCTTCACCCCTTCCTTTATGTTGAATAAGTAGATCTCTCGGACCAATCACAGCAAACTGTCAGTTGAAAGGCAACAAGCAAATCTATCGGTCGAAAGACGACAAACAAATCTATCAGTCAAAAGACGACAAACAAATCTATCAATTGAAAGACGACAAACAAATTTAACAGTTGGAAGACGACAAACAAATCTATCAGTTGGTTGAAAGACGACAAACAAATCTATCAGTTGGAAGACGACAAACAAATCTATCAAACACAAATTTCACAAACTTTTAACCTTTTAAATGGGAACCCACTTTGTCCAATACCAGTTGACACTGCAACAATATAACCCTGATAACCAATTGCCATGATTCTGAAAAAATAGAAGCATCAAAATTCCATTTATTGAAAGCTTTTGCAGTATAGCGGTTTCAGCATATCCCGACAACAGTTTGAACACACAACAATAGCAAATTGGGCCATCAGTACCACGGAACACACCATAATTGACCTCTTCATTCCTTAACTTCCCACATCACCATTATAAATGGCAGAACTCTGAAGCTATGTATAGAAAGAAATTACTGACTTGTACCCAAAACAGGAAGGATGGAGGAATCCATTAACTTGGCAAGCATTAAATCAGTTATTAAATAATCACAATCCATAAAGCTTAAGTATATAAGATAAGCCCCAACAATTGTACTGTAATTGAATAAACAGAAAAGATAAAAGATTCAAATCAGATTCAACGACACAATTTCACGGTCAAACAGTCTTTGGCACCATGTTAAGTAACACATCACTCCAAAGGGTAGTCTACCTTATGAGGACATTATCATCAAATAAAGTTGAGAATATTAGTTAAAGATATCTGAAACCGCTAATCTTTATGAAAAGGTTTGGATAGAAATATTATCCATGACAGCTGCAGTCAATTTTCCGAGTCATAAATGCTTAAGTTTATAGTACACTCTAAAATAAACACATGATGTTGTTAAATACAGAACACATGGATGGAAAGGGAAAATTTAAACAAAAAAATAATTAGTAGTTGTCTAAATTACAAGATTATATAATGGAAAACAGGAGGCACATCGCTAATTATGGAGGATAAAACTAAAAATCAGTATTTAGAAACTTAAAAGACACAATTTTAACAAGTCAAACATGTACTGCAATCAACAAGACAACTGATACAAAACCTCAACAAACCTCGCATCTTTGTAAGTAGAAGTATAAAAATAACCAAGTGTACTTACAGTGACAGGCCTATCAGGTAACTGCATACAAAACGAACAGTTCAAGCTCCCACCAAAAATATCCAACACATCATTTTGACCATCATCATCCACCTTATCTTGCCCTTTCTTACTCTTCGTCGTCTCATCACCACCGTCTGATCCAGCCTTTCCACTCATCAGCTCCTGCCTTCTCCTTGCCTTCTCGCTCTCCGTCAGCGTCGCGTCAGCCTCGATCGCCATAATCTCGGCGACGATTCCGCCTGTCTCCACGGCCTGCCCGGCGACCACACAAGAGTGGCCGGAACAGTCCGGACAGTTCCATTGGAGAGTGTTGGCGAGTGATTCCGGCGGACACGTAAGACACAACACGTGCCACGGAGTGGCGCACGTTTTGCAGAAGAGCTTCTCCTCTTCGACAGGAGTGTGCTTACACTGCATGCACATTCCGTCTCCGTTGCACGGCAACTGAGTAAGGTGCGCCATTAGTGACAAGCACGCAGGATAAGAGTGAAGAAGCAAAAAAACAAGACTGCAAACAGCGGTTTCGAGATTTTTGGTGTGCGTTTGTTTGCTGATGAACAAAATGGCGTCTACCCCAGAGGGCCTTTATAAGAGTGAAGACGGCGGGTTTTGAAAATAGATTGAATTTCGGCAATGATCTACTACGACGCGGGTGTAACTGATTTTATTACATGGCATTCAAGAGTGGATGCATTTGTGAGAAGTCAAATGAGAATCACGTCGTTGTCATTCACTCATTTCCGAATTTTCGCTGTTTCAAATTTTCCTTTTAAAGGAAAAAGTTCTTTGAAAGAAATAGATAAAAACCAAGATAATATCAAAAAGACAAAACTGCCCAGAATATCCTTTTTTTGGTAAAACTATTTTAAAGTGAAAATATATAAAATGTTTGGAAACATGGTTACCATATAACAAAAATTCTAAAAGATTATAATGTACAAGTAACAAAAATAAAAATGAATATTATAATTTTTATTTAATGATTCTTGTATATAATTTTTTTTTTTTTTAACTAAAGGTGTCATAAAACTCCTAAATGATTTGTATTCACTTTAAAGGCTTCACTATCTTAACAAGTAAAGTTACAATTAAGTTTTCTTATACCATACTAGGATATCGACTTATACAGAATCGATGACGTTCTAATAATTTGATTACCATAATTATTATATTTATAAAATATAATTTACACGTGCACATGTATTTAATTATATATGTCTCTCTAGGTAGCGACATCATTTAATTTGACATTAAATATTTGTAATATTAAGGATAAAAAGGATCACATCCCCACTTAATTCATCTTAAGTAAGAGATATTGTCGTTTTCTAGATTAGCATTTATAAATTCAAAATTAATGTATCGTTTCATAAGTGTGTGAACTAGATACTAGTATAAAGTTCATTGATGAACGGTAATTAAGACAATACAACGCATTTGTACATCGTCATTTATTATAATCACAAGTAATTACACTAAATTTTGATAATATCGGGTGTATCTCTCAAATGAGTTATATATATCACAACATAATTATCGTATGGATTTAACCAAATTCAAATAACTTGATGAATTTTATTTTAACAAATATAATACATTTAATAAGAGAAGGTGAAATATAAATTTCAATCTAACATAAAATGCAACAATAAAATTAAATATTTTCAATATGCATGTTAAAAAGATATTGTGTTATTTGCTTTGTTACATAAATTATTGATACTAAAAGGAAATATATGTAACAAAGAAAATAAAAATAAAAAGGGTAGTATAGGAAAATCAGCTGCTGAATTATAATTTTTCATAATTTGGTAATTCGGTCCTTTCCAACTGAAAATTAATGTACTACCATAACATCCTGGATTTTGTCAAAAGAATTATTTTTAGTTTAAGCAGTAAATTTGAGAGAATCCAGTAGGGTAATCAATGATGGTCTCTGATAATTATCAATATACTTTTTTTATTAATTACTAATTTAATTTTGTAACCACCCTGACAACTTACTTGGGTAACCTTACTCTGTCTCTCTCATCACTTCCCACCAACTATTTTTTAATAGAGTAAACAGCTGTAAGTACACGTGTTGTCTTTCTAGTGTGGCTTCAATGGAAGAACGTGGATTTTAAAACTAGGTTTTCACGCCATTTGAAATTTTGACTAGATTTTCCATAGCCCAGAAAGAAATCTCGCACAGCCTCTTCACAATTTAAGATTTTACTACAATCTAGTTTTGGCAATCGAATTAATAACGTATCAGGCTACATGATAGGTTGAGAATGTAGACTAAAATTCAATATTACAACTCTAATAATTTATAGTTGGTTATTAATTTAACATTCAATTATTATAAAGCCAATGTATTGCATCACAATTTATATTTAAAAAAAAAAAAAACTTCAAATCCTACTCGACATCAATATTAGGATAGCCATATCTATTTCACAAAAATATTTGTAAAATATTCAATCACTTGAAATATTGAATATAATTTGAACGAGAGGTTCTAATAATTAAAACATATACAAAATAAATTCAGTATATTAAGTATACATTAAAGTACTAAATAGTATATAATATCCTACTATTAAGAAGTCAAAATTATCTATTACAAGCAAATGTGTGTTCAAATAAAACCAGCTTTTGTAAATCGCTAATTAATTTCTTAAAAGTAGTCTTTGAGGCATGAGGAAATCAACCCATTAGAAGTTTTGGAGTTTGGCAATTAGATTCATCGAATTTAATGGTGCAAGGCAGACAAGGGAACAGTAATTTACAAGAAATCTTGTTAAAAGCAAAGTCCAGTTTACTAGATTCAACTTTCACCGTACATATATATGTCTCGTACTTTAGTTTATCACTTATGGTCAACTACCAATAGAATTGATGATTCGAATATACCAATTGTTCTGATCCAGTTCACTCATTTTTAAAATGTAATCTAATGATTACCCGACACACTGAGGTGGAGTGTTGATTTATGTATACATGCCAAAATCCTCTTACTGTCCACCATGTGTAACAGTGTCGCGAGTGATATAATATATTCATCTTCCTCAAATAAAATCCTGCGCAATATCAATTGCAATTACGTTATCCAATCACAATCAGAAGCATTGGCACTTCCAAAGACACTAGCATCGTCCAGCACAAAAAAGGAAAGGTAATATCACACTTACATTCCAATCTCATCACAAACTTTCTCTTGTAATTTTGACACAACCTAATCTCATCACAAACTTTTTCTCTTTTGTAATTCTAACGCGACCCAATCTCATCAACTTTTTCTTATAATTCTGACGTGATAACTAGACTTGACAAAACGGGTTTGGACTCGCGGTCGGTCCATACCCAGTAAAAAATATAGGGTACAGGTCCAATAAATTAAACCTATTTTTTGTGACCCGTACCGCTACCTGGCCAATAAATCAGCGGTCTATGTGAACCCGCGGGCACCCTATTTGCCAAGGCTACTATTCACTATTAACTGAATCCCTAAGTTTTAATTTTTTACACGCAGTTCACGCCTCCCTCTCACAGGATCACAGTCTCACTCTCATCTCAATATCTCATCCTCATCTCTCAGTCTCAGATCGCGGCGCGCACTCATCTCTCAGACTCTCCCTAAACTCAAATCTCTCCTGCCTCTCAATCTCTCAACAGTCATCAGTTCTTCTTCGATTAATCGTCTGAGGAACTAGCTTCGATTCGTCAGTTCGTCACTCGTCTTCGTCACTCGTTGCTTAGTCAATTGTCAGTCTTCCCATTCCTGGTTCGGCAGTACCACAACACCGGTCGCCGTTACTCATCCTCGTCAGCTGGTAATGATCCCTAACCCCTAATTTTGTGTGTTTGTTTATATTGATCACTTTGACTTTTTTTATTGTTTGACTTTTTGGATGAGAAGAAAGTGAGAAAATGAGAATTTTACTTGTTTTAATCTTCTTTGAGTTGTTTGGGCAGAGAAAATTGGGTAGAAAGAAAACGTGAGAAAGTGAGAGAAATTGGAATTTAATTTAGTTCTAATCTAGTTTAGTTGTTTGGACAGAGAGCAAATGTGAAAAAGTGAGATCACAGATTCGGAATTTCGGAATTTCTTATTTAAGAGGTTCTAATCTAGTTTGAGTTGTTGGTGACAGAAAGCAAATGTGAAAAAGTGAAGATCACATATTCTCATTACAAATTTCGGATTTCTTATTTAAGAGTATTTTGCAGTTTGCTTTGTTAAATTATTTTCTAGTTTTATTTTCATCTTTTTGCTTACTTCTCCTTGTAATCCAAATCCTGAGCGAGATGTATCATGAGGGTGTATCATGTATGTTTAGTAATAGATGGTATAAAAATAGATGAGATTGGAGTATCATGTATGTTACAGACTTACAGTATGTTATAAGAGTATTTTATTCATGTTTTTGTGTGGCCTGTTGGTTCCCCTGTTGGCTGCTGTTATGATTTCAATTGAATTGATTAATTAAATTAAGGATGTTATTCTGGGGTACTATTACACTTAACAAAGAAACTTATCTTTTGGGAAAAAAATAATTATGAAACAGAGAGCTTTATAAGAAATCTGAACCAAGACTTAAACAGGTAACAGAAATGAAAAAAATTATTGTAAATCCTCTCTCTTCTCGAGCTGGTCACATTGTTCTACTGCCATCCTCTGTCTTGAGCATTGATCCAAGACTAATAAATATGTACCTCTGAATGAATCTACCCCTGTTACATTGATTGAGTATCAATTAAAGCATTTGAAATCCAAGGACAAAAGACTATATGGAAAGTCAATGGCCAATCACCTGCTTTCTTATTTCAGACATGCATCTCCCAAGTCATTGCATGCTTGTGATACCAAATTTCTTCTAAACCTGTAATTTATAATTGATGTATTTTTTACCTTAGATTTGGCTTAAAGTTGTAGAAACATAAATATAAGCCCCTTGAGGTAAAATATGGTCAAATTAATAGCGAATAGGATTAAACAACTTTTCCAACTTGATAAGGACAAGCCAATTTGGAATAAATTTTGACTAAACTGTCCTTACATTTAACCAATATTTTTTATTAGAATTGTACCCTAAGTTTATTTGTTTACTTTATTTATTTAATATGGTATTAAAGTAAAATCTATTGACCCAAAACCCTTTTGATGTTAAAATTGGTGTGATTTTGTGAAATCAAATTTGTTTTACAGTTTATTGGTATCATGGTATGATAACATTTTAATCATTTAGAATTTGAAACATGGTTGATTAGATCCCAAAGTTAGATGCAAAAAATAAAAACCAATTGTGGTCATTAATTAAGTTTAAATTCGGATCCAAGATTTGATTCCTACCTAATACATCTACTCAACCACAAAAACCAAAAATACCCACATTCTCTACCTTGAAGAAGTGGAATTAACTTGGAAACCTCTTAAAATTTAATTATGAAACATGTTTATTAATAAACAACACTAACTTTCAACTACCATTCCCTCTCCGCAAAATCCGAAAATCAGCCAAATTAAACAAAAATGAAAAGATAAATGGTTTATAAGTATAGTGATTAAATGAAGAGAGATGATTTAGAAGACATAAGATAGATTTGCTTAACTCGGTCAAATAATAATGAACTTTACACCCAAAGTTTTTCTCCCTTTGAATGGGTAGATGTATGATATCAGTACTAAATTCTTGTGTTTGTTCTTTATTTATTGTATTATCCTTTGAGTGTGTGTGAAAGACCTAATATATATATATATATATTTTCTTGTAGTCTCAAGCATTGACATGGCGGATTCAGAAACTATAGATATGGATATGGTTAACGTAAGAACAAGTGACGATGCTTCTAGGGTAATGCCACCTCTTTCTAGTTTTAGTATTCCTACACTTGTTCTAGAAATAAACGAAAACATCAAAAGTTTGGAATTATTTTGAGATTATTGTTGAATAACACTGAAGGACTAGGTGTAAGGCATGCAGTAAATCTTATGCTATGGTAGTGCCACACATGAGACTAAAAATATGAAGCTCATATACAGAATTGTCCAAAACATGCCAACCATGATGTAGGGCAATTATTGATTGATCATGATCATGGATTGCAAAGTGGAAAGATTAGTCAAGAGACTATCGTGAATATATGACCTTATCAATTATTCAACATAACTATCCTATTCATATGTGGAGATCAAGGAACTAGGAGAGTCTTTTCATATGTGTGTAAGAGTTTGTGCATTATCTAGGAACACCGCTAAGGCGAATTGCTTAAAAATATTTGAAAGAATGAAGAAAAAAACTAAGCTTGAATTAGGGAGGCTGACAAGTAGAATATGCTTACTTCTGATGTTTGGACTTCTGGTACAACTGAGGATATATTCTTTAACAGCTCATTAATATAGAGATTGGGAGTTACAGAATAAAATATTGAACTTTTGTCATATTCCTCCTCCACACTCAGGGTTGTTTTGGCAGAAAATACATGAATTTCTTGCAAGAGTGAGGTATTGAAAAAACATTTTCTCAATTACTTTGGATAATGCAAGTAGTAATGATAGATGGAGGATATCTTGAGGAACCAGCTTTGTGCAGAATACTTTGTTATGTAAAGGTGAATTTTTCCATGGTGCGATGTTCAGCACATTTCTTGAATCTTATTGTTTAAGAAGGTTAAGAGCTACTAGTGTTGCTTTGAATAAATTTGAGATAGTGTGAAATATATTAAAGCAACTGAGGCTAGGAGAATCAAGTTTGGAGAACTTGCTGTACAAATGGGAATGAAAAGCTCAATGGGGTTGAGATTGGATGTTTCCACTAGATGGAATTCGACATTTTTAATGCTTGAAACAGTGTTAATATTTTGTCCTGTGTTTGTGGCTTTGTCAACAATAGATCCTAGTTATAAATTTTGTCCATCAAATGAAGAATGGTAAGGGGGAGAGGATATGCAGTTCTTAGAACCATTTTATATATTACGACTTTATTCTTAAGTTCTAATATCCTACAGCAACTTGTACTTGAAAATTCAATTACGTTAATTGAAAGAGTACGAGTGAGGATGAAGTTGTTAAGAGCATGGCAAAACAAATGATCCCAAAATTTACAAAATATTGGATTCTTTAGGTTTTGTGTTGACGATTGCAACTATTCTTGACCCACGTCTCAAGTTTCAGTTTGTGGAGTATGCTTTCAACAAAGTTTATTATTCAAATACTGCCGTACGAAGTTGGAGGTTGTTAAAAATAACTTGCAAAAGCTTTTTCAAGCTTACGAGGCTATGTTGTAAAGAAGGTTCCTGTTCACCTTCAGTTTGTTTCTCCTGCGACTAGTTCTTCTTCTAGTAGGCGTATAGCATTCTTCTGTAAGTCCACTATACTTTTTAGTTTTTATATTCTTATGATAAATAAAGTATGTTTATGTTTAATTTTAATTTTTGACACTTAACTGTTTAAATGATGCAGGATTTTAACAGCTATGGAGGTGTTTCATTTCCACTAAGAAATCCGAATTAGATCTTTATTTGGAAGAGATGAGGTTTGATCGCGTCAATATCAGAGTTTGGATATCCTCGATCATTGGAAGAACATCATGATCGTTATCCAATACTTACCATGATGGCTCGTGATATCATGGTAATACCAATAACATCCGTAGCCTCGAGTCCGCTTTTAGTTATGGCAGTAAAGTGCTCAACAAATATCGAAGCTCACTTCGACCAAAAAATGCAAATCTTTGATATGCACTCGAACTTGGCTATATGGATATGAGTTTGAAGGTAACATGTTAACAAATATTTCTTATATTTTATTATTTACTTTATTAATATTTGTAGTTGATCATTGTTTTGTAGATGATGAGGTGAAAGATGATACGGATGATGATCTTGATGTGCCATTGACTGATCTCGAGACTGTGGAATCAAGAGACTATCACGCCCACTGTGGGATGAACATTTGCTGTCCTAAGAATGTTTTTGTTGAATTGGATTATGATTTGTTTATTTTAATTCGTATTTATAGTTTATTGACTTATTTTGTTTGTTTATGTGTAATTGTGTATTAGTGATTTTGTATTTGTTATTTTAGTTGGTATTTGTAGTTTTTTATATATGTTATTGTTTTTTATATGTTATTTATTTATTTTGTTCATATTTGTTTATATTCTTAATGATTGAATTTAGAGTAATTGATTTAGGGGGTGTAAATGTAAAAATTAAAATTGCAAGAATTTGGGGGTGTAATTGTCATAATTGAAAACTATTAGGGGTGAAACTAAAAACTAAAATCTGGAGAGAGAAAAAAAGGGGTCACCTTACCGTATAGGGTAGGGCACGGTCCAAATATTGGACCCATATATATCGACTCGTATAAGAGACCCGCACCTGTAGACCCTTACCCATATAACCCGGACTGTACCCGACCCACCCACCCTTTTTTGCCAGGTCTAGTGACAACTCATATTAGTCATTTTGTAAATAAATTTCACTGCTTATAAACCCGTCTATCAATTACGAATTGACTAATTGTGAACTTTCCTCGAATTATAAAAAAAGTTTATAAGATTGAATTGTCAACCAATCTTTATCCAAAAGCACAGTTCTAAATCTAAATGTCAACTTAGATAATGTATTCAAGACAACAAAGCCTAAACTTTAAGCATGAATTCAGGGATTGGTAGCTTTCGTGAAACAACTTTCTGAATTGCTGCTGAGGGCGATGACCCGGGAATCCGACTGCCTTTGCAAGGGTTTGGGACCTAGTAACCCACTCAACGCATTCATACGACTCCGAGTATAGGTCTATTATCTAGCATCGGCCTTACTTCCCTTGTGGATTTATGACGCTTGCCATTGGTTTCAAAGCACAATAGTCCTCCAGGTCCCATGGGGCTCTCCGGTGCTTTATACTTCTTTTCTTCAATAGCTCCCCAATAATTGTCATCTTTATCTTGATCTTCTCCACGCCCAGGACCTTCACAAAGCAGTGAACAACGAGAAAAGGGAGCTAGGAACTTAGTTACATTGACTACATTGTATGCTAATAAATAATTCCACTGATTATTCACTATTAGCCCAGCAAACTCATACATCACATTGACATACTTCCCAAGTCAGTTGGACTCGTATCAATGACACAAGAAGATAGATATGCAGCATGTGCTTGTTCACAAAAGCAATCATTATGATTGCTTTTGTGAACAAAGATTGGTTTCATACTTCCTTTACACTAATTGCATTATTATCATAAATAAATATTACGTAAAATGTTTATGTGTGATTGCTCCCTATACTTTTAAGTTACTTATATAGCGGATTAAATATAATATCTTGTGACAACTACACCTACTAAAATCACAAACATAAATTTTTGTCCTACAACTGAAACCCATGAGGTAAGTTGTTATATAATTAAGAGCTATTAAAACAAACCATTACTTTAACTATCTAAACCCTGTTTCTGAAAAACTAAAGCATCAAAATTCCAATCATGGAAAGCTTTTGTTGTATAGCGTAGTTTCAGCTATCCCAACAAACAGGTAAACGCGCGCGAATAATATCAAAGTGGGCAGATTGTACCACGGACCACGCCATATGACCTTTTCATTCCTTAAAATTCACACATCACCATTATAAATGACATGACTCTGAAGCTATGTACTTGTACCCAAAACAGGAAGGATGGAGGAATCCATTAACTTGGCAAGCATTAGATCAGTTTTTAAATAATCACAACGATAAAGCTTAAGTATATAAGATAAGTCCCATCGTACTGTAATTAAATTAACAGAAAAGATAAAACATTCAAATGGATTCAACCACAAGATTTGACCGTCAAACAGTCTTGGTACCATTTGGACATTATCATCCAATAAAGTTGAAATATTGGATAAAGATATCTGAACACGCTTTCTTTATCAAAAGGTTTGGAAAGACTAAATATCCATTACACAGACAATTTTCCTAATCATAAATGCTTAAGTTTATGTACACTCTAAAATTAGCACATGATGTTTAAATACAGAACACAGGATAGAAGGGAAAACTGAAACAAAAAAGAAAAAAATAGTTAGTTGTAGTTCTGTGAAGTCTAAATTACAAGATTATATGATGAAAAACAGGAAGCACATCGCTAATTATGGAGGATAAAACTAAAAATCAGTAGAAACTTAAGGACACAATTTTAACAAGTCAAACATATGCAATTAAAGAATTAACCTTTCTTTACAAAGATTGGTCTCATAGTTTGTTTACACTAACTGTATTAATTAAACATAAACAAATAATTAAGTAAAACTGTTTATGTGTGATTGCTCTCTATACTTTTTAACTTATGTAACGGATTAAGTATAATATCTTGTGACAACTAACCCTACTAACAATCACAAACATGAAATTTTTTATCTTACAAAACTGAAATCCATGAGGTAATTTATATAAATTAAGAACTATTAATAACAAACCATTGCTTTAACCATCTACTACTAACTTGAAAGCATTAACTCCACTGTAGATTATTCACTAGTAGCCTAGCAAACTCACACATCACATCCATATGCTTCCCAATGCAATTGGACTCATATAAATGACACAAGAAGATATGCAGCAACCAACAAGTGTGCTTATTCACAAAAGCAATCAATCGTATGACATATTTGAATTTTAATCTTGGACCAAGACCATCTTAAGATATCAAAAAAGTATTAATAGTTATAGAGGCTGGCATCATTAAGCATTCATCTACCTCCATCAGAACTTCTAATTTTTATACAGTTAGAATAATTTTAACTAAATTATCAGGACAGCCCTCATCGATTAGATTAAAAAAAAGTAAGATTTTTCAAGCAAATATCAAAAGGTTAAAAATTAAAGGTGTACCTTTTTTAGAACACAAGATTCTCTAGATTCTGTTTTGGCTTCCGGGAGGAACCTAACCCTCTCACTCATTCTCCTAACTCTCTCTTCTGCTTCCTTTAACTTGCACAATGCCTCAATCTTCCCCTCTTCTGCCACTCTCACTCTCAACCTTGCTTCCTCCAACTCAATCCTTCCTTTTTTTACTGCTATGTCCATCTCCTCTACAACAGCCAGTAAGCGAGCACATGTCCCAAATTTCATATCAGCCTTGAGGCCCTTGACATATTCCACCATTGGATTACACATGTGTTCAGCTAAATTCTCTATTAGTTCATCCACACCATTCTCAACTGAGCCAAATACTGAACCCATGAAGTCAAATATGGCTCGCAAGAGTTTTAATGTAACGAAATAGGTATCATGGTTTTGACTGTGAAGGTTGGATAAACTACACATGACTTTCAAGAAAATTTTGTGGAGGGAGACACGGTGGCAAGCTAAGGTCTGGAGGATATCATTTTGGCGAGAATTAACTTGGGTTTCAATCTTTCTAAGCATGTGAACAAGTTGTATTAATTTTTCTTGTTGATTCTCTACGAGTTCTTTGCCTGCCATGGCGGCTTTTGTGGCATAGTTTACAACCTGTAGGTAAGAAAAATGATTCAGCCCAAAACAAAATGCTAGTTTACAATACACCTTAAATACGACTAGTATTACAGTAGTTACTAAATACAAACACATTCTAAAGTAAATATTGAAGCCTATAACAAGTTCTAAAATCTAAATGTCAACTGTAGATGAATGTAGTCAAGACAACAAAGCCTAAACTTTAAGCATGAATTCAGGGATTGGTATGCTTTCGTGAAACAACTTTCTGAATTGCTGCTGAAGGCGATGAGCCCAAGGGAATCCGACTGTCTTTGCAAGGGGTTTGGGGACCTAGTAACCCACTCAACGCATTCATACGACTCCGAGTAATAGGTCTATTAGCTAGCATCGGCCTTACTTCCCTTGTGGATTTATGACGCTTGCCATTGGGTTCAAAGCACAATAGTCCTCCAGGTCCCATGGGGCTCTCCGGTGCTTTATATCTTCTTTTCTTCAATAGCTCCCACAATAAATTGTCATCTTTATCTTGATCTTCATCCACGCCCAGGACCTTCACAAAGCAGTGAACAACGAGAAAAGGGAGCTAGGAACTTAGTTACATTGACTACATTGATATGCTAATAAATAATTCCACTGATTATTCACTAGTAGCCCAGCAAACTCATACATCACATTGACATACTTCCCAAGTCAGTTGGACTCGTATCAATGACACAAGAAGATAGTTATGCAGCAAGTGTGCTTGTTCACAAAAGCAATCATTATGATTGCTTTTGTGAACAAAGATTGGAAATCAAAGATTGGTTTCATACTTCCTTTACACTAATTGCATTAATTATACATAAATAAATATTTAAGTAAAATAGTTTATGTGTGATTGCTCCCTATACTTTTAAGTTTACTTATATAGCGGATTAAATATAATATCTTGTGACAACTAACCCTACTAACAATCACAGACATGAAAGTTTTTGTCCTACAAAACTGAAACCCATGAGGTAAGTGTTATATAAATTAAGAGCTATTAAAAACAAACCATTACTTTAACTATCTAAACCCTGTTTCTGAAAAACTAAAAGCATCAAAATTCCAATCATGGAAAAGCTTTTGTTGTATAGCGTAGTTTCAGCATATCCCAACAAACAGTGTAAACGCGCAATAATATCAAAGTGGGCAATCAGTACCACGGAACACGCCATAATAGACCTTTTCATTCCTTAAAATTCACACATCACCATTATAAATGACATGACTCTGAAGCTATGTACTTGTACCCAAAACAGGAAGGATGGAGGAATCCATTAACTTGGCAAGCATTAGATCAGTTATTAAATAATCACAACCGATAAAGCTTAAGTATATAAGATAAGTCCCATCGTACTGTAATTAAATTCACAGAAAAGATAAAACATTCAAATTGGATTCAACCACAAGATTTGACCGTCAAACAGTCTTTGGTACCATGTTAGGACATTATCATCCAATAAAGTTGAGAATATTGGATAAAGATATCTGAAACCGCTTATCTTTATCAAAAGGTTTGGAAAGACTAAATATCCGTTACACAGACAATTTTCCTAATCATAAATGCTTAAGTTTAGTACACTCTAAAATTAGCACATGATGTTGTTAAATACAGAACACATGGATAGAAAGGGAAAACTGAAACAAAAAAGAAAAAAATTAGTAGTTGTAGTTCTGTGAAGTCTAAATTACAAGATTATATGATGAAAAACAGGAAGCACATCGCTAATTATGGAGGATAAAACTAAAAATCAGTAGAAACTTAAGGACACAATTTTAACTGGTCAAACATATGCAATTAAAGAATTAACCTTTCTTTACAAAGATTGGTCTCATACTTTGTTTACACTAAATGTATTAATTAAACAAAAACAAATAATTAAGTAAAACTGTTTATGTGTGATTGCTCTCTATACTTTTTAACTTATGTAACGGATTAAGTATAATATCTTCTGACAACTAACCCTACTAACAATCACAAACATGAAATTTTTTATCTTACAAAACTGAAATCCATGAGGTAATTTATATAAATTAAGAACTATTAATAGCAAACCATTCCTTTAACCATCTACTACTAACTTGAAAGCATTAACTCCACTGTAGATTATTCACTAGTAGCCTAGGAAACTCACACATCACATCCATATGCTTCCCAATGCAATTGGACTCATATAAATGACACAAGAAGATATGCAGCAACCAACAAGTGTGCTTATTCACAAAAGCAATCAATCGTATGACATATTTGAATTTTAATCTTGGACCAAGACCATCTTAAGATATCAAAAAAGTATTAATAGTTATAGAGGCTGGCATCATTAAGCAATTAATCTATCTTCATCAGAACTTCTAATTTTTTATCAGTTATATAATTTTAACTAATTATCAGGACAGCCCTCATCGATTAGATTAAAAAAAAGTAAGATTTTTCAAGCAAATATCAAAAGGTTAAAAATTAAAGGTGTACCTTTGTAGAACACAAGATTCTCTAGATTCTGTTTTAGCTTCCGGGAGGAACCTAACCCTCTCACTCATTCTCCTAACTCTCTCTTCGCTTCCTTAACTTGCACATGCCTCAATCTCCCCTCTTCTGCCACTCTCACTCTCAACCTTGCTTCCCCAACTCAATCCTTCCATTTTTTACTGCTATGTCCATCTCCTCTACAACAGCCAGTAAGCGAGCACATGTCCCAAATATACCTGAGGCCTTGACAATCCCACCATATACATTGTCCAGCATTACAATTCCATTAGCTCATCCACACCTTCTCAACGGAGCCAAAGACTGACCCATGAAGTCAATATGGCTCGCAAGAGTTCAATGTAACGAAATAGGTATCACGGTTTTGACTGTGAAGGTTGGATAAACTACACATGACTTTCAAGAAAATTTTGTGGAGGAGACACGGTGCAAGCTAAGGTCTGGAGGATATCATTTTGGCGAGAATTAACTTGGGTTTCAATCTTTCTAAGCATGTGAACAAGTTGTATTTTTTTGCTTGTTGATTCTCAACGAGTTCTTTGCCTGCCATGGCGGCTTCTGTGGCATAGTTTACAACCTTAGGTAAAAAAATGATTCAGCCCAAAACAAAATGCTAGTTTACAATACACCTTAAATACGACTAGTATTACAGTAGTTACTAAATACAAACACATTCTAAAGTAAATATTGCCCAAAAGTGCAGTTAAATTTCAATTGCTTATAAATAAACAACTCTTAAGGGCCTTAAGGCTTCGTTTGTTTCGCTTCAGGATACTATTATCAGCCAAAGGGCCTTAAGGCTTCGTTTTTTGTTTCCAGGATACTATATCAGCCATAAAAGTTAGACAATAAATATTATTATTTTTAAAATTTATTTTATATATTTTATTTTCTTTAAATATTTTAAATTTTTAATTTAATTAAACATTTCTAAATATTTTTTTAAAAATTGTAAAAATACTCCGACCACCCTCCATGGTGGTGGCCGATTGTTCGTATTTAATGAGTGGGTTAAAATATTTTTGTTAACTTTAATATTTATTATAGGATGTTTAAATAAATAAAACATAGAGGACGTTTTGTTAATTTTCAAATCCTATGTCGCAATACCCACCCAATTTAACTTTTTTCAAAGATTATTCTAAAAACTATCAAATAATGAACCAAACCATCATTTAAGTGTTTTTTCAAAAAATTTCCTATACTTATTTAACTAAAATAATTAACATATAAACATCATTTAGTTACACTAATAGGAAAACTAACAATAACAAGTCAAAACAATAATTTTTTTTACCTCAACTTTTTAGTTTGTTCTTCTTTTTAACTGAAAGCGGTGATTTTCGATTCAGAAACCATATACGACATCGTTTCTTCGTAACTCCTGCAAATCAAAAGTGGAATCATATAAAAAAACAAGGCATAAGAAATCGATTAGTAATTACTTACCTGAGGTGAATCATGATCAAAACAATGGTGGTAAACCTTCCTTCTTCGGCCATTTCGCAGTTTTAGTCCAACCATTTTCATCAACGGATGGAAAGAGAAGTAAACACCTCCTCTGCCTCACATATTTTATCATAGAAACACAAAAAAGAAGAAAAACAATGAGATGATAAAGAACGAGGTAGCATTAATTTATGAAGAAACTAAGTATAAATACCTCGAGCAAACCTGATTTGATCTCAGATTTGAGCTGTTGGTACGCTATCTTCATTAGATCATGCTGAGAAATTAGGGTTGTGAGCTTGAGACGGACCGATTTCCGGCCGGTGATTGAGATAAAGAGATCTGCGATCTCTGTCGATTCAGCATTTTCGGCGGGAGTTCATGGAAGAAAAATTTTAAAATTTTATTAATTGTGAAAGACTGAAACAATTAGGATCTTTCATCTTTCTTTTACAATATTTTTTGGTTGAACGGCGGTAATCAGACGCAGTATTATTTCTATTATTTATCAATTTATACGGTTTACCCGTATAAGGTCATTTCCTCCTATTTAGTAAACAAGAATATTATACTTATAATTCAATCTCACAAATTTCTCTCACAACTCACAATATGTTAATTTATAATTGATCAGCTCACAAAAGTATTCCGTCTACTTTCTTTGGATCATATCTATTCAATTGCAACTTATCACGTTGAAGTTATGAGAGAAATTTATAAAAATAGGTTTGGCAATCAATATTTATTGTTAATAAAATCAATAATACTAAGTTATATTTTACAACTCCGACATGAGAACTCGTCATTTGTTAGCTCATAGACAAATGAGACCCATACAAACATGGAGAACCCATTTTATGAGTTGATCAATAATGAACTATCACATCAGAGATTGTGAGATAAGGTTGTGATTTATCATTACTCTAATAAAATAGGTGTATGCTGTTTATTTATTTTATTTATAAATGGGGTTTTATGGTTTGGGAAATAACAAAAGATACCCAGCGTTAAATGGTCTTTATAATGTTTAGCTCCTGACCATGACATGCCATTGAAATATTAAAGAAGGTATAACTCAATATATTTATGCTATTTATGAATTTTTTTCCTCACTTATCTATATTTAAAATTAATGTTATTGATTCTGATTAAATTGATAAATTATGTAATATACTAATATGTATATATTAATTGGTGATATAACCGATGTAGCATCTTTATCATATTATAAATTTATTGTAATGGAATTATCATTCACTCTATTATGTGTTACGTAGGAACCAATCACATCATGAATTTAAAAAAAGTAGTAATATATATTTTGCAACGTTATATATATATATATATAGAAAATGACAAAATTAATGAGGTAGATAATTAATTACATAATGGAACAAGCATTAGGATTTTCGTCACTGAACAAGGCAGAAGCGCGGTCATCAATGATACGAGAATAAGGTGCAGGTTGATAATAACCATAACCGTTGGCAGTGTAGCCATGCTCCTTGTAATTGTATGATGAAGTAGAAGGTAGGTGTTGAGATGAACGGTATTGGTAGCCGTAGGAGACAGTTGCAGCAGCTTCAACTTCAACTTGGTTTTGATAGTTGTAGTTTTGGTGTTGGTGGTGTTGTTGATAGTAGTAGTTATGGTATTCTGGGTTATAAGGATATGGCCACAGCTCCGCTCTCCTTCCAGTCTTTCTCACCGTCTTCAGAACCTTCTTTTGCTCTGCCCATCCCATTACTGTTACCTTCTGCGTCGCTATGTCTATATCTATGTCGTCTACTCCTACATATATCCATCAAACATAACCATAATCATGAGAAACACTGTATTATACATGAATTATATATATATATATACAAGATTAAGAGAAATACCATCTAGTTTTTGAAGAGCTTTCTTGATTTTACTCTCGCACCCTGCACAATCCATATGCACCCTCATCTCTACTATCTGCAAGACAAAAACGAAATCAACGATATATAGTGGCACGTTTTTATATTTATACACACCATTATTAAGCGTTATTGATAAATATGACATGAAATCATTCGAATAATAACATGAAATGAATCATAGAAATACGTATAGAAAATGTTTTTCATTTTCTTTAAAAGAAATAGTAATAATCAAACACACCTTCAAATTTAAAAACTAAATATGAAATCTTGAGCAGAACCCAAAATGTGATAATATATATAATAGTTAGATAATAAACGAAGTGCCACAGCTTATAAATAGAAACAGAGGCAAAGAGTTATATATTTATAAAGAGAAGAGGTCTCACCGTCATGTTGAGATCAAGTTTTAGAGATTTTAAACTTTGGCTTCTAACTTCTCCAACAGTTCTGTTATGAAGAAAGAATGCAAACACGATGTATATATATATATAGGGTGATCCCTCCCTTACCCTTGTGAGAGAAGGCAATAGGGATAAGATAGAATATTTTAGAACTAAAATGTTATAGTCGCCTACAGGACTTTTATTTCAACTTGCTTACAAGAAACAAAACTACGAGTAAGATTCCAGGGAAAGTGCATGGCAGCTACTAAGAGATGTTTATGTATTGCAAGCTGCGCAAACCCACCTTTACAAGTAAGACTTCGTCCCCGTTTAAGAATAGTTATATGTGAGCAAAACGTATATATAATTACATATGCAACCTCTTAATTAAGTGTTAAGGCAAGGGTATCAAGTTTCTTGGGCAGTAAGAAACTTGTAAGCTATTAAACTTCTACGTTTTGGTAATTGGGTCAAATCAATAATATATGGCTTAAAGTTTGGATTGTTAGATGATAATATTCGAGAGAAGAATATGTCATGATCAACTGATTAATTATTGATTTATATAATCATTGATGTATAGTAAATTATATGCTTGATAACGACATCGATACCTTCTTTGAAATCGTCTTGTGTGCACAATTTCATTGTTTTTAATAATAGTGACCGATTAGTTTTATAATTTAGTTGACAAAAACTTTTCTAATGTTTTTTCAGTAGGGAATGAGAAAATTACAGATTCCAAACAAAATGGCAACTTGCAGGGTAGGGAAATTTATAAAAAAAAGAAATTTGGTTCCTAATTTGAAGAGCATTTAGGTATAGCATCAGATGGCGTAATATGGTTACATAATCAACGATTATAGTCTATAGAGTGACTACATTGATTTGTTAAGTGGAAAGAACCTTGAAATTACTTGGAATATTCAATTTGCAGTCGTTATATATGTTATCAGATGATTCAACAGAGTAAATAATCTATTTCGATTTGGTGGCTAAGCTACGTCATCTGTAAATTTAATAGCTGTGGCAGATTTAGCATAGTGCCTGTATGGATGCATTAGATTATGGTTGTTATTTGTCATAATTGATATACTATTATTATATTGATCGATATGGCATTACTGAAAAGAATTTCATAATATAATCATTAAATATACAAAATTTAGTTGGGTTAAAACTTTTCTCAGAACACTCTTTTTGTAATTAGAATTTTAAAGCTTAAGAAATATATGGGCATTTTTATTAGTCATTAGTCCACTAAATATTATCATTTCACTAAAATATTCTTTGAAATAGTGTATAATGTAATATTTAAGATACTAATCTAGTGGTAATTATGATTTGATACCATCACCAAATGGGAAATGGCAGTCAACCACAAGTTTTATCTTGTTTACCAAAAAAAGTGTTAAGTAATTGCACGTTGCTAATATTGTTATTTGATTGGAAGGTGAATGAGCTCACAACTATAAATGGTAACTGCTAAGTTTACAGAAGGAGATACAAGACAAACTGAAATCATGTGTTAGTCTAGTGACCCCAAAAGTAAAAACGTTCTTTTTATTACCGAAAAGAGATTCAATGCAACGGAGATATGTATCGAAGAATGTTGTTGCTTTTCCCAGTTTCGGGAAAAAGTCTTTAATTTTTTTCAACACAAAATATCAATGTTCTGATAATCAGACCGGACTGGCTGGGAACGGGCAGCCTCTATGGTCCGGTTCAGGTTCTAGGGGTTTTTGTTACATTTTAAACCTATAGGGGCTAACTTGTAATTTTTTAGGGGTGCTTTTGCAGTATTTCAAAACCTTAAGGACACATTAAATTTTATGGGCACTTTTTGAAATATATTAAATTTTTATGGACTAATTTGCAATTTTTAGGGATATTTTCAATATACTAAAATTTAAGGGACTAATTTATAATTTTTTAAAAAAAAATTGGGTGCTGACATTACCGGTCAGACCGAGCAAACCATGAATCGGGCCCTTAACCAAGTCAAGGCTTGCAAAATATTATGATCTTAAGTGACAATGTTTTGATGTATACACACATTAATTACCATGGCTCCGTTTGGTTCATTATTGGATAGTTTTTAGAATAATCTTTTGAAGAAAGTTAAATCGGCTGGGTATTATGATGTAGAATTTTAAAAATTAACATAAATACCCCTATATTTATTTATTTATTAAACACCCCTATAATAAAATATTCAAAGTTAACAAAAATACCCCCAATCCACTCATAAATACGGACAACCAGCCACCACCGTTGGAGGGTGGCCGGAGTTGCCTTATCGGCATATGACCAGCTCGATCTTGCTGGTCGTGCGTCGATATGGCCTTTTCCGGCCAGATCCACTGTGGATCTAGTTGGAAAAGGCCATATTTGGCCGCATTTGGTAGTCAACGACGGCCAAAGATCTGACTTTTTTCGGCCAGATATAATGTGGATTTGGCCGAAAAAGGCTAGATCGACACACTACCGGCCATATTCAACCGGTAGTGCGCCATTACACCAGATTCCAGCCAGCTTCCGACACTGGTGGCCAGAATATGGTAAATTTGGGTTACTGGGGTGTTTTTGTCAATTTTTTTAAAAAAAATTGGGAGTTGTTTAGTTAAATTAATAAATTTAGGGGGATTAAGGAAATTGAATAATTTAGAAAACTATTTTGAAAATAGGTGAAATAAAGTTAACTTTTTTGGGAAAACTATTTCCCAAAATGTGAACCAAACCGAGCCATGATGTTTGATGATTTTAATAATAAATATAAGTACACAACATATTTTATTTTGTAACAATGTTAATAGTAACAACCTTGTAAGTGAAAATATTCTAACAAATTTGACTAGAAATTGTCAGATCGGTGCACAGCTAACGAGATCTGACTAGTCGTATGCTGTTTCGGCATCAGCAGTCGGCGATGGTGGCCATATCTGGCCACCAGTCTTGGGTAATTTTTTAAGTTCAAGGGTATTTATGGTCTAAAATTTTCGTATATAATGATAAAATAGTCTATAAATATTTTTATAAATTGTATTTAAAACAAGGGCATTATTGTCCAAAAAATTTAATAGTAAGGGATAAAATTGTAACAAAATTTATGTTACTAAGTAATCCTCAAATACCTAAGAAAATGGTTGTATTTAAATTACCACCTATATAACTAACCGTAAAAACTATTGACTTTGGAAGATTACTGAAATCTTATATTACTTGACAATCAAACATGATAATATGGGGCCGCCTGGATCGGGAGTAAATAAGATAACAGGGGTAATCTTCGTTTATTTTGCAAGATTCCTATGTTTGGTTTGCAAGTAACAAAATATTACGAGAATCTTTTATTGCAAATAGTGGTTACTGTTGGTAATGTAGGGGGTAATCTTATTACCTTGCTAGGGGGTGTTATTAAAACATTACCGGGGTAATATGATTTTTCTACCAATTTTGCCCTTAATTAAAAATCATTTCGGACATAATTGCTCTCAAATGTCTACCAAATAACAATTACCTCAACCCTCTATATTTGAGAAATTAGCTAAAACACCCCAACCATGAAAAAGTTTAAAAGTTAACAAAATACCCCAGTCACCCAAGATCACCGCCAGTCGTGACTCATCATCGCCAGCCACCGGCGTCAGTCGCTGTAATAGTGCATGACTAGCGGGATTTGGGCCATCTGACCAGTCGTGCGCCAGTAACGCCTTTTCCGGCCATGGATCACAGATCCATGGTCGAAAAGGACTAGATTTGGCGTTTCTATGGCCGTTTCACGACTAAAGATGTGGCCATGAAATAACCATAGATCTAGCCGTTTTTTTTGCCATAGATTTGTGATCCATGCACATTTCCGGCTTTGCCGATGCACAGTCGATCATATACGGCCAGTCGTGCGCCATTTCATCGAATGCCGACGGTGGTGGTTGGCTGTCGGCAATGGCTTGGGGTGGGTGGGGGTGATTTTACTATAAAATAAAGTTTTATATGGTTGGGGTGTTTTTACAAAATTTCAAATATAGGGGGTTAAAAGAAATAATTCAAAAAATAATAATAAAAAATACTACTATATTAATATTTAAAAAGGAAGGCAATTTAGTAATCTATATAACATACCCACCTATTTATCCTCTCAACCAAACATACTATTCACCAATTTATTTGAAACCAACCAAACACATTTTTTAAAAATTCATAATAATCTTCAAAGTGATATTTCTTTTCGTTAATATAATATACATATATAATAAAATATTATATGATCCAAATGACCCCTATAAATAATATAAGATGTTATTACCTTAATAATGCGTATAACCCAAACTAAGCAACCCCCTAAGGGTGTGTTTGATTGAAAGTAATCTCCCATTAAAGAGGTAATGTCATCTCATATGTCCAATTTACTAATAAAATCATCTATTGGTTTAAGAACTGGGCTATGTTACTTAAAAGTTACTTATTATGTTGTATATGTACAAACATGTTATAACATAATTTTTAGCTAATAATAAGGTAGTACAGTCAGTACTCAATGTTTAATCAACACGAATAAACAAGGACATGTACTTCAAAATGCAGATAGTTGATCAAAGACTCAAAGTTCTTCATTCTACGGAAATGTTTTATGGATAATAAATCAAATAAGATAAAAGAAAAATTAAAGAACACGTACGATTGATGTGATAAGACTGTGATTAATTAGTTGCTATAAGTCTAAATGAAGTGAGATTACAAACATTCACGAATAAACACTCCGCTAACAGACACATAAATACGATTAATCACTAGGCAAATCGGTCATTCAGTGAGGCTTTAATTTAGAAAGGCAGCTGATCAGCCCCGCCAGACACAGAGCTAGAAGCAGCGACACTATTGCGCTCAGCATGACAAAGTTGACGCAGCTTCGTGGGCACATACCAAATGGCCAGACGAGGATGCGCATTGAAAATGGCATCAATATCCCAGCCTTGCCGTGCTGCAATGCCCACAAGTGGCTTATAACAAGCCTGTCTCCAAGCCCCCACGTTCTCTCCTCTTTCCTTGAAAACCCTCCTCAGTGCATCTGATGCCTCCTCGTCCAGGCAGTGCAACGCATAGCAGTGCACATAGTGTCTCATCTTTGGCTTGTTAATGTAGCTTGCACCAGCCTTCTTTGCATACCTAAACACCTGATTTGTCACCTGCAAATTTCACATGCCCAACTTACACATTTCAATTCAAAAGAGTTGACTAAAAGATTATTATGCGTGAGCATGAGACATAATAATTGAAACGAGCTTGTTTTGTCGCTTCTTTTTATCTGGATGAGATTAAATGCTCTGTTCCTTCAGCCTAGAGGCTCTTGGCGCAAAGTGACAAACAAGGTTTAGGGATGCCATCTTGAGGATGCATGCAAGTGTCCTCTGTACAATGAGATGAAATTTTCTTTTAACCAGAAGATACAGCATAACCCTGACTAAATCTTGCAAATATAATCATCCGATTACGTATGATCGTGATCACAACCACCAGAACATGCCACCTCACTATTTGATTTGTAAAAGGACACCAAATTATTTAAGAATCCTTCTACAACCTGCAATTTTCTGCCCACAATTCACAGGCCCCGTACTGCGACTTGTCATATTTGCATGGAACAGCTTGTCACTGAAGTACCTCACCGGGGGGCCAAATCCCGGCCAAATTCTAATAGCTCCAGCCCATAGGCTGAGTCAAGTCACGAGTCAATGCATATGTATAATGGTCAGGATTGTGGATTCTGGACCGTCCTAGTGATGAAATGGACGGTCTAGATAATAGAATAGTTACCTTGGTTGGGCATTTTTCGCCACGCTCCTTGGCGATGTTCTGGACATGGATCAAGAAATCACGGCATTGCTCATAGAGATGGAACAGGTAATCAAGGCCGTTTTTTTTGCCACGTGCCACTTCACCAGGCTCCGTCACTATGAAGGGGTGCTCTCGTTGTCTCTCACTGCCTTCAGCATTCTCATCGTCTTCATTTTCATCATAGTGATTAACATCCACTATCTTCCTTTGCCCCTTCCTCCGCCGCTGTTTCTTCCTCTCCGTCACTGCCACCGCTAAGTCCCACGTTCCTCCTCCTCCGCTCCCTGCTGCCTCCTTCTCTTGCTGCACTGGTTCCTCAGATAACCCTACCCATGAAAACCACACCCCACCCAAAAGAGAAATTAAAAAAAAAAAAAAGTTACACATGCATTCTAGTGTAATAAATTCTAATAAAGGGTATACAAATAAACTCCTAAATGATCTGAATATTGCATGGTTAATAATTCGGAAGATCCAGTATGAAGATCAAATGTAACTTGCTTCATTTTTGGCTAGTGATGAATGCGATATACGTAGTATTATTTCATTTGCTTCTATGTTGCAATCGGGAACATGGATACTTCCAAGTTCCATCCCAATGTTTTGTCATTTGATTGGGAGAGGTGAGTAGAAGATTTTGTTGACAAAGTTCTAAAGTTCTATAGTTATATACTATACAAGCTAAGAACCAACAGAACAAGAGAAAAAGAAAAGAAAGAAAAAGCAAACAGAAAGAAATGTTGCACTAGCACACTTGTGCTATGGGCAAAAGCCGCAAAACAACGTAGCTGCAGAACAAGAGAAAAAGAAAATAAAAGAAAAGAAAAGAAAAGAAAAGAAAAGAAAAAGCAAACAGAAAGAAATGTTGCACTAACACAGTTGTGCTATGGGCAAAAGCCGTAAAACAAAACATTAAAACAGAACTCCAAGAAACTGCTAATAAAGGATAGCCTTTCAGGATAACCATACCACCCTGAACTCAAACACAAAATCCAATTCACAAAATAAAAAATAGTATTCATTCCAGTATACATAAGAGTTCTCTTTCCGTTCTTGCAAAAAATTAAAAAATGTAATACTAATAAGATTGACATACGACCATAGAAGCAGAAAGCTAGGCTGATAACATACCTTCTTGGGACAAAGCATCAACAGAGTTGGTAGTATCACCAGACAGTATGTGACGCCTTCGTGAATCCTCCTCATCAAGCCTTCTCCTCTCAGCTCTAACAGCAGCTTTAATACCATACCTCTCTCCAACAAGGAGTTCCCACCTAAATATCTGAGACAGGCTGTTCATCATCTCATCAAGCTCCTCATCTTTCATATTCACAAGTGTATTCACCGTGAACCCAAGCTCCGCTATCTTCGCTGCCGTGTAGTACCTTATCCCATAAGCCTGGAACAACTCCTCCAGCCCACCTAGCTCCCTTGGACGCACCACCGAGAAGGCGGTGGCCGCGGAAATCGCTGCCGGTAGTGGCACCACTGGTTCCAGCACCCTGGTCTGTGGCGGCACCACCCCACGCGGGTCCCACTTGAACAAGCTCGCCGTGAATGCTTCAGGATCCATCTCTCTGAGCAACTGAAATTTTGAGTTGTGTGTTGGTGTAGCTTTGTTATAAAGGCAAACTGTTTTTGGGTTCACAAAACTGCCCTTTAAGTCACTGGTTTAAATTGTTTTATGATTGGGTAACTAAAGAAGTGAAAGGGAGTTGATGATGTTTTGTTTGTTTGAAACTTGACACTTGCAACTCAACTAGTGAATTTGGCTCTCTTACTTTCCACAAGCAACCTATTAGATTTACTGTCCATTCAAATTTCGACACCTCATCATAGTGATTTTTGTGCAGCGTTCTTGTTTAACCATCTACTGCCACAGGTGATCAAATTACCCGGAGGACCATTTTGATGTTTGGTTCATAGTAAGTATTGTGTAACTGAGAGTGGCAGATCCTGTCTCCTTGACTTTTCTCGTTGCGCATGAGTTCGTAACTTCGTTGGAGTTGGCTGGTCTGCTTTCTTTAGCCATATCAACATTCCCTTAGTCCAAGTACGAAATTGCCCCCACCTCATGACCAATTACTTTATTCATAAAAAATAAAAATAAAAGTTGAATACTCAAAATCATTTTTAAAAGACAAAGTAAATGTTGAATACTCATTTCATTTATGGAACACATAGAAAATTTTAATGCATTGAAATATCCATCCAGATTAATTCTTACAATTACAAATCTTTCAGTGTCTAGAAAGAGTAACAAATCTGTCACTTTCTAGTTTCTACTGCTACTAGAATTTCATCTACAAGGTTATTTTCTTAATATTTGCAGTCAAAAAATTAATCTTTTGACGGAACCGCAGTCTTACCTCAAGTAAATACAGCCAAAAGAATTTCAAGATAGCCGTAGATGTTGGAGTGTTTTCCCTTCCAAATACAGAATCTTTTGATTAACTTAATTAATAAAATTTAAATGAGAAAGGATGAGATAGTAATTTGACATGACGATAATGGAAAAAGAACATTAATTAAGTAATAGTATTCCTTGGTGTTGGCAATGTAAAATAGCAGGGAAAGTACAGAAAACCATAAGGTGTTGCAGCTATATCTGTTGCCGATGCTTTCTCTCTCTACTCTGAAAAAGACTGTTTCTTGTACTTTCAAGTTTCAAAGACGCTACGCCCTACACTATTCTTAGATTTTGGTGCTAAAATCACCTGCTCTTGTTCCTACACTCCCCCGTCATCCCTCATCAATCTCTACGGTTGACAATCAGATCTCTAAGTACTTTCTCCACGTGTCACCAAGCCAACGGATGCATTACCTGGCTCTGAACAACAATTCTGATTCCATTAACACTGTTAGATGATGTGATTGATTTTTGTTTCTAACCTTATATCTTTTTTTGTATAGAGAATGGCGAGAAAGTGAATAAGGCTAGTGAGATCTGTTTTACCTTCTCTTCGGAAGGAAGAACGACTTACACACCTAAGATTTGTGGAAACGATAAATTGATATCTAAAAGATTTTAAAATGATAAATAAGTACCTTTTTGTTTTGTTAATGATTTCTATTTATTAATAATGAAAAGACTAAAATACCCTTAAAAGTTTAAATTTTAGTTTTTTATAAATTTAAAAATATCTAAAAAACCCATAGGTTTACAAATTTAACTAAAAAACCCAATATATAAATTTTTTGTAAAATAACAAAAACACTCCCGTCACCTGCACTACCAGATTCCAGCCACCACCGCTGGAATCTGGCCGAAAAGTTGCATTACAACACAGACCCGTCGGATCTGTGTCGTAACGTCTCAATCTGGCTTTTTCCGGCCAGATCCGTGGTTGATCTGGTCGGAAAAAGCCAGATCTACGGCTAGATCAGGACGTTACGACACAGATCCGACGGGTCTATGTCGTAACGTAATTTTCCAGCCAGATTCCGGCAGTGGTGGCCGGAATCTGATACTGTGGGTGATGGAAGTGTTTTTGTTATTTTATAAAAATTTTATATATTGGGGTATTTAGTTAAATTTACAAACCTAGGGGGTTTTTTAGAAATTTTTAAATTTATAAAAAATAAAAATTTAAACTTTTAAGGGTATTTTAGTCTTTTTACTATTAATAAACAGAAATCACTAACAGAACATAATGGAAGATATCTATTTATCATTTCAAAACTTTTTGGGTATCAACTTATTGTTATTATGACAAATTTTGGGTATGCACAACTCGTTCAGTCCTTTTCAGAATAATTAAAACTTCGGTCAACTAATACGGTACGTTGGTTTGCAAATGAAATGATGACACGTCAAGTCTCTGTTGGATGCAAGCATTTCGTCCCAGGACCAAGTTAATTAGCTTACATGCAAACAGTTTTCTCGCTTTTTATTTTATTTGTCCTTTCTTGCTTCGCTTTTAATTGAATTTGTCTTTTCATGATTTCATTTAAATCTATTGTTATTGGGACTGGTATGCCATAAAAGTTAACAGAGGTTTCTTGTGCCATTAGACATTGCTTCTCCTTGGATCATGGCAATCTATCTATCTTCTCGATGTGTAGGCTCATTTTATCTTTTACTCAATAGTGAATTAAAGGACCTCTATTTTATCTTTGCTGTTCTTCCAATTAGAAGATTAGAATCTGTCCTTTTGTTTCCTTAGTAACATGTTGATAAAAGCCCAGTTGTTAGAGATGGGCTAAGATGACGGATTTTGTTGAAACATCAAGCGAGGAAGTCAATGAAGTGAAAGATGCACAGCCCACTTTCTCTAACCCGGAATTCCAGGCAAATTACTTCTGCATACTTCATGTAGGAAGAAGAGAGCAAATAAACATGAGAAAACCTGGAGTGATAATGCTCACTATGCAGTCATCCGTGGCAATCAGATCGGCCTTTTCCCTCCATACACTTCCTTCTCCTCAGAGTTTCCACATTGAAACTAAAGGTGTGCATTCGCTATCTCTCTCTGAGCTTTTGTTTTCTGTCTTCTGATTATGTTTGTTTTTATTTCTTTTACATACTCTTGCAGATCATCGAACGCTCTGTCGGATTCTCGAATCTTGCAAACACTCTTCGGATTTTAAAATTGTTATGGAAACCCATGCAAGAATTGTTAAACTCGGTTATGGAACTTACCCATCTGTAATAGCTTCTTTGGTATCAGCTTATAAGCATTGCGATAGGTTGAATCTTGCCTATCGACTTCTAGATGGAGTTTGGAACTTTAGGTTGGTGAGTTTGAACATAATTATTGAAAATCTTATGAAAATAGGAGAATGCGATATTGCCAAGAAGGTATTTTGTAAAATGCCTAACCAAGATGTGGTAACATGGAACTCAATGATCGGAGGTTACATTAAAAATGAGCGCTTTGAGGAGGCGTTAAGATTCTTCAAAGAGATGCTTAGCTCAAATGTTGAACCAGATAAGTTTACATTTGCATCGATTATTACTGGGTGTGCTCGGCTTGGAGCTCTTAGTTATGCTCTTTGGGTGCACAATGTGATGATTGAGAAAGGAATTGAACTAAATTTCATTCTGAGCTCGGCACTCATAGATATGTACTCAAAATGTGGCAGAATTCAAACAGCGAAAGAAGTTTTCGATAGTGTTGAACGTAGTGATGTCTCTGTTTGGAATGCAATGATTAGTGGGCTAGCAATTCATGGACTTGCTAGAGATGCCATTAATATTTTCTCAAAGATGAAGATGGAAAATGTTTTACCTGATTCTATAACATTTCTTGGACTTTTAACTGCAAGTAGTCATTGTGGTATGGTTGAAGAGGGTCGCAAGTATTTTGATATTATGCAAAGTCAATACTCAATTCAGCCACAACTTGAGCATTATGGAGCCATGGTTGATCTTTTAGGTCGAGCTGGACATGTCGTAGAGGCGTATAGCATAATAACTTCAATGAAAATGGAGCCAGATGTGGTTATCTGGAGGGCCCTTCTTAGTGCTTGTAGAACATACAAAAAACCCAGTCTTGGAGAAGTTGCCATTGCAAATATAACTAGTCTCAAGGGTGGGGATTATGTGCTGCTATCAAATATGTATTGCTCCTTAAAGAGATGGGATAGTGCAGAGAGAGTAAGAGAAATTATGAAAAAGGAAGGCGTTCGTAAAAATCGCGGAAAGAGTTGGTTGGAGTTAGCAGGTGTCATTCACTGGTTTAAGGCAGGTGATAGATCTCATCCTGAAACAGAAGCAATAGAGAAAGTATTAGGAAGTTTGATACAAAGAACCAAGTTGGAGGGATTTCTGCCTGCAACGGAATTGGTTTTGATGGATGTTTCTGAAGAGGAGAAGGAGGAAAATCTGTATCTTCACAGTGAAAAGGTAGCTTTGGCCTATGGTATCCTAAAAACTAGCCCAGGCACGGAAATTCGGATTTCAAAAAACCTCCGAATCTGTTATGACTGTCATAGTTGGATAAAAATGATTTCAAGGCTATTAAATAGAGTAATTATTGTGAGGGATCGGAACCGTTTTCACCAGTTTGAAGGTGGTTTATGTTCTTGTGGAGACTATTGGTAGTCAATATAGATCTCTTGAGCAGAGCGTCCACCGGGTCACATTTCAACAAGCAACTAATGAGAACTTCTATGCTTCCAGTACAAATTTCTGTTCTATACCTATTTGACAAAGAAATGCTTGTTTTTCTAATGAATCCAAGGAAAACTGAAGCTCTTAGTCTTGATTATTCTTCTAGATGGCTGAGACCTACAAGTATTTGAAGGTGCTGCCAAGCTGTTTTTCTTAGCCACTTCTCAAACCCCACCTCTTTTGCGGAAAAGGATGAAGTACCAAAGGTTGCAATCAAGCAATACTTTTGCATCACCAGACCAGGAACATGGATGAATGGGCTATTTTGTTATGCTAATGAGCTCAGACCATGCAATACTAATGCATCGCCACAAAACAAGGATACTCTTAGAATTAACTATTTTCCCATTAAACCCGAAAACGAATTAACCCATTTGTCTTACAAGTTTGAAATGAAAATAGATGTAAAGATTTGCAGATTTTATCGTTAATATGCAACTTAGTGGTTTTGGCGAGCAAATAAAAAACTGTTGATTTGTAATATTTCGCGGCTATCTAGCCCGATGAGGTGCATTGGTGATTAGCTCTCCTGGACCGGAACCAATGGCAGTTGGCCTCCATATATTTCAGGGAGCTGGCTCTCGTCTATCTCTTCCAACAGAGTTGATTTTAGCTTGTTGTCCTCTACAAATACAATCTGCAAGCCATGCAAACAACATAAATGTTAAGCTCATCAATATATCAAATACTGAGACTGCTATAATAAGTCAATAATCCAACTTTTATGAGTTTTTTCCACTCTATTCATTGTCATCCAGTAGTTAGGCATAAAAAGAAAAAATTCTTATTAATTTGAGTTCTAAAATTCCAGTTAAGCATTGACACGGCTTGGGATATAGATACACAGTTTAAAAAATGAAAAAAGTTTTACCTTCTTCTTAGTATTGTTGTCTATAAAAGGATAAACGACTTTCCATACTGCCATGAATACGTAAGGCGCATGCACAATAAACATCTTCCCAAGTCTCTCTGGGTAGTAATCCTGCCATTCCCATTTACCAGTGAAAAATTCATCGAGACAAATATCCATCAGTACTTTATGTTGATAATTAAGCTTAAAACGAAAACGAATTACTAATTGACCTGCAAAATGGATAGAGCTCCAAGGTATGCACGAAGGTCAGTGTTTGCATATCCCCAACCTTTAAGGTCCCCGATTACAACAAATTTCTCCTCTCCTGGTGGTGTCCTGTTACATCAAATACAATTATACCAAAGACTTTGAGGAGCCTACACATAGTAATAAATTCATTCTATACGACAGCAATACTGTGTGCACGCCAAGAATACCATGCGTGCATAAGTAGCTAGCCAGAGCCAATTATAGTCGGGAATAAATTACCTTGAACATAGTTTGTCAAGAATATAGACCACAAAACCTGTAAATATACAAGCAGCATTATACTAAAGTAAACAACCAGCCAATTCCAATTCAAGTTCAAATTTATTTACTTGGGTTAAGTTGATTGATTCAATATATAATCAGGGTAATATAGAAGTTTAATGCAAAGTTGTAGTAACATACGCTTGAATTCGTCCAGACCTCCCTTATTTTGAAAATGCCTGGCACCAAGTACAACACCTATAGGCCGTCCTTTCTTGTCAAAGCCTTGCATAAACATCTTGTTCTGATTAATTTCTTTGGGGATCTCTGACGTAGAAATGGAACCATTTGGAACAAATGTTCGCCTCCATTTCAAATATTTGAGAAACATTGTAGAACCCTTCTCTACGTCTAATTCACGAGCACGCAAAAATCTTCTAAGAGTGAAGTCGTCAACTTCCTGCGCACAGCACAGACGATCGGTCGTGGAAATAAAAGATTAACTCAATGCAGAAGCTGCTTAATCAAGTTCTATAGTCAAATAAAAAGCTGATGGCTTTATTGTTGGCAAGTACATGATACGTTTTATTTCGAGTATCATTTAAACCAAAACAAAGTATTTTTACTTATGAAACATGATTCTCTTGAATCTTGTTATGAACAAATTAATATAAATGTTATGCAATCAACCAAGATTCAACCAGAAACAACCAAGAAAACAAAAAACACAAACAATCAACACCGGATCTTTACCATGGTTCACTTGCCCTATTTGAGCAAGCTACATCCACGTTGAACTCTGGAAAGAGAGTTCGCTGCACTATGATTATAGAACAACCAATTACAGACACGATTACAAAGAATGACACCCAAGAACCCAAATCAAACAACTCTGATGCAAACTCGTAATCTGCCCTAGGAATCCTCTAACCTGGAAATCCTTATAACAAGAACACAGCAGTTCTTCCCTTGACTGATTAACCCAAACCACTCAAGAAACCCGCAGATTACAACTGAAATCAGACCCAAAAGAAAAACCCTAATCTCACAAAGGGAAAACGAAATGCGGCTCTCAACTTTTCTGTTTGATCTACAGTTAAATAAGAAACCCTAATCCTTTTATAGTGTTGACTGGAGGCTTGATCTCAGCCGTTGGTTTTTCCTCTGAATCAGCGGTCAGGATCATCTTGGAGCTATCTCAAAACGACACCGTTCCATTAATACTCAGTACGACGCCGTTTTAGCATTCACTCACAACAATCTCCACCTCGAATGCTAAACATTCATAGTGCAACAAACCCAAACAGTTCCATCATTGTTCTGGTCTTCATAGGTTATCTTACATGCAGTAGGTTCAAGCAGTGCTTGAACTTTGCAGGTGAGACAACCTTGGTTCCCATGTCAGCTGGATTATCTTCAGTGGATACCTTTACAAGATCAATTACCCCTTGTGTTACTAAGTCTCTGACGAAGTGGAAGCGAACATTCACATGCTTGGTCCGCTCATGGTATACTGGATTCTTACTGAGATAGATTGCACTCTGACTATCTGAGAATACAGTAACCTTGCCATCAGTCAGTTTTGCTTCGGCCAACAAACCTTGCAGCCACACAGCTTCCTTAAACACATTAGCAATAGCAATATACTCTGCTTCAGTTGTTGGGAGAGCAACAATGGGCTGAAGCTGTGACTTCCAGCTAATGTAATTTCCTCCAAGGGTAAAGTAATATGAGGTCGTCGATTTCCTTGTGCCTTTGTCACCTACAAAATCAGAGTCTACAAAACCTACCAAGTCAAGTGTATTATGCCTTTTACAGAAATTTAAACCAACATTCAGGGTACCATTAATGTGCCTTAACACTCCCTTTAAGGCAGTCCAGTGCTCACTGCCTGGATTTGCCATGAATCTGCTCAGTAAGGAAATGGAATAGGACAGGTCTGGTCTGGTACTGATCATTCCATACATCACAGATCCAACAACATTTGCATAGGAGACAGATTCCATTTTGATTATCCCAGATTCAGTTGCGGGGCATTGGCTCTTGTTTAACACAACATGGTTTGCAAGAAGCATGGACACTGGTTTTGAGTCAGCCATACCAAATTTAGACACTAGTTTTTCTAAGTATGATTTCTGCCTAATGATTAATTCATGTTTACCCCTGTTCCTGATAATGTCAATTCCTAGGATTCTTTTGGCATTTCTTAGATCCTTCATGTCAAATTCTGACCTAAGCTGACCCTTTAACTCATGAATTTTAGACTTAGACTCACTCACAAGTAACATGTCATCCACATACAGTAAAAGATATACAGGCAGATTATGATTCAAATTAAAATAGAAACAATTGTCATATCTACTCCTAGTGTATCCTATACTTACAATGAAATTGTCAAACCTCTTATACCACTGTCTTGGGGACTGTTTCAGTCCATACAATGATTTGTGCAGAATGCACACATGGTCAGGTTTCTTGGGATCAATAAAACTTAGAGGTTGGCTCATATAAATCTCCTCTTCTAAGTTACCATGCAGAAAGGCAGTGGTAACATCCATCTGTTCTAACTCTAGGTTATACTGGGCAACAATGGAGAGCATTAACCTAATGGTTTTATACTTGACTATAGGGGAAAAGACTTCATTGAAGTCTATTCCTTCGCGTTGGGTGTAACCCTTAGCTACTAACCTAGCTTTGTACCTAAGTGGGTCAGTAGCTGAAATTCCCACTTTAATCTTGCACAACCATCTGCATTGGATTAGTTTGTGGTCCTTGGGTTTGGGAACCAAGGACCAGGTTCTGTTTACCTCAAGTGACCTCATTTCCTCTTCCATTGCTTACCTCTATTTTTCCCTTTCCTTAGAGTTCATTGCTTCTTCATATGAGTCTGGTTCTTTTATTTGAATGCCTGTTCCTACAAGCAAAGCAGTGTATATCAGTTCAGCATAAGAAAACCTAGCAAGGGGTCTTACCTCCCTCCTTATTCTATCTCTGGCAAGTTGATAGTGTTCTAATTGTGCCTGTTGGGGCTCTGGGGCATCTGCTTCATTTTCCTCACTATCAGATCCAGGATCCTCTGGTCCTGGTTGGTTTTCAAGTGCATGTTCCTCATTGGGTTGAGGTGGTTCAGCCTGCTGACCCACAGGCTCCACCTCAATGGTTGTACTCTCAGTTGTATCCTTGGTAGGTTCAGGTGGGGTGGTGGTATCAGTGTTCTGTTTAGTGGTTTTACAAGGGAACACCCCTTCATTAAAGATCACATCCCTGGAAATGATGATTTTTACCCCTGGTGTATTTCTGTCCCAGAGTCTGTACCCCTTGGTACCATCTTGATATCCTAGGAACACACACTTGGTGGATCTAGGCTCTAACTTTCCTCCCACTGTATGTGCATAGGCTGCACACCCAAATATTCTCAAATGGCTTAAACCAGGCTTTCTTCCTAACCATACTTCTTCAGGACATTTGAAATTTCTGGCAGTAGAGGGGCTCCTATTTATCAGATAGGCTGCAGTGGACAAGGCCTCTCCCCAGAAGGTATTAGGTAACCCTGAAGTGAACAGCAAGCATCTGACATTTTCCAGGAGTGTCCTATTCATCCTCTCAGCTACTCCATTCTGCTGAGGGGTTCTTCTCACAGTTCTATGTCTTAGGATTCCTTGCTCACTACAAAACTTATCAAATTCAGTGTTACAGTACTCTAATCCATTGTCAGTCCTTAGAGTTTTTACCTTTCTGGCTAGTTGGTTTTCCACTTTTGAAATTTAGACAGTGCCTGGTCCTTAGTTCTAAGTAGGGCTATTTAACGAACCGAGCAGCTCGCGAGCCAGCTCGGCTCGGCTTGAGTTCGGCTCGGTAACGGCTCGGTTCGTCTGATAACGAGCCGGCTCGACTCGGCTCGTTATACAAAACAAGCCTAGTTCGAGCCATGCTAGGCTCGCAAGCCGCTCGAAATACCAGGGGTTTTTTTGAAAATTTCTGAACTATTGGGATTTAATGAAAATGATGCAATACAAGTTTTAAAAAATAACAAAATAACCCCGTTATTAAAATCCCCAATCGTAGAAATCTTTCACCAGTAGAACCCTTGCCATCAAAGTTTGAATCAAACTCCTCCCAAAGACCCAAACTAACGATTTTGTTCATCTTCAGCCAAATATGTTTTGCATTTTCGTGGGATCTTGTTCATCTTTGTCAGATCTTCGTCAACTTTGCGGGATCTTCATCGTCGTCGTCTGATCTTCGTTGGATCTTCGTCGAAATTTCGTCATCTTCGTCCGAGCTTTGTCATCTTCGTCAGGTCGTCATCATCTTCGTCGGATCGTCATCATCTTTGTGGGATTTTCGTCGGACTTTAATCGGTGAGTAGGGGGTTTCTTCGTCGGATCTTCATCATCTTCGATGGTTGTTTGTTTAGGGTTTGTTTGTTAGAAGGTGTGTTGAGTTTATAAAGGTTGAAGTTACAGATGAAGGAATCAAATGGCCTCATCATTCACCAAAAAAGCAAAAACAAGTTAAACTTGTTTGCTTTTTATCTGATTTGGCCACACAGCCCACACCACACCATTAAAATAAGTACGGGAGTTACTGTGAATCCTAACCAAGTTGAAGAATCATCATCGGCCATGGCAGACATATTCTTTGTCTGATCTTAAAAAAAATTGAATTAAAAGCTAGCAGACAATCAGACGCGCAGTTGCTGCCCATAAATTTTTTTTTTTTAAATTGAATTAAAAAAAAAAACAGAATTATTTGGAGTTGGCTCGCAAGCCGGCTCGAAATATGTTAAAACTATTATCGAGCCGAGTCGAGTCATATAATTTATGGCTCGGCTCGGCTCGTATTCGGCTTGTTTAATCTTTCTCTTTCACGAGCCGAGCTCATTAAGCCTAAAACTCGGCTCGGCTCGGCTCGATAACACCCATAGTTCTAAGGGTGTAAATCCACACTTTTTTGCTAAAATCATCTACAGTGGACATAAAGTAACTACTGCCCCCATGAGACCTCACTCTTTCAGGTTCCCATAAGTCTGAGTGTATGTATTCTAAACAATTTTAGCCAGCTGTATGCCTTTTGGGAAACTGACTCTGTATTGTTTTCCTAAAATGCAGTTCTCACAAAATTCTAGGGTTGCAGCAGTGTCTTTTCCTAGCATGCCTTGGTTACTTAGGATATCTAGCCCCCTCTGACTCATATGTCCCATCCTAAGGTGCCATTTTTCGGTTACTGACATATTTGGGGTGACAAGGGAAGAACTTAGGCAATTAGAATAATATTCTCCACATAGGATGTATAACCCGTTCCTTTTTTCTCTTTTCAGAATTAGATTTTGGTTTCTATACACATTCAGCCACCCATTTTCGGCTCTGTAACAGCATCCTTCCTCATCTAAGGTTCCTAAGGATATGAGGTTCCTTTTGAGTTCTGGAATGTACCTAACATGGGTAAGCTTTATTAGTTTCCCACTACAAAGTCTAAGGGTTATACTACCTTTACCTTTGACCCTACAGGCATTTTTGTTCCCCATGAACATAGTCTCCCTATCATATTCCTCATAGTCTTGAAACCAGTCCCTATTGGGGCTCATGTGGAAAGAGCACCCAGAATCTAACACCCATTCTCTTGTATTGTTAGAAACAGAGATAGTAAGCATCTCTGTTTCTTCAGTTAAGTGTTTGGATGAGGCTAGGTTACTCTCTGTGTTTCCCTGCTTTTGTTTCTTAAGCCATTCAAAGCAATTCTTCTTCAGATGACCAGTTTTATTACAGAAAAAACATTTTCTGGACTCTGCCTTATGCTTATTGTTCCATTTACTCTGTTTCTTGTTTTTGGACCCCTGGCTAGGTTGACTGCCTTTACCAGATTGAAAGATATCTGGTTTTCCCCTAACAAACAGGTTACTCCCATTTAGTTTTTGGACCTTTAACTCAAGTTCTCTAGCCTTAAGACCAGCCATAATCAAGTCAACACTAAGGACAGTACCGGAATACTGAAGTGCATTCTTAACAAGAAGATAATCCTCGGTAATGGAGTTTAACAGTATCATGGCTAGACTAGTCTCTCCTAGTTCCTGATCTGTGCCCTTTAAAATTAAGGTCATTTTTAGGAATTCATCTAGGTTCTCCTTCATTGTCTTGCTACTATCCATTTTATAAGAAAACAAAGCACCCTTGAGAAAAGATAAGTTTGGTGCAGATTGAAGTGCATACAAAGTTTAGAGTTTACCCCATAACACAAGAGGGGTTTCGATTCCATCAACCTTCCTTAGTACACTGTCTGAGAGGTTCATCACGATCAGATTGTAGGCTGCTTCATCAATCTCCTCCTTCTCCTTCAATTTTTCCTCGGGCCATTTCTTTTGATCCTTCTCCAGTGCAAGGTCGACTTTATTATGTGAAAGCAGAGCCTTCATTTTCTTCTTCCAACTCCCGAAATCGATCTTCCCATCGTATTGGGAGATCTCCATACGTGTAGTGCTCATGGTATTATACAGACAATGTGATACAGTCTAAGGAGTAAGTGGCATTGTTACACCAGAAGTTGCTAAATACTGCCAGATAGTTTTTAAGACGGTCACTGGTTTCCAGCCTATATACCCTTAAACTTGATAAAAAAACGAAAAAGAACACTACATTTATAGAATCAATGCAATGACCAAGATTACTCTCTTTAACCAGTGTTTATGATCTAATCTCACAAAAATAACCCCAAGACTTAGTAAGAATCAAAGTTCTAAGGCTCTAGGAACCTTTGGATTGAGAAACCCCTAAAATATGAGAAACCCCTAAAATATGAGAAACCCTAATTTTTCGAACAAACCCTAATTTTGCGATTCGTCAAAAAATTAAACGATTTCTAAAACCTGGATACACCCTAGGACGATGGCTCTGATACCATTGTTATGCAATCAACCAAGATTCAACCAAAAACAACCAAGAAAATAGAAAACACAAACAATCAACACCGGATCTTTACCGTGGTTCACTTGCCCTATTTCAGCAAGCTACATCCACGTTGAACTCCGGCAAGGGAGTTCGCTGCACTATGATTATAGAACAACCAATTACAGACACGATTACAAAAAATGACACCCAAGAACCCAGATCAAACAACTCTGATTCAAACCCGTAATCTACCCTAGGAATCCTCTAACCTGGAAATCCCTATAACAAGAACACAATAGTTCTTCCCTTGACTGATTAACCCAAACCACTCAAGAAACCCGCAGATTACAACTGAAATCAGACCCAAAAGAAAGAACCCTAGTCTCACAAAGGAAAAACGAAATACGGCTCTCAACTTTTCTGTTTGATCTACAGTTAAATAAGAAACCCTAATCCTTTTATAGTGTTGACTGGAGGCTTGATCTCAACCGTTGGTTTTTCCTCTGAATCAGCGGTCAGGATCATCTTGGAGCTGTCTCAAAACAACACTGTTCCATTAATATTCAGTACGACGCCGTTTCAGCATTCACTCACAACAATAAACTTATTGTTTTTAATTCAATATAAAAGAAATAATTATGAGGTGTGCCCCAGTTGATAACTCAGCTCCAAATGGGGCGAACTCTACTTTCAATGTCAGGGGTTGAACCGCATTGAAAGCACCTTATGGTCACTGGTAATTACCTAAGCTCCAAGATTAATCTCATAACTTCGGGTATGGGGAGGGGGAGACCCCAGGTTTCCACCCAAAAAAAAAAAAAAAATTATATATATAATATATATATATATATATATATATAGAGTAAAACATTTCTATAGTAATAATGGTGGGACTAACTAATTTTATTACTATGAGGAGGTTATAACTTAATATAGGTGTAGTTAAAAAAATTTCGTATTTCATAATTCATGTTTTAGTAGTACAATATTAGGATTTCAATTTATGTTTTAATAATAGTAAGGTTTCAATTCAACGCTTCAATTGCCTACTTTTGAAATGGATAGAAGATTGTGTTTTGAAACCAACAAAGATAGTTCTTTGATGGAATTGTAAATGCAGTTGTTGCATGGCAACTAATGTGAAGCTACGGACAATTATCAATTGTTTTAAGCATTACAAAATTAAGACCCCCCGATGTCGATGAATTGTCAGTTACAAATAAAATAGATGAGAAGAATCAAAGAGTCATTGTAGAATTGAGTGATCAGATTCGACAACTTCACTATACTAATTGAATGAATATTAATGTCTTTCTTAATCATCTAAATGAATAACAAGTCATGTATGTTTTAACAAAAGAAGAAATCATTTCTACAATTAAACAAGAAGAGAAAGGAAATAATTATGAAGATGATAGTATGGAAATACAAATAGTTTCATGTCAAGAAGCTCTAAGCATGCTTGAGAAGCTATAAATGTTTTGGCTTTAATAAGAAAATGTTCATGCTAGCGAGTAATGTACCAACAAGTTAAAAGATGTAGTAACAACTCTAAAGCATAAATTATTGTCCCAAACAACTTCAGATAAATATTTTATTTCATTTTAAATATTTAATGTAACATACTATATATTCTTTTTGTAATATACAGATAATTATTACTATGTGGAGGCAACTTTCCTTAGGACGGGAATTAGAAAAATTATAACTTATTACAATGTGAAGTTTATTCTTATTTATAACTATCCCAAATAAGGAATATATTTTTTTATAACTATGTAAAGTTTATTCCTATATAGAATATTACTATAGAGAGGTTTTACTGTATATTATCACAAGTAGAAGATAATAGATATGGGTGTAACAAAATTCTTAAAGTTGTTATAAAATTCAAATTCCTTTATGATATATATAGCACGCACATGTATTGTAATAACGATTTACATTTGTAATTGAAGTATTATTTCTACTTCTAGTGTCATAAAGTTGGTGCCTTTATTTATAAACTTAGACCAAGATATGTAGATGAATAACTCAGATAAAAAATGTGTAAAGTTGGATCTAATCTTGTATTTCAAACATATAGTAATTGATTTGATAAATTAATTTATTTTTTCATCCTATACTTAATACAATACTATAAATCAACTATAATACATTGAAAATTATAAGATCCCAACTTTAGATGTGTAATAGTTAACCAAAAGGATATATAATATATGTTATACATAAATTATAATACACGCGGGCAAAATTATTAGCACACCATGCTTTTTTTTCTTTCTTTTTTTTTTCATTGCCCAAACACGATTAAAAGGGATGATTTATCCTTATCAGTATCGAAATCTTTTGTCGAAAAAAAAAAAGTTTGCTGGTTGACTTTTTGTAATTTTAAATTTTGGAACCGTAAAGGAAACTATTTCTTGAACCTCTCAGTCAGTTAAACGTGTTTTCGTTAAAAAATGGTTAAAAGATTCTCAAAATATTTATAAGGATCTTTTCCTGTTAATCATGTTTGATATTTTAATCGTGCTGAATATTTATTTACGAGAAAGAGAGAATGAGCGACTGGTGATCTAGTTTGGCAAGATTACCACCCTCCGATAGTAAAGCAGACCTATGAATTCTTTGAGAGATGGACATGAAAGATGTTTAATTTTGTAGTATCAAGTAAGTTAATTAACGACTGTTATAATTAGAATTTGGAAATGGCAGAAACATGCAAGAATAATTAGAGTGTGTGATGAAGATATACATATACGCAGATGATCTGAGAATGGCAGGGAAGAAGATAAGAAAAAGCTTTAAAGAGAACAGTACGATTAATTGCAATGAAAAAGCCAAGTAAAAGAGGGGAAACCGACACACCTTGGAAGAGGGATCCTGCTTTTCAACAAGGGCTTTCATGAGTTGTAATTTCGTCTGCTCCTTCTCATTGCTTTGCAAATGCTTACCTTCTTCCTTCTCACGATCGGAGTCTGTTGGGCTCATCATGTTGGATTTCTCTAACTTCTCCCTCTCAGCTCAGCTCTTTAATTATCACCCCGGCACTCTCTCATGAGCATATATACTATATTTATACATATAAAGAGAAACTTAGAAGCATTTATTCAACTGTTGACTTCATTGTTTTGTAAAATATGCATGACTTAAGCTGAACTGGACTTACCCATGAAGGCTTCAAATTTTTTTTTTGTTTTGTATCCACACTTTAATTAGACCTCCAAGATTCTAAAGTTAACGCATCTTAATTAGTTTTAAGACTCTAAAGTTAATGATCATAAACCTTTGACTAATCTAGTCCTTCAAAACTCTAAAAGCACCTCCACTAGTTTTGAGACTCTAAAGTTTACCGTCTGACTACTCCTTGTTAGTTCACTGGCTTCATTATTTTGTCAATATTAAATAACAGTTCAAAGGGCGAACAACAAGTTCCCACCCAAGGTTTGGCCTAATGACAAGTTCCCACCNAACCTTTGACTAATCTAGTCCTTCAAAACTCTAAAAGCACCTCCACTAGTTTTGAGACTCTAAAGTTTACCGTCTGACTACTCCTTGTTAGTTCACTGGCTTCATTATTTTGTCAATATTAAATAACAGTTCAAAGGGCGAACAACAAGTTCCCACCCAAGGTTTGGCCTAATGACAAGTTCCCACCTGAAAAGTTTCAAAACGACAGTTTCTCACCTATCCATCCAATTTTTCCGTTAATTTCAACTGCAAAAGGATATAATAGTAAATTCAGTTTATTTTAATTTTTTTTTAGAAAACTTGCCACCGGCCACCACTTGCCGCTGGCCACTATCCCGTCCTCTTCCATAACCTCTCCGTAACCACCACAAGCAACTCTACCATTTCAGGGACATAGGTCTTCAGAGCATCAAAAGTGTACCCCATCTGCTCCCGAGACGCAACGCAGAGGCTGATATATGTTACCTCCAATTGCCTCCACTTCCGTCAAAATGCGCAAGTGGCTCCGGTTTTTAGTGCTCTTGAATGCCATTTTCTCTAGCAAGTGGGAGGCCTAACATGATATTGGTGTCTCATGAACAGAACCACAATCAAGATATATCCCTATGGAGGCTGCTAGGTTCTAATTGGTGCGATTGGGAGAGGAAAGAGAAGAAGAGAAGAAAAGAAAAAAGAAAGAAGGAAAGAGAAGGAGAAAAAAAATTAAGGTTTGTTTCTCACGTTTATATATTGGAATAAAATGACATAATTATCCTTTAATTACTGTTTGAAATTATTATTCTGTCTTTCTACTGTTGAAATTATTGGACGAATTGGATGGATGCGTGAGAAACTGTCAGTTTGAAACTTTTCGGGTGGGCACTGTCATTAAGCCAAACCTTGGGTGGGGACTTGTCGTTAGCCACTTAGCCCCTGCTCAAAACCTGATAGCTCCTCTTTTCATTGCCGATACGTTATGGGTGGTAATTCCTAAAGCAGGTGGGAAATAGTTATTGATATTTTTGGCATTAATGGTGTTTCAGATTGTACATCTAAGTACAACTAATTAACGAAACACTCTATCCATTAACACATTTACTACTTCAAATATTAACATCCAATATTAATATAATTCATACAGCTGATTTATTGTTTTTTTTTTTTTACTTAAAATGAAAATAAAAAATAAATTAAATTTACTTATCAATTATAATATCTCAAAATTTGAATGTATTACCACTTGATTTTTTATCATCTTGAAATTTTATAAAAGCGGCAGTGAGGCATGGACACCTGGGGGGCAGGATAATTAATTAGAGTTGGATCACCAACCATTAATGTAGCAGACAGTCAATGAGGAAGCCGGTTAATCTGATAAATACTTAATTAATAAAATAAACATCACTTATAATCTTGCCTATACATTCCCACAACTGACAAAAGAAAAATAATATAGTTACTAATAGATTAAAGTATCGTATTGAATTCATGTATCAAATAATGTTATATAATCTTGATTATCGATTAATATTAATTTATAATTAATTGATGATCAGAATTTTATTACGTTATTCGATGCATAAATTTGATGTGCTACTTTCATAATTGTAACATTATTATTGACAAAATAGGTCTAAATCTATAATTAAAAACTAACTGAAACACAATTATTTACCAACATGAGGACTTCAATACATATATTTATTAAAATTTTCCCACTAATAAACATTTAACAATTAACTTAAAATTAAAAAACAAATACTGACAGAATAAATTATTGAGCATAGAAGGTTGTTAGATAGACTGAATGCCGTACGTCATCAACAATAGTAGGAAGAGTAATGTTACAGTTAAATTATTTTTAGCAAATGACTAAAACGGAAAAAAACAGCTCATGCCTCACTAGTTTTTCGGACGTTGCGTTTTCATTAATTAATGAAAACGGGTCTGCATTTACTCCTATCAGCTGTCGCTATTAATTGGTTGTGTACTTGCTTTCATCTTATCAGCCAACTGTTATATATTAGTTTTTATTTTTTATTTACAAAAAAGAAAAAGAAAAATCATAGGTCTCTACATATACCTAAACAATAAAGGGATGGACGCGGGCCGGGGGCATGGCATCCCTGTTACTCTGACCGCCCCTGTTACGGGGATTTTTCCCATGACCATCCTAATCTATGGGGATAAAATCTCTCTCATCCCATCCTGGCCCAGCCTGATGAATGGGATTTTGCGGAAAATTTCTTCCCGTGGAGAGTTTTGGTCTGGATAAATCAAAACTTGTCCTAACAATAATATTTAATTATAAAAAACTAACATGTTGATAAATATTATATTTAATAATTTAACTGTTTAATTTTAGTATTTAATTCATTAAAAAGGCATAATTTAAAATAAGAAAATATAAAATCTAATAATTTCTTGTAAAATTTAAAAAACAATACCTAACTACTACCATAAACTAAATTAATTGTTATTAAGTTAGTAACATGTTTTCTATATAGTATTAAATAGAGGAATTTAAATTCTACATTATGATGTTTTATGTTGCTGACGCATTGCCGCATTGTAATGTTTCACTGAAATAGTCTCATCTTCTAAAATTCATAAAATAAATACCTGAAAAAAATTTCGCTGAAAATTGATATGAATAATTGAATATGGTGAATAACAACAATTTCTTGGCAAAAATTAGAACCTGCTTGGATTTCAAAGTAATAAAATATAAACATCTTTCAGGCTGCATTGTAATAATACATCCTTCAGGCTGCATTGTAATAATATAAACATCCTTCAGGCTGCATAAATTTATTTTTGGGACATGTCCCATGTATTATTATTTTGTGAAATTCATAAAGTAATAATATATATATTTAATTATTAGACTCCCTCGTTTAAATTATTTTTCTATAAATTTAATATAAACATTAGAAAATATTATAAAATTAAATATCATAAATTTAGATACATTTCTTAAAATCATGATTTAAACTTTAACTTTATATACAATCTTGTAAAGGAAATAAAAAAAAAAAAAAAACATAAAATTCTCAAAAAAGCGGGGCGAGCGGGGCTCCATAGGGCTGGGGTGGGCCGGGGATTGCACTATCCCCTTCCCCGGATGCGGGGATCTTACTAAGGACCATCCCCGGCCCTATCCCCATTTTTTTTTGGGGATTCCCCGACCCATTCAGGCCTAGTTGGGACGGATCCACGCGGTGTCGGGGCAAACGCCCATCTCTACTAATCATCACGTTTTCTAAAATCTTTTACTCAAAATTTTATGATTTTAAAAGTTTTATGTTTGATGCTTGATTTTAACATCAACGACTCGCACGTGTTAAGTACTAAACAGACTTAAAAATTACACGTGATAGAAAAATATGAAATGAGAGAATAAATGAGAAGCGATTTTTAAAGTAGTTCGGATGTTCAAAAGTGAATCCTACGTCCACTGCTATTGTATTAATAGATAGGTACAGTCAGGTCGAGTGTCGCGAGCTGGGTTACAATATGGAGAGAATATGTGTAAGCTGTTTTAAAGTAAGATCAGACAATCCCGTAAATGAGAGAGGTGTCCTCTATTTATAGTGGGAAAGTTCAAGGTAATGATTATGAGTCTACAAGTTGGCAGGTGTCATGCAAGTCCTTCTTTGCATCACATTGGTTATCTGCACGAGAAATATCCTCAAATTGCATAGGGCTTAGACAGGTGAATAACCCTTGGCCCCTCGCAAGTCTAACATTCATCTGCTGTGCTGATAAAAACCATACCTCTCCTGTCATTGCGTAAAGTGGCAGCGTCTAGACAACACAAAACTTTTTTTAAATCTTGATTGGCTCTTACTAACGAGAGTCCATGCCAATCCTAATTTGTTAGGCATAACATTTTATAACAATGAGTTTATTTGATAATTAAAGCTAAGTCCTTAATAAAGTACCATCTGATGAATAGCCAAGTTAATAAAGACTCCAATTCAGGCTATTTATTACAATTGAAGATACGTGTTGTTATAATTTAAAAAATATATATATATTTACGTAATAGAAATTGATTTATTATATTACAATAATTGAATCATTTTGAATTTTGTATAATTAAAAGATTTACATGATCTCTTACTCAATTGTGCAATGATTTTTGTAAAAGAAAACAAATTAAATAAGTTTACACGTCACTATTGTATGCGGATTGCGTACTTCAGGGACATCGACATTACTCTGTACTGTGAACAAGAATAATAGTATACATATATCATTCTCATACAATATTATGTGACAAGATATGATTGGGTGAAAGTTTAATTTTAACTTTAAATTAGTCAATCATATTTTACTACATAATGTTGTATAAAAATGATGTATGTGTAGTTTGTACTGTGAACAATATCTATTGATTGTTAGGGATAATTGATTAGCGCATTGAAGAGCCCAGCATGGGCCCATTTTTTATGGGCCTTAAAATCAACTCCCTCGGGCTTGAACAGACCCAGCAGAGGCCCATAGCGAATTTAACAAAGACTCGACTCGAGTGGCATTTGAAGGAAACAACATTAAATTCGAATATTCTTTCATCAATTGGCTCTTTGACTCTTATGGGAAAAAGTTAAACGCAGTCAAGACAATGCCTTAACAATAAATCAATGTGTTTAGCAACAAACCCAATTTAATGTAGTGTGTTATAAAGTAAGTAATAATGGGTTTGGTAAGCAATTTATCATCTTCCTTCCCTCTTCTTTGCTGGCAAACATATTAAGTAATAAATTTAGCTGTTGGTATTTTCTTTCCAATTTCAAAATACTTTTACTATTAACATTAATATTTTATTAAACCAACTCATGTGAACCTTACTTGATAAAAACTAATATTTTTTGCTTTCCATTTTTTATTTGTTAGAGATAAACTATTGGATTTGGGATTTAATTTTTATATATAGCCCATAGCATAATCAAATAATGATATGAATCTTGTCACATGGATTTTCTCTTAACAAAATAAAAATGTTAGACTAGTAATACAAAAAAACCTAAAATCAAACTACTAAATATTATTGAATATGATTCGTGACATAATCTAACCACTAACTGGACAAGTGTGAACTTATTGTTGATACATAAATATGCAACAATCATAGAATTTCAATTGACCCTATTAGAATAGGAATGGATGTGTCGCATGATTTAATAAAAATCAACAATGAATAAAAAAGAAAGAGTCATAAATAAGAACACATGACAATTTTTAAAGAGGTTCGACAGATTAAAACTTAAACTTACGTCTACTGTTATCTTATTGATTTTTTAGAGCTTACAAAAAACAATATAATTCTTAAGAAGATTTTCTTAGAACAATTTCCCAGCCCACGAAAACAAGTTGCGATGAGTTTATATAGCAACCGTTCATATAAGATTCAAATACGTAAGATTAGGAAGATGCATGACCTTTAACTATCTTAGCTGGAATCTAAGTCAATTTGAATATCTTTCTTCCAAATTGAGTCAATTTAAATATCTTCTCGGGTAATAAGAAAGCTATCTTAATTAGAATCTAAATCAATCTGAATATTTTTTTTTTCCAAATTGAGCTAATCTAAATATTCTCTCCCCTAATAAGAAAAATCCTTCACGCACAACACTTATAATATGTCAATACTCACTCAATACCATAAATATAAAAATATCAGAAAATTAAAAAATTAAAAAATAAATGAGAGCAGGTTGAAGGTTGAACAGCCCAAGTTATGTGGTTAGGGTCTGAAATTGACCTCTCATCAAACAGCTGGGAAATTAAAACCTCACTATTTATTCATTAAACTTTAGGAGAATCTCCTTACTGTTTTTTTTTTTTTTTAAAGAAAAATTCTAGTTTGTTTCACCTTCTCTATCAAATATCATTTTTTATTTATTTTTTTTTCTATGCAGACTCTAAATCCCTAACTTTAAGAAATATTTTCAACTACTTGTTCCTTTGACATCCCAACATACCCTCGAAACCTTGGTTCTTTTTCGTGCTTTAGTTTTTGTTAGATTCAGTGGCTTGAAGAAATTACATTTCAAAAAAAAAAAAATAAAAATGAAGATTTGGAGGTGGGTTTTGGTTGGGCTTGTTTGTACTGCCTTTGTGTTGAGGATTGGTGCCGTGGAGCTGGGCAGGAGACAACCCACTGAGAGAATTTCAGGTCAGAGTTTGTTTTGTTATTTTTTATCTAACTAAGTGCTTACTCTTTTTTATTTTTTGTATTGGATTTGATTTTATGTGGTTTTTTCTATTGAATTGAAGTACTTTAATTGCGATGTTGGTTGATTCCTTTGAGTTTAGGGTTCTGTTGAAAGGATCTAATCATTTGAAGATTTGCTTCGCCTTTTTGTTTAGTATTCTTCTGAAATATTGGTGGTTTATTAGGGAAATAAATCAAAGGATATGTTTCTGACTGACTAAAGTGATGCAACCAGATTTGGAAAAATCTTTAACGACTTGAAATGAGGATAAGCCTTGGTGCATTAAGAAGTTGCAGAAAGCATAGAATATATATTCATCCTAAAGTTGGAAAGGACTGATACTGATGAAAGAGTCAAATAACTGGATGTTATACTATTTGACTCAGGTTGGACTTAGTTGAAGTTTGACTGAGGTGTATGCTTTGTATCAGTGAGTGAGATAGTCTTACGCCAACCTAGATACATAGTGCCCTGGATAAATATCGGACTAGGCTAATGAATGATGGGACTTGGGTGCCCTTTTATTTTGTTTCAACATACTTAACTGAGTTGAATTATGAAAGATGAATAAAAATATCAGTTTGAGACTACATTATTTCTCCTTAACTCTCCGTGATTTAACTAATTTGTCAGAGTAGTATATATTTAGTTATTTTTGGGGCGTTGATTGAGTTAGTTTTTAGCTAACTTTCTTGTTATGGCATATCTCCCTTTTTGACATGGTTTTCTGATGCTTTAAAGATTACAGCCTTTTGCTCAGATTGTGACTTTTGCTGTTGAAATCTATACTGTATTTAAGTGTACTTTGGTCTTGTGAATGTAGGAAGTGCTGGTGATGTCTTGGAAGATGATCCGGTGGGAAGGTTGAAAGTTTTTGTTTATGAGCTTCCGAGCAAATACAACAAAAAAATTCTACAGAAGGACTCAAGATGCCTCACTCATATGTTTGCAGCTGAGATCTTTATGCATCGTTTTCTTTTATCTAGCCCTGTTCGAACCCTTAATCCAGAGGAAGCTGATTGGTTTTATACCCCTGTATACACTACTTGTGACCTGACACCAAATGGCCTCCCATTGCCTTTTAAGTCACCTCGTATGATGAGAAGTGCGATACAGCTTATCTCTTCGAACTGGCCTTATTGGAATCGAACAGAAGGGGCGGATCACTTTTTTGTGGTTCCGCATGACTTTGGAGCATGCTTTCATTATCAAGTTAGTAGTTTTCTTTTCTTTTCTCTTCAACCAATTGACATGATTCTGTGGTTTCTTAAGTTTTGAATTGTGTTTCAAGCTTTAATTATGTTGAGGTACTGTATTCTTGCAAGTGATTTCATCCTTTCTTTGGCTTATTATTGATCTCTTTTTCAAATATGCTCTTGCAGGAAGCGAAGGCTATTGAAAGAGGGATTCTTACCCTGCTCCAACGTGCTACCTTGGTTCAGACTTTTGGACAAAGGAATCATGTTTGCTTGAAAGAGGGTTCAATTACAGTTCCTCCATATGCTCCTCCCCAGAAAATGCAAACGCACCTGATTCCTGAAAAAACTCCTAGATCCATCTTTGTTTATTTCCGTGGGTTGTTTTATGATGTTGGAAATGACCCAGAAGGTGGTTACTATGCAAGGTATATCTCTATATTTGCATGTAAATTAGTCTTTGGTTTCTTAAGGTTACTCAGTTCACTAACCTAGCAAAGGCTGAATTCCATTAATTTTATGAGGTTGAACAGAAATGGACTTGTGATAAATTAGAAACTTAAATATTTCGATGAGAGATATTATTGAGATGTTACACGTTACATCATGTGATATTAGAAACATGCACCTTCGCAAATCCAGGATCCATTTTTCTCTGAAGCTATGTAAACTTTCTGAAAACCAGAATGGTGAGGAAGTTTACTTCAAACGCCATTTTAATCAGAAAGGAATAGTTTAAGCTTCATGGTTAGTCTATGATCACCAATCATATGCAACTTAGATTCATGTCCTTACTAAACAAATTTCAACTATTTCACAGAGGTGCGCGAGCAGCAGTGTGGGAGAACTTCAAGGACAATCCGCTGTTCGACATTTCAACTGAACACCCAACTACATACTATGAGGACATGCAGCGAGCTGTCTTTTGTTTGTGTCCACTCGGCTGGGCTCCATGGAGCCCTAGATTGGTTGAAGCAGTGATATTTGGTTGCATCCCTGTTATTATAGCAGATGACATTGTTCTACCATTTGCGGATGCAATCCCGTGGGAGGAAATTGGGGTGTTTGTAGATGAGAAGGATGTTCCCAACTTGGACACCATACTCACATCTATCCCCCCTGAAGTTATATTGAGAAAACAGAGATTGCTTGCCAATCCCTCAATGAAGCAGGCAATGTTATTCCCACAACCGGCTCAACCAGGTGATGCTTTCCATCAAGTTTTGAATGGTCTTGCAAGAAAATTGCCGCATGACAGGAGTATTTACTTGAAGCCAGGTGAGAAGATATTAAACTGGACTGCCGGCCCGGTTGGTGACCTGAAACCTTGGTAGCTGGTGTAATTTCCTATACTGGAAGGAATATTTTTGCCCGTCAGATTTATGAAGTTCAAGATGCTGTGTATTCCATCAAAAATGTAAATCTTCATTTAGCCAAAATGTGTTAGATTACGGTGTCCTTGTACTCGTCTTAGATGAAGAAATTGTCAAATCAGAACTGACCTATAATTTGATTCTTATGGTTAAATGCAAGCATGTTATTACATAATTTATCTTTCCTAGCGATAATAATTTAAATCTTTGCTGTATTACAAATTTTGTTATTACTGTTGAAAAAATACAGTAATATTCATTAAACATATAATTATAAGATTTAGTAAAGCAAGGAATTGTGGTAAGTAGCAAGATGAGAAAGGGTCCAAAAAGAGGTGGTAGGGAGCTTGTGTGGGGAGTATGAAAGCCACGCTTCCACGTAATTATCAGACAGCCAATAATATTACACTCGTTTATTCACCACTTATCTTCTCATCTCTTCTCTTTCTTCTTCTTTGTTTTTGAGAAGAAGAGACTAGAACAGTAGAACTTCGATAATGGCCCTCCAAGCACCCACAAGGCTAAGTGCCACGCGATCCTCACCACTACATGCACCTTCTCTTTTGTCTCCTACAGGCAATGTTGGCCTCCGACGCTCAACCGATTGTTTCGCTTTGAAATCATCTTTCTTTTCTCCATCTCTCCGTCTCTTGCTGTCTCCTCATTATGTGCAGCTTCTTGCTTCTGCTGCTCCAAGATATTCCATGCGTGTCGCCTCTAAGCAGGCTTACATATGTCGTGATTGTGGGTAATGTTTCTTATTCTTTGTCCTTTTTGTTTAACAATCCTGTGTTGGAATTTTGATGTGATTATTTTATGTTTGAACATGCAGGTATATCTACAATGACAGGACTCCTTTTGAGAAATTAGCCGATAGTTACTTCTGTCCTGGTATTCACTTTATTTTAACTCATAAACTTGGGATTCTAAATTTTCTCTATGGTGAAATAACTCAAATTCTTCCATGTTATATAACATCCTTTTTCACAATGGAAACTAGCAATTTTCTAGAACTTCCAATATTTATCTCCCTAAGCAACTCTGAAACCTTACCATCATCTACCAAGCTTGTTATTGTGTTGAGTAACAAGTATCAGATAGCATAAAATATTTATTCTGCCTCCATTATCTGGCTACTTACAAAATTTGTTGTTATTTTTATTTGTTCTTTTAATTGTGAATTGCGTTTGTGCAATGCAGTTTGTGGAGCTCCTAAAAGGAGATTTAAGCCATATGCGCCTGCAGTGACCAGAAATGCGAATGCCCAAGATGTTCGTAAGGCAAGAAAAGCTCAAGTCCAGAGAGATGAAGCAATTGGGTAATTATAAGACACTGTCTTTCAACCACATTGGCTTTTTCAATTTTGCTTATTATTCATCAAGTTTAAATTATATGTTAAACTGGTGCAGACGGGCATTACCTATAGCCATTGCAGTTGGAGCTGTGGCACTTGCTGGTTTATACTTTTACCTCAACAGTACTTTCTAGGATTAATGGTAGCAAGCATCGTCAATTGGACGTATCGAGTGAACAATATATATAGTTCTATTCCTGTCCAACACAAGGTTTCTATATATATTGCAATGTAATTTTTTGCCTACATTACGAGGAGCTGAAACTGCTATTTCTTCATCATTAGAAATGAAGCACTCAAACCATAATATATAGACTCTCGTTGATGTTTAAAGAAGAGTCTTACTCAACATTTTGTGTTCTGAAAATCATTTTACTTGTACAGTGTACACACCATAAACAAAATAATTATGTAATCCATAAGATATCACTTGATCTAAAACGTTCGGAATTTAACCAATTTCGATCTAATAACACTATTATCAAAGGCAAGAAGTCAATAGTTAATTGAAGATGTATTAACGAAAGGGAAAGGCATATATTATTATGTTACACTGGACTTGATGGGAGAATTGACATAAAACTTTATTCCTCCAATAAATAGCAATTATTAATAACCTCTATGCACACCCTTCACATAAATTATAAATACAATCATATCGGCCTCAATTTTAAACACAATCATATTGGCCCCAAATCTGTATAATACAATTCATTGGGAGTCCTTCACAATCCAAACCCTGAATCCTCTATGGCCGCTGTTAAATCTAAAGATGCCTAACCTAATATTCAATTTCTCCAGCAAAACATGATCATTGCTTTGGATGCTACACTGCTAACTATCCGGTGCAACAAAATATATCAAAGGCAGACGACTAAAATGGTCAAGGAAATATATTTGACAGATATTAAAAGTTTAAAATTTACATTGCTATTGTTACAAGTAACCAGTTATCATTCTTGCAAGACAAATGAACCCTCTATTTTCTTCTCCATGGACAGCGGAGGAGGGAAATTTAGAGGAGAGAACATGTCATTGAAACTAGAATTAGGTGCCGGTTTGAACTCGTAAGGACCTTCTTTCACTCCCCACACCTGCAAGAGATGAAACAAAGCACTCTTACTTAGCCCTTCGCTATGCTACTAAGTGCAATTTTGGTGAAAGAAAAAGCAAAACCAGGAGAACAAACTTGATTTCCATCATCATCGTAGCCTCTATCCCAGGTATGTATCTCATTATTCTTCAACACTGCAAGTTCTGAAGTACAGTGGGTAGCCCCATTCTGTCATAATAACAACCACAAGAAGGTAAGAAAGGCCACAGAGAAACCAAATCATTTCAATATCTACACCCAGTAAACAGCTGAGGGGAAAGCAATATGCTAACTGATTGTAAGAAGGAAAGCACCTACCCAAGAATTTGGGAATCCGCCTGGTGGAGATGAACCTTCATATAAGCAGCGTTTTCCACGGTCACAGCGTCTGAGATAAACAGTTGTCAAATGTTCTCCAATGTCCTGTTCATGATATAAGACAACAGACTACATGAGAAACGTGCACATGGAAACTTATAAAGCAAGTACAGATATATTTAGCCATAAACATGGGATTGATTTTTCTGCCAAGAGCAGCAGAGACAGGTTAGCCTCAAGTTCTTGACAATATTCGTTGCAATCATAGAGTTGATCTCTCAAGATAATATGTAATGATGTTTGAAAGGCCACCAAAATTTTTATAGCCTTTGTATTCAAAGCAGACCATTGCAGTTTTTTGAGTTCTGGTAAAATTAGAATATATGTACACAAATATCAGCTCATAGAATTATGTTCTAACCATCCAACTGGATGATTCTTTTTAAAATAATATACCAAATTATTTTGATTAGAATGAAATAGGCGAGGTGTAACTGATCTTCAAATGAATAGAAGAAATGTTATTTAACTAATCATGCAAAATTAATGTAGTAATGTGCTGTCTGTCTATAAGAATAAGTTCCAAGAAAAAAGAAAAAACAAAGGCTCCATCAAGCTTCTAAATATGTCATATTCATACCTTAAAAAAACTTAAGGACACTCTGAAACCTTCATGCCTCAAAAACGGTATGTCAAACCGTTTGTCAGCTATAATCAACAAGAAACCAAGAGATACGAAAAGAGTAGTTGGAAAGCCAGATATTTTGATAAATTCTTATTTCATTGGACATCTAAGAACATAAATTTCTGGCCACAGTTTGCTAATCAACTTATCATAAAGGCCTTCAGAATTAGAACTGTAACTTTAACTATAACTTCTGCGGATTTGAATTACTAATAGCGATACACAAGTCCAATATTTTGATGAATTCATGATTGAAAATGTTCTCCAAGTCCAATGCAACATATAATCCAATTGCTTAATAAACAGATATTAAAATGGTAATGTGATAAAATGCTTACACCAATAACTTCTTCAGGCAGTGGGCGCTGATCCTTTGAGCGATCACAGAAGTTTTTATACTCCTCAACTTCTCTAATGGCAGATGAATTTACCTGTCCATTTAGAAGAAAATATCCAATATTTGAATGTCAGGCTCCAATGTAACTAATAAACAACTATTATTGCATTGGATAACAAATGCAAAAAGCATAGTTCTCTGCAGCCATAGAAAACACGATTTTCCAAAGACAATGACATCTCATTCAAAACTTCTCCATACCAAATCTAATATCATTACAACTAACCTACAACACATCACCTTATACTCATCCGCTGCTCTCTTTTTTCTATCTAATAATATATGGTTTGATCAACATAAATATACATAAAACTTTATGTCACAACAACTGCTCAGAATGATGAGAACAGTAGTTGCAACAATAACAGTGGCACCAAGAACGGCAATCAAGAGTGCCTCACAAATGGAAAAGAAAATTTTAAGGCAGTCAAAGATGAGAAAGAAATTCATTCTGTAACACAATGCAACACAACAGTAAATCAGACTAGAAGCCCACCTCAACATCACATTTCAATTCTTTTGGGCAAGGCTTGACCATATAAAATCTCTGCAAGTATACAACTGTCAGAATTCTTTTAAAAAGAAAATTAAAAGTAACAACACCAGAAATAAATTAAGGCACATAAAAACCTGTCGAAAGGGCTTTTGAGGAGTCCTCCAAAATGCCTAACAACAAAGACACAGAAACCTCATCACAATTCGAACATATTATCATCTTAAAATAAAAGTAATAAAAGACACTAGATCATTGAGTTAAAACTAACTTGCTCAAAATATAAGACCTTCGAACCATCAACCATCTCGGCTGCCGGGCACGTCACCATTCTGCAAATCAAAATCAGCATACATATATTCAAAACTTCAAACATATTTGAAAGTTGAAACAACTAATCACCCATATATGACCTAAGAAGCTTACAATGTAAAGTGTGACAATTCCATATCCTAAGAATATTAAAGATAAGAAATTACTACAAATTAAAAAAAAAAATACCTGATATTGAAGTAATTATCAGGATCTCTAGACGCCTGTTCCCTCGAAAACTATCTCAAAAAAACATTAACAATTAAATTAAAAAAAAAAATAAAAAAAAAAATAGTAGAATAATAAGAAGTACCTTTTCGCCAGTAAGGGCGTCGGCAACAATACGGGCATGGTCCCATCGAGTTTTAGATTTGGTGAGACGTTTGAGGAGAAAAGCGCCGCCTATGAGCACCACTGTTTTGACTACCAGTCCTCGAGCTCTGCCCCATCCGTTGGCGTTGGCGTCGGACTCCGACTCCGAACCCGTTCCCATAACTAATTATGATTATAAACTTAAAAATTATTTTCAGCACAGCATTCAATTTAACTGAGAGGTTGCTTACTTTTTTGAAATGGTTTGGACAGGTTGTTGTTTGATTGATTGGAGTTTGTTCGTTTTGGTTTGGGGGCGTCTGGTAGTGGCAGGCACTGATGTGTGGTATTTCGTAATTGAAATTAATATTATGTGAATGTCAATTTTTGACACGTATACTATTATTGTGATCCTTTTACGCTTCTTTCATTTGGTTTGGTTATATTTATTTATATTTATTAGATGTGCGGGTGCCCCGTCTCACTCATCCCATTTCATGTTGTGGTGTTGCTTACAATTACAAATTCCAAAATTTATTTGTCGCCTTTCCTTTTGGAAAGTGAGATAGCCATTTGGTTCGACGAATATATATTTTTTTTAAATATTTATTATTATTAAAGACTTCATTAATGTATTGACTTCAATTTTTTTGTTATAATAATTAACAATTAATTCTAGTTAAACCCCATTGAGGTCAGATTGTTACATAAGCAATGCCCTCAAAATTCATTCATTTTTGTAAGATACTGTTTTAGCTTGAGTGAGAATTAGAAAAGGTAAAGCTAAGGTAATAGTAAATTAAAGATTTCACTTTATTTTATGACATGTTAATCAATTGCAAATCAAGACACAAATTAAAGTTCAACTATTGTTAAACCATTATTAACAAAAAAAACCTAACTCATTTTTGTTTCATATCGAGATTAAAATATATATATATATTATGTTACATAATAAACGCAACCAAAGTAATCATTTATCAATCGGCATGAACCGCTAATCTTCAGAAGATTTATTATAAAAAGCCTAAAGCAAAACAGAGAAGATACAGAAAATCACAATTTGGTAGGATTATTGAAAACCCTTCTAATCAATTTCCCCACGGATGAAACAGTAACCACAGATTCAAGAACAGGCATCTTCTCCTCCTCCTCCTCCTCCTCCTCTAACGCTTCTTCCTTAAAACAATAAACAGGAGCCTGCCACTTGGGATCTTCAAGCACTGCTCCTACCTCAAACGTCATCACATGGGCTGTATATCCTGCAATTAACAACATTATTACTCTTCAATTATATCAGAATCAAAATGTTCGCAGTAAATGGAAACATTTACAGAATTTTTACCAGTGTAGAATACCCAGTGAACAGGTCTCTTTGTAACAACATCTTCATAGTACCAAATGAAATCAACTTTAGTCCACACATTACAGAGAAACCCATCTACATATTGCTGACCAAGATACGTGGCTCCATCCATCCAGTTTGGGCGAAGAATGCCTACAGAGAAATGCAACACCCTGCACTCTTGGCTCAAGTCCAAAGTGTATATGTAGGACGTACCATTATCCCATTCAAGATCGTATTTAAGCTTGCCTAGCTGGTTCTGGATTATGTTGAAGTTGCGGCCGTTGGGCCAGTCGTACCACAGGTCCAGTTTCTGGAGGTTTCCACTGTTGTTCATGAAGAGAACTGCGTGGAATTGAAGAGGCCATGGAGCTGGAGTTGGGTCTGTTGATTTTGAAGAAATTGAAGTGACGTGGACGTTGAAAAAGAATAGAATGGTGAAAAGACAGACTAAGAAGGGTTTCATAGTTGTTGCTGTTGTTTTGTTCTTCAATTAGGCAGCTTACGAAGTAATGAAGGACGAAACGACGAGATGAAGCCACGAGAGTAAAGATGAGGATTCCATCTTTGGGGTTGGTTTTCATGGTTAGCTGTTTGCCAAGTGGTTCATAAATTCACTTTATCCTCAAGGACATCAGAATAGAAAATCCCTCATTGATTCCACAAACTTTTAGCTATTTATACCTTTGCCCACATATTCTTAGCTTACTTTTCCCATACCACATTATTGACGCTTCTCATTTACCCATTGTGCTACAACTTCCAAAATGTCATTCTGAAAAAAACAGTGAAAATTAACCCATCACAGAAATTAATGTGAGGATAATCATAAATTCAAGTCACAATAAGTATCCAATTTAATGGGCACTCTCTTCTACTTGATATAATGCCTTATCAAGTTCTCATCTTAATTTCCATATAAACAGTAATCAACCTGTGATGAAATATTAGCACAACTCTCCATTCAAAAGAGTCTGTATCCTTCTTGGATCTGAACTCTCCTGAAATTTTTTAGAGAGGAAGAACGCAAAGCTGAAGAGCTTAAGAGCTAAAGACCAAAACTGAAGCAAGATTTTGCCCCATATTTTTCTCACTATGCTTAATAAAAAGTTTTATTACATGGTTCCATCAAATCTCGCATTTCTCTTGGCTTCACTACTGACAGTCCTTGTTCACATTTTTACAACTAAACATTGTAAACTATTAATTATTAGTAGAAATACATATATTGTTCTTCATGTGTCAAAAAACACACAGTGCCTAGGACCATCTAGTCCAAGAGTGATATAGAAAGTTACTGGTTCCCTGATACAGGACCATCACGGCCTTTCTTGAAATCATCCCATCCTCTTACCCATGTTTTCCCAGGAGTTGCTCGTGTCTCAGGGGAAGAATGGCTGTTGAGGTTGTCCATTACCTTGTTGTGCACAGCAGAAAAAACCTATGGCAACAAGTAACCATATGAGAATATAAATTCATGAAAAAAAATAAGGAAAAAAAGAACAACAAAAGACCAATTCATAAATATTTTAGATTATATCTCACAGGATTTATTTTCACTGCATCAGGCGGTTGCTCCTGCCCAGTCAGCCACTTCCACAGATCTGGGTTTTCCTGCAGGAAAAAAACAACATACTCAAGAAAGCCCACAAATAAAATGCTTCGTGGTATTGCAACATCTTCAACTTGAACTGATTCCTTTTATAAAAGAATCACCAAATCAATTTATCCAAGCAAGGTATTTGATTGGAAGAAACAAAATCAAAATAGGATTATAACAGAAACTCTTTTAAGCATTCAATTTGGGTAGAGTAGACCAACTAGTCAAGGCAAAACATAGATAACACCGTATTCTGGCTTGTTTGAGAGTTAGATTAGCTTCAATTGTTGTCTTCTGCTTTAAGGTTTCCCCAAGTTAGCATAACGAGATTGAGGAAGCAAAATGAAATAAAACGGTTTATGTTTGTCTATGTTTTTACAACATACATCAATTACCTTAAATAAATACATAATGACAATGACAAGCAACAATAATGTTTGATCATGAAACCAAAGCCAACATACAATTGCCTTGCATGTTGTAAACTAATTGACATAATATGTCTTAACACATTCATTTATTTATTTTTGAATAACCCATCTCGAAGGGATTAACAATGGAAGATATATAATCTGTGTAAAAACAGAGAGAAACTTTACCAAATCAAGGACATCAACAAGAGCTTTAACTCCATTTTCATCCATGGTATGAATATGTTCTTCCACCCATTTACCCAGAACCAAATCCAGCTCCAGAAACCCTCTCTGTTTGCTCCTATATAAAAGTCTATCACAAAACCCAGAAACAAAAAATACATTATTACTTGTATGATCTCGAATGACATTAAATTGAACAAAAACAGGAACCAAGTCACTAAAAAAAACCTGTTAAACAAACGCCTTTTGCTCTCTTCGTTGGAGAAATCAACATCCAAAATTTGAGAGCTATCAGAAGAATAAGGAAAAATCCATCTATATTGAGGCCTAAACATCAAAAACAGAAAGCATCAAGTAAATTATCTTTAAGAAAAACAGAGGGAAAAGGTATTTTAAAAAAATAATGGGTTACCTAAGAAGAGTCTCGAAGCGAGATGGAGAAGAAGATAAAATCGCCTTACGGTTGTGTAGAGCGGAGAAACTGAGGATTCTGTGGGCGTTGATCGCTGCTCTTCTCAAGCTCGCCATGTAGTTGATGAAATGATTCTGAGAAACGAAAAGAAAGAAAAATACTGAATTGGATTGTGCGTGTAATTATAAACCTACAGTTGAGGCATCGTGGCCCCTCTACATCCACATGGCATTAGTTAGTTAAGTGATGGTTTATAGCAACCAAAGTCATTATATTAAAGTCGGTTCAAACCCTATCCAGGACCAATGTGATGCATTTGTAATCAGGGTCATATTAAAATGTGTTGATGCGTGATTTTGACACTAATTAAACGCACGTGAGAAATACTAAGTTGACTCAGATGATACACATGTATGGGGGTATTGAACTGAATAAAATATGAAAAACAATGTTTAAAGTGGTTCGGATGCTTAAGAAAGCAAATCCTACATCTATTAGTATTGTATTAATATATGAGATCAGGTCGCGTTCAGCGAGCTGACTTGCAAGAGATTGCAAGAGAGAGAGAGAGGACATATATATGCTATTCCAGAGAGAAATTAGCTAATCCCACAAATGGGAGATGATCCCTCTATTTATAATAAGATGAGTTGAGGTAATGATTACTAAATCAGGGAGTGGGTCAGATTGCAGTGCAAATCCTTCATTACGTCCCGTTGTTCACCTGCTCGAGTGATTTACTCGACTCTTGCAGGGATTGGACACGTGGATCGCCTCCAGCCTTTCACCAGCCTGGCGCACACCCACTACACTGGCAGAAGCATGCCGTTTGCGTCAGCGTGTGACGTGGCTGCGACTGAATGGCTGCAGGACTTACCTAAGCTCTGACCGCTTACGCTGATAGGGCTTTGCGTCATCCCTACTTTTCCAAGCATAACAGAAGTTCCCTACTTTTTAAGGTTTGAGAATCGAACCTTGGAAACTACATAGTATGCCTTGATTTGATACATTTGGAGAGATACTGGTCGATCCGACCTGGCGGCAAAGAGGTCGAAGAAACATTTCCATGTAGGCGACCTAAAATGGCTTACTCTTAGGGTCAGAGACCTATTCTTAGACCATGTTAAGTGCCATAACAATGACTGGTTTTCGACCGAGGTCCGCGACCTCATTGTACTTAGCGAAATTTTTTGCTGAAGACGAGGAATCGTGTCGCTTTGCAAACGACATAAGACAAGATCAAAGAGTCACGTCGCTTTGCGACTGACATAAGACAAGATCGAAGAGTCACGTCGCTTTGCGACTGACATAAGACGAAGAGTGTTCTATATAACGACCTCTTCAGATGTTATCCATTGTACTTTTGTAGCTGATACATTTAATGAAATATCTTTTGTTCTGACAGACGTGTCCTGTGCGCAATAAGTGTCAGCCATACGTATTAAATGCGAGCCATGCTGAAACGACATTCCCTATCAAGGCATTAAATGTGGATGGGGGCGCACTTAATGTATAGGAGGGAAACGTGTCGTCGCTTGAGTGTTTCAACGAAAGAGAACAACGATTTGGTTTCTCGAAGCGTGACGGTCACTCTTCTTTGTTGATTTGTGGCACGTGGTTGCGATCAACGGTCAGATGCGTTTTCCGCCCAAACTTTGTTTGACTTCAGGAAACCAAGGCGCCACTTCCTTCACTATAAAACCCCAAGCTCACTTCAGATAATGCCACAATACTCACTTTCTCAGAGAGAGCAAAAATTTTTGTGAGCCTTGGTTCTTTGTCTTTTAGATTGGTGCGCGCTTGATATTTGAAGCATGAGGATTCATCTTCTCATTCCAAGAGGTAAGGAGGGTTTCTCTGCCACTTATTTTTATTTCTTGTTTTCGATAGTTGCCATGCGATGATAGTCTGCTGTTAGATGATTGGAGATGAAATATTCTCCTTGGGTTTTAGCCATTTGATGGTGGCTCTAAAAGTATTATGTTAGTGTTTTTCTAGGGTTTAAGGGAGGAAGCTTTTTACTTTCTTCTCTACGTCATCGTACGAAACAGTGTATGAGGACTGAATGATTCCCTGCATGTCACTTTTTTCAGACCACAATAGAATGAACTCCCCAATGACCAGAGCTGAGGAGGGGACCAACTCGCTTGTGTAGGATGCTCCTGCGGGTCCCCCTCAAGAGATCATGTCGATGATTACTACCGAGGATATTCAGAAGGTGGTAGACCAATACGCTCTCAGCATGGAGGTCTTCCAAGATAGAATACACACAGCTCGGAGTCCACCACAAGGGATGGCTGCGATCTCCGAGAACATTTTCAAGAGTGGAGGGTTGATCCCTTTCCACTTGTTTGTCAGGTCGGTCCTTGATCATTTCAGGATCGCACCACTACAGCTAATGTCGAACGCATATATGATAGTAGTGGCTATGTGCCTACGACAAAAATGGATTAGGCGAGCTAACCGCGCTGGAGCTCAGTTGCTCGTACATCCTTAAGAAGAGTAAGGACAATGACTCATTCTACCTCTCCAAGCGCTTTACGATAGAAGCGGGAATAAATAATTACCCCAACAATGTAGGGGCATACGAGACGAAGTTCTTTTTCTTTCATACGATGGCATTTGCCACTTTCTGGAGCCGAGTAGGTTCTCCTTTCTTTTGAGGTCGTGAATTTCCCTTTTGGTCTTCACTAATGAGCTCTTTGTTTCTTCGTAGTTAACAAAACGACCAGGTTATCACTCCTCGAGGATCCAGACAGAATCACTACCTTTGATTTTCTGTCAGGAGAGAGTCGCGATGCAAGGCTGCTCTTGACAATCGCAAATTTGAGGAAGTATGGTTTCTTCAACCCCGAAGCGACCTTAGAGACCCCATCGAGTAAGCTTCTTAACCTTAGCCTGCTTTTTGATTTTTCACGCAGCAAACTGTTTTGCTAACGATGTTTGCATGCAGCAATCATGCCTCCCAAGGTGCCCAGATCGCCATGACCAAGGCAGTTCACCTTTCTCTGAGTAAGCGTCACCGGACCGGTTAGAGCAGCTCTTAACAGTCCCCCCGTCGAAGGGACACTGGCAGGTGCTCTGGTACGACCTGTTAGGGTTCCCCAGCCTTCAACTGTTCGCCTGAAGCACAAGACCATGGCCCAAAAATCCAAGAAGTGAAAGCAACTTCGGACCGAAGAGTCGAAGTCCAAACCGGAGGGCCTGAGCATTCAGCCCAAGAGGTCGTAGCCTTACCAAGCGTTCCGCTTAGGAGGACTTTCCAGGTGTGCGACTAGCATCTCTATCGCTCTGAGGGAACCGCAAACAAGGCAGAGCAAGGTCGCGGACCTTGGGAGAAGACCGAGCAAGGAACCAACGGGCGATACAATTCCTGTTGCAGGTGTGGGGACGAACACACCTGTGTTAGACTCGATGGGGCAACTTCGAATCATCTGCAGTCGATGGTTTTTACCTTGTTGGAGTGCGGGCTCTTGGAGGCTTTTGAGAAGTTCGTGACTTCCAACCTTGTGGACCTGATGTCCGTATCCCTTCAGCAGCTGAGCCAGGTAGAACGAGCTGTCCTCGACGAGGACTTTACATTTATTCTTTTCAGTAGCAAGGAAACTAACTTGTTACTTTTTTCATTCACAGGCTCTGCTCTCCATGCACTTGTCCCTGCGAAAGGTCCAGCTGGGAGCTGCCGAGGGGATGGTCGCATTGAGAGAAGAGAACGCGTGGCTTAAACGAGACTTAGATGCCGCTGAAGCAGAGAAAGACTTATCCACCGTTTCAACGAACCAGTACCTGAATGAAAGGAATGCTGCTCTTCGCACGGTGGACTTTCAGAAGTCCGAGCTAGAGAAGCACGGAGAGGAGGTAAAGGAGCTCTAGAGGACGGTGGCCAGACTCACCAGAGAGGTTGGCGAGAAAGAGCAAGAGCTACAAACGATCTCTCAACAGGCCTTACGAGCAGAGCGGGAAAGGGCAGAGCTATGAGAGGCCACCGAAAAGCAAAGGTGGGCACTTAAGGCCGAACTCCAAATTAGCCAGGGCCGAGTTACTTCACTGACCGAAGACATGCAGCGACAAGAGTTGGAGATCGAGAAGAAGGCTACTGAATGGGCAATTAAGTCCATTTATGCCTTACGGCTGAAGAATCCCAAAATGGATCTGACCGGCCTCCCGAAGGAATACCGGGACATCCTTAATTCCATGGCGCGGATTGACGATGAGGATGTAGCGGAGGCCGCTTGAGGACCTAACCTGGAAGAGCATCCGAAGTATGTCCCAGAGGAGCCAACCTGGAAGAGCATCCGAAGTATGTCGCAGAGGAGCCCGCGACCGGTCAGGTGATAGACGATCAGCCTAGGTACGATGAGGTCGTGCCTCCGCGAATTGGGGATGAAGGCCAATGATTGCTTTTACTTTTTGTACTTTTTTATTTTATAAATAAAGACATGGCTTTCTTATGAATACTTACAATTTTTGTACTCTGTTACACATGAGATCGCATTCTAACTGTCTACAATAACAATAACATTGGTAAAAGTCTATGCAAACAGAATAATACATATGAAAAAAGTGGTTACAAAGGAATTAGTCTTATTTACAAGGACTAAGAAAAGTAAAATCTTTACAAGGAGAAACTGAGTTCGGAATTACTGATAATATAGTCGGAGATGTTTAGCATTCCAAACTCGCGGTACTTTGGAACCATTCAGCCTTTTAAGATGATAAGTCCCTGGTCTTATCACTTTGGTGATGCGGTATGGGCCCTCCCAGTTCGGTCCCAAAACTCCCGCACTTGGTTCTCTAGTATCGAGAAAGACTTCCTTCAAAACAAGGTCCCCGGCCTGGAAGTCTCTTCTTCTGACCTTAGAGTCGAAGAACCTTTTCGCGCATTGCCGATAGGCTTCTATTCTTAGCTGAGCCTTGCTGCAATGTTCTTCAACTAGATCCAGACTTGCGCACATAAGTGCCTCGTTGTCTGTCTCATTGAACATGTCCCTCTGAAATGAACCAGTTCCTACCTCCACAAGGATCATTGCTTCGCAACCATATGCTAGCGAAAAAGGGGTTTCTAAGGTAGAGGTTCTCGGATTTGTCCTGTATGCCCACAGAACTTCAAGAAGGTCGTTGGCCCAATTTCCCTTGACTGCACCAAGTTTGGCCTTCAAAGTGTGCTTGATGATTTTGTTAACAGCTTCAACTTGACCATTTGCTT